CATAGCGGAGGACCAGGATGTTGGAGTTTTCCTGTCCACCTTTATTAACGCCTTCGGGGCCCTCCCACCACACTAAGGCTTTGGGGGCGCCTCCATCCCAGGAGCAGGACAGCATCAGGTACTGTTGGTTGTTTGTCACATATGCAAAACACACCGGATCTGCAGGGGGAATATCTGGTAAAAAAAAAAAAAAAGTAAAATGTGAACAATCCACAAAACAGCATACAAGATTAATCTTTTGGTGTTCCTGTGGTCTCTGTTCTCACATGCGCGCGTGCTGCACTGTGTCTGGTCTTTTAGGGCAGGATGAGAACCGATGCACATAAACAAGCTGTTGTTAGGAATCAGGCCTCCAGCAGGCAGCAACATTTCCACTCCTGTTAGTGTATTTGTTTGTTGTCCAGCGTCAGCTTGATCCTGCCCAGACAGTATCCGGTCTCTAGTCCAGTGGAGGGAAGGGGAGGGGGATCCACCGGGCCAGGAGCAGAGCAGCTTCAGAAAAGTGTGATTTAGTGCTGGCTCCACAGAGCAGGAGGGGGTGCCATCTGGTGGATCTATGAAAATATCACAAGACATATATAAGAAAAGTATTTGCTCTATGATGCAAAGAGATGGTCTACCTGGACCTTGTACTTCAGGCATCTATTCTTTTGTATTTTTTGATCCTACCAGAACAATCGTAAAAATCCACCTTCATAGTGATTTTTATTTGCAAAAAATCATTTTGCTTTTGCCCACTGGGTGTTGGTGTGTGTGTAACTTATTGCCCGTAATGCAGAAAAGACCTCAAATGTTACAAACACAGTTTTAATGACCATTTCTTGTGTGTTTTGCTCTTGAGAATTGGTTTTAAAGGAGCCGCTGATGGAAACTGAAGGAAATTGATGTTTAGGCTTGTCAAAGAAAATTAAATCTTTTTTTCACTCAGTCATTTTTTAGGACAGATGAGTAGTGGTTGAGACTGCACTGAATTGGCAGAGTGGTAGGACAGCAAGAGGTCAGAGGTCACACTCACAGTAAACTACTAGGCTGATGGTTTTTCTGGAGCGGGTGTTTAGAAAGGTATTCTGTGCCAAGCAGGTATAGTCGCCGGTATGCACGCGCAAGATTTTTGTGATGCTGAACTGGGGCCCGGTGTACACCTGGGAGTTGTTGTAGAACCAGATATACTGACTGGCGGGGTTGGACTGAGCTTGACACAACAATGAAACACTCTGTGCCTCCAGAGCTGAATATCCCCGCTCTGTAATAATGTAAGGAGACACATCTATCTGAGGATCATCCGGACCGACTGTAGAGAGAAAGACAAAATGCAATCAAAATGTGCAGGTCACAAAAATGCTGCACCAGTTTTATGTTTTTGTCAGGTGTGCCAAATGTATTACATGTCTTAAAAGACGACTAAACCTTTGGTGATTTGAGAAAGTAAAATAAAATATCAAGAAGAAACATAAATGCTTACAGACGACGTCCAGCCATAACTTATCGGAGCGCTCGCTGTTGATGTCGTTGCTGGCCACACAGCGGTACCAGCCTGTGTGGTTTCGGTTTACCTTGGGGATGGTCATGACGGTGTTGTTGCCTTGTTCAAAAGTTGTGATCCTACCACCACGAGCTTCATATTGCCACACATACTGGATCGGTTCGGTCCCATTTACCAAACTGCATTGCATCCATATCCGAGATCCTTCTACTGGAGATCCATCACTCATCAGGAGGTATGGCTTATTTACAGGGACTGTGCCAAAGACGTGACACAAAAATAGTTGTTTAGTCTAAATGTTGGTGAAAAACTCTGACTGTATATATAATTAGCATGATTAGTATATTTACAAAGTTAAAGACACAAACAAATATTCCTGATAAGAAATATTAATATTTATTCATCATTCTTAGGTCATGCTTTTAAGCTTTGAGACAATTAACAACCATTATGATTTGTAGAAAAAACAGATGTTCAGGCGAACATGATGCTTGAGATTGTGCTGATATACATAGCATAAAGATCATATATATGTCATCTACAGGTTAAGGTTAAATAACCTAAAATATATCAAACAGAAATCTTGCAACATTGTCATATTAGTCATTTTAGTGTGAGAATGATCACTGACCTAGAGTAAGTCTGCAGGTCTTGGATTGGACCAGAAGTGGGTGTCTCGCGTGGCAGATGTAGGCCTTTCCAAAGTGAAAAGTGTTATAATGCATTAATATGCTGGATTTTTCTTCCCCACCTTCGACCTGCACATCAGGGCCCTCCCACCACACCAAGGCTTTTGGAGCCCCTCCATCCCAGGAGCAGGACAGCATCAGAAACTCTTTGTCATTGGTCACATTAGCAAAACAAAGCGGCTCTTCAGGGGGGATATCTAGTGTGGAAAGAAATGATGACAGGTTCAGAAAACAAAGTTTATAAAACTGTTTGTCTCTTTATTCTCACTTTTACAGTTTTTTTTCCTGATATCTGCACTCACATGTGAGCGTGCTGCACTCTCTCTGTTGTTGTAGGGCAGGATGGGAGCCCAGGCATGTAAACAAGCTGTTGTTGGGAATCAAGCCACCAGAGTGCAGCAAGATATTTGTGCTGGTAAGCAGATTTGTTGGCTGTCCTGTATTGACCTGGTCTTGTTCTGCGTGTGTCATGTTGCCTGTCCAGCGGAGGGAAGGGGAGGGGAATCCACCGGGCCAGGAGCAGAGCAGCTTCAGAGAGGTGTGATTCAGAGCCGGCTCCACAGAGCAGGAGGGGGAGCCACCAGGTGGGTCTGCAGAGAGGAGGTATAGAGTAGTAAAAGAGGGATGGGGAAACAAACAGGACACCAGTGGCACACTGACTTTAACACAACAAAGACTTACTATTCCTATATCGACAGTATAAATACTTAATGAAGTCAGTTAGTTTGCAACAGATCAGAGTAATAGCACTCAGTTTAAACTGTTGGGTTTAATTATTATTACAAAACTCCATGTTCTTCTTTATGGGTGTATTGAAATGAGGTTTCACTCTAATCTGTCTTTTGCCACAGAATACTATTTAAGTACGCTCAGAACACAGGGAAAATCAATCCAAGATATAAGGTTATCTAAATTATTTTTAAAACAGGGGAGTTTCAAGATGAATAGAAATTATCGAAAAGCTATTTTTCAAAAGACTGATTAGTAAGTAGCTGACGGAGAAGGCAGATGTTTAATGATGAAGTCCGGCGTTAATAACTGAATCTATTAAATCTGACTAAATCAGATTTTATAACACGTTGACAAAAGTACACAACTATGTAATGAATACAAGGGTTAATAGAGGAGCAGGTCACAAAATGGATGATAAAACATTACAGTTCCAGAGGTCAGACTTACAGAAAACAGTCAAACTGATGGTTTTCCTGGAGCTGGTGTTGAGGAAGGGGTTGTGTGCCATGCAAGTGTAGTTGCCAGTGTGAATACGCAGGATCTTGGTGATTACGAGCTCTGGCCCGGTGTACACCTGAGCGTTGTTGTAGAACCAGATGTACTGACAGTCTGGATTGGACTGAGCTTGACACAACAAAGAAACATTTTCTGTCTCCAGAGCCGAGTATCCCCACTCTGTTATGTTATATGGAGTCACATCTATCTGAGGATAGTCAGGACCAACTGAGGAGAGAAAAAAAACATGATCAAGATGTGAATGTCACATGCATGTTATGCAAAAAGCAATCACTACCACATGTCATGTGTTCATAGCCAAGATTCAGAGTGGCCCACCTCCTGCTTTGTTTTATATAGGAACGGAAGACAAAGAGTATTATAAAACTCTTCGAAAAGCCTGTTTTTTAACCAACCTCATGAATTAAATGTCTCTCCCTTCAGCTTCCCAGTGCTTCAATCTATTGATGGCTAACATCCCAATAAGACAAGAGTTTGGACAATGACGGAGAACATGGTTCAGAATCTTTTCTGTTCCCATCAGAATGTTTGTGGATGTTTCGTGGCAAACATGATCTCACTTTAATGTTTGACACAGAATCAACATTTTGGAGCATTTATCTTGTGACTGCTACATTCGGTGCATGAAAAGTTGTTCAATTATAGATAAATATATGTGGAGTGCTGTAACCGCAACTAGTTGGGGGTGTTGGGCGGTTTATAGTTTGAAATGTCACAAATCTTTAAAAATAAATAAATGAAAGTGAAAACTAAAAGTACACGCTAATCTTTTAATGCTTACATGTGATGTTTAGCCATGACCGGTCAGAGCTCTCACTGTTGACAGCATTGCTGGCAACACAGCGGTACCAGCCTGTGTGATTCCGTTCAATGTTAGTCACGTTGACACGACTGCTGCCGTGTGCAAAGGTTGTGAAGTTCCCCCAGTGGACTGCATACTGCCACACATACTGGATCGGTTCTGTTCCCGTTTTCACATTGCAGTGCATCTGCAGTGTAGATCCTTCCACTGGAGATGCATCACTCATCAGGAGGTTTGGCGTACTAACAGGGACTGGATTAAAGGCAGATTCACACATAGAGGGATGTATTATGACATTTTTACACTACATAATGCCACACTGCCTTTACAAGATGTTGCTTCTCATCGTGAGCCTTCTGCTTGTCTGTCCTATAACTTTATCTCAATCTAAGACAATTAATTTTGGCCTTTATATTCATTTTAAGAAACTTTACAAATGAAATACAAATGACGTGTTTACGAAACTTTGCACTTTGTGTGCGGAGTCCTCCCTTTAGGGTAACAGAAAACTGGCATTTCACTGGAAACTATTCTAGCTCCGTGAAGATTTTACTTTGTACTGTGGAAAGTTCACTTTGATCACAAATCTCTGTTGTCTTCCAAAGCCTTCTGACTTCAGAGTTCATCAGTGCATTCTTTGTTCCACCGGATGTGCTCTGCATTATTCTTGATATTTTTTCTCGTGCTTTTGATCAGTATGTTTTGGGCTAGGGACAGCAGCTTCTCAAAGTGAATATTAGCTTACTGATAAATAGGTAAAATTGAAACAAACTGTGGCAGAATCCAAAGATTCCCTGATTAATTATCAAATTATTTCCAGATAACAGCTTTTTCATCCACAATAGTACAAATTAAAACCAAAACCCTAAATCTGGTTCAACGTATAAAAATGAGCACTGACCCAGTGTGAGTCTGCAGGTCTTGGTTTGGACCAGAAGCGGGTGCTGAGCATAGCAGGTGTACGGCTTCCCACTGCGGGCGGTGCCATAGCGGAGGACCAGGATGTTGGAGTTTTCTTCTCCATCTTTTCTCTGGTCTTCAGAGCCCTCCCACCACACTAAGGCTTCGGGGTTTCCTCCATCCCAGAAGCAGGACAGCGTCACATACTGTAAGTCACTGCTAGCACTGAAAAAACACACCGGTTCTGCAGGGGGAATATCTGGTGAGATAGGACCCAATTGGAAAAGTTTAATGAAAACCAGTGCAAACATTTTGGCTCTGGCTTTGACTGTGTTGATGTTTCTGTGGTCTCTGTTCTCACATGCGCGCGTGCTGCACTGTGTCTGGTCTTTTAGGGCAGGATGAGAACCGACGCACGTAAACAAGCTGTTGTTAGAATTCAGACTTTCAGAGGGAAGCAAGATGACTGCGCTGTTGAGTGGATTTGTTAGTTGAGCTCCATCGAGCTGAGCTCTCCCTGCCAGTTTCAGGTCTCCAGTCCAGTGGAGGGAAGGGGAGGGGGACCCACCGGGCCAGGAGCAGAGCATCCTCAGAGAGGTGTGATTCTGAGCCGGCTCCACAGAGCAGGAGGGGGAGCCATCTGGTGGATCTGCAGAAAAAACGTTTTGAGATGTTCTTAAAATAGGATAAATAGTTTTATTGTAAAGTTTTCTTATGCATTCATGGAGTTTATTATACACAGAACAAATGTAGCTAAATCAGACACAGTGGCCCTTGACTCCAGAAAATTAGGATCTGGGGGAGATTCACAGGCCTCCTTCACACATTAACATTGACCTGCAGCCCTTCCATTTTTCTGTGATGTGCTTTCCTACATGATGTGCTAGTGTACTGCTAAATAAGTGTTCTTTCATTAATGTAAGCTGTCACATGCTGTTTTGCATCCAACTGACAATGAAGACTGCTTTACTGAGGGGGTCTGAATTTCCAATTATGATTAAATCAGAATTAGCTAAATGAAAGCGTCTCATGCTATTGGACTTAAAGTATTAAATCAAACTTAATCTGATTGTATAACATGTTGACAGCTACATACTGAATACAAGGGTTAATAGAGGAGCAGGTCACAAAAATGTTCCAGTACCAGAGGTCAGACTCACAGAAAACAGTCAAACTGATGGTTTTCCTGGAGCTGGTGTTAAGGAAGGAGTTGTGTGCCATGCAAGTGTAGTTGCCAGTGTGCATGCGCAGGATATTGGTGATGGTGAACTGTGGCCCGGTGTACACTTGAGAGTTGTTGTAGAGCCACACATACTGACAGTCTGGATTAGACTGAGCTTGGCAAAACAAAGACACGTTGTATGTCTCCAGAGCGGAGTATCCCTCTTCTGTTACACTGTATGGAGACACGTCTATCTGTGGAACATCTGGACCGACTGAGGAGAAAGAACATCAGCGTTTTCAGAAGATGGAGACCGTAGAGATATTTTCAAAAACCAAGCTTGAGTTTGATTTTAATTACATCCTGCCCACTAACCACATCACGTGGACCTTTGTCGTGGTTAGATCAAACGTGTTGAATTTGTGATTTTTTTTTAACACCATTTCTAAGAGCAGTTAATTTTATCATTCATACAAATGTGTTCTCTGACATGTTAGGTACTGCTTCACCCCCTCATTTAAATCACTGCAGTACTCCATAAGTCAGCAGCTAGTTGTAAAGTCACAGCTAGCACTCAAAAGTGTTTTACATCATGTTTACAACTACTACACACTGTTGAAAGATGTGTAAATAGTCTTGAATCCGAACCTGTTTCAATAAACCTTTTTACTTTAAAAAATCTTAGCTTGATAAAGTAAATTTAGTGAACAATGCTACCATATTAACCACACTAAGAACAGATAAGAGAAGTGGTGAAACTTCTGAAAAAAATAATCTGCTATTTAAATATATGAAACAATGATAATTAGATATTATTAATGGTGACACTTTAAATTAGTGTGAAAAAATACTGAAATCTACTTTATCTATTATCATTTAAACATCAAGTAGAGAAACACAAAATGCAATCATTTAAATTTCTTATTACTTACACTTTATGTCCAACCACAATTTGTCAGAACGCTCACTGTTTACAGTATTACTGGCCACACAATGATACCAGCCTGTGTGGTTTCGGTCTATGTTGGTCACGTTGATGATGCTGCTGTTGCTCTGTGTGAAGTTTTTGATGCTTTCAATGTTACTTTCATGTTGCCACACATACTGGATCGGCTCAGTCCCATTTTCCACCCTGCAGTGGATTGATATTGTAGATCCTTCAACTGGAGATGCATTACTCATCAGGAGGTATGGCTTACTGACGGGAACTGAATTACAGACAAACACACACTCAATTATATTTCCATCCTCTCATCTAAATGTTATGTTTTTCATAATGCCATTCTTTTGATATTGGTTGAATATTCTTCATACAGCAATGCCCCTGCCAAAAAACTTTTATGTATTACCCAATATCTGTTGGAGCTGTTCATCCAGTCAATTTGTCTCTTTGTCACCACAGCGTTTGAATGGTTTACCAGTAGCTGTTTCTTGACATTAATTTCCCCGTAATATTGTTGCGGCAATTCCTGGCACATTTACTATATATAGTTATATACAACTATATACATATGTATACTATAAATAGCAGTAGTTATGTAGTTGTTTTAGTTATATGCATGGTAAGTCTTACCTTGGACTGTTAGATGCACGTAGTGGTAGTAGACTATGGGTTCCTCATCTATGTCATAGAATGCCTGGCAGGTGAACAAGCCATGAGCAGCCAGAGGAAGATTTTCAATCCTTACAGAGGCATTGTTTGAGATGATAGTGAGCTGTCCAAGTGTCTTAGCCAGCTTCTGGATCTTTGGTCCTTTTCCCAAGTCATACACCACGGCTTTTATCGCTTCAGTTCCAGGTTTGGTGAAGCTCCATATGTATAAGTCAGGTACTTCAGTGCCACATCCCAGTATCACAGCCTGGTCCACCACTCCATAAACACTGGTGTCCCGATACTCAACCTCCCCAGTATGATTTATATACAAGCCTGGAGGAGAGAGATAACACTCTAACATGCCTGCAAATGTGTGTGACGAGGACACGCTGGAGTCATGTGCTCTGCCAGTGTTTTGCTGCAGGTTTGATTACAGAGACGGAGAGTCTTTGCAGCAATCAACTAAACTAGAGTTTTCTCAGGATTTGCAAAACAATCACTGCTAACTCTCCATACTATTTTTTGACAGAAAGACAGACATTATACCAAATGACCTTACCATGTGCTGAGAGAGTGTGCAGACTGGTTGTTAAATATACAAAGGCCAGCCCTAGTAGTTGGACCACCATGGTATCATGATGATCCTGACTCCAGCAGTCGTTTTACACCAAAAGATGAGGTAGAGATTAGGTGCTGAATCTTGAAAAATACAATCGGTTCCTTCAGAGGTTCGTGGCTGTCTTGGTTTGTCTCTCTGCTCAACAAGGCTGCCGATGATTCCACTTCAAGACAGGAACATTTCATTAGTCTTCAAGTAGGAGATGCTGGGTCTCAGAACTGATTTAGATGCAGCTATTCATGTGTTTTGCCTTGTCGCTATTCCTTTAGCCCTCTTTCTTTTTCCTGCAGGGATAGAATGACAGAGTGATACTAAGATGATTTATTATTCATGACGTTTGCATGAGTGAATAGTTTAGGTTTCCACACACATGCGTATACAGTTAACCACATACCTCCACATTACCTAACCCATCCAGGACTGTTGCAACCTGGCATTCATGTATTCACTCTGACATTCCTTTAATCTATTTTTAAAATATGCTCCAGTAATTCCGTTGCTAACAGTTAGAAGATATTGTCTAAAGGATTTAACATGGTACCTATCATGACCATGAATGACTCTTTGTCTCTTCACAGTTTGAAAATATATGTGGGTTTCAATAGCTGTCAATGCAAATAGAAATTTTCTGCAGGAACGAAGAGGATCCAGAAAACTGGAAACTCATAATGATGGTTTTGTGGTTTTCTTCGCAGCATAATGTAACCTCAACAGTCTATTTGCAAACTTTCAGTGAGGTAGGACTGTAGTTTCATTGAATGTCTTGATCCTACAAATTTTCCCCCATATGATCTTTTTTTTATATTAGCAATGAGTTGTTTATACAAGAAAAAGAGGGTAAGGACTGTTGAATGGATGAGGGTGTATGTAATGTGAGATGTCATAAATAAATGCAGGACACAGATCAGTTTTCTTCACTTGGAAAGGATGAATACAAAATATTCTAAGCTGATGATAGGGCTCATTGTTCATGAAGATTTTAGTTTGACATGCATACTGTTAAATAAAGCAGAAAAAATGTATTATAGAGGACATAGTTAGATTTGTATGAGTATCTAAGTTATCCCCTTACATAAGGGAAAAATGTATTAATCTTACAGTTTGGGCTATATCTGCTAACTGCTCAAAAGGTTTTGACTGTTCCACTCAAATGGAAAGCTTTGGATATGTGGTTAGTAAAAGTCACATTTTAATTTACACAAATGGGAGTTTCTGTCTTGCTGTCTCATTGCCATGTATGTTTTAGTCTTCTGGTTTCCATATCATCTTTTTTTTTATATTCAAGTTCATTTCTGATTATTATTGCATTGAACTTAAGTTTATTTTTTTCCTTGTTTTACTACAAGTCCTCATTTCTGATTGCCACATTTGATCCTCATTTGTCATCACATACACCAGTTTGTTTTATTTTGTTCTTTGTTTTCCCAGTGTTATGCAGTCTTTTTTGTTTTTTACTTGACATTTTGTCTTTCATCTGTTTGTTCCTCTTACGTTATATTTCAGTTAACTTTGTCCTTCTTTGTCCCTGCTTTACGATCCCTCTTTGTTTAGATTTGTTCAACATGGCCTTTTTTCCCTACACTTTCTGTTCTCTACAACTGATTATCCTGAATATCCTCCCACTACCTCCTGCTGTGTTGCCAACTGTTTCAATTAGATAAAGCATGCTCAATAAAAAGCTGCTTTTAAAAATTGTGAAATTGTCAAAAGCAACATCTGGAAATCCAGCCTCAAACAATAATCTGCAGTTCATCATACACAGTCCTGTGTATGCACACATTCATTTATGAAAAGCCCCACATTTAATAAACACAGTTAATAAAGTCCTCATCTTAAAAAATCAACCGTCTGGTGTACTGGGTTTGGATATTCTTCAAGGTTATTGTCATTAGGACTGGGTTATGGTGAGTGGTGTCGATTCCAACATCTGATTACTCTCATTGAGCAGCCATGTATAACTGTCATGATATCAAGCTTGATAATTGACTTAACAATAATCAACAAAAGCTTTGAGGATTTTAATACTTTTGTCTATTACAACTCTCTGTGCTAAATGATCGCAGTAATAGTTGTTATTTTCTGATTTCATGTAGAATGCAGATTTGTATCACTAAGTTCCTCTGAACTGTACATATAGTCATGTTATATACATTTATCTTAAAAGGAACAGTGGGTTATTCATTAATTCTTGGTTCAGAGTACAAAATCTGCAAGGAAAAGTGTTCTTGGATGAAGATGAATAAGCCAAATGCTTTTTTTTCATAAGTTGTCGTTGAAAACTTAAAGCCGCTCGATACAATTGCAACTGAAAATCTGAATTCAAAGATATGTTCCTTCTGAAGTAACTGAAGTAAAAATCTTTATATAGAAAAAGCAGCAGGTTACAGTGTGTCTTCAGTAGTGAAAATATTTGACCTTTTTGGTGATATTAGTAAACTATGCACATAGTTTGAAATAATACACTGTTGTTTATTAGATCATGTTTATTGAAATGCTAAAAATGTCAACATTTAGCCAACAACCACAAAAAGCACCAACACATCAGTTTTATCAATCTTCAGTAAATATAAAGTTTTTTTTCAATATGAACATGATACAAAATAAAAACACAATAGAAGTATTACATTGAACCAGGAGACAAAACCAAACTGTAACATCTGCTGACATTTAAGGTTTGTCATTGTGTAAAACTCAGGATGAAGAGTGGCATTAGATAAGGAGGATAATAGCTTTTTTTTCTTTTTCTTTTTTTTCCATGGTATCAAATGATGCCATGACAGATAAATTAAAAAGTCAACCACATCCAGAGGTAATCCCATCCTTTTGGTTTGAATAAATCAGATATAATACATCCAACCTGTACACTTTTTTTTTCATATCGACCTCTCCTGACCTACACGTTAAATATGGATCAAACCTTCCCTTTTCAAAGAACATAAAACATAACAAAAGTTCAGTGTCCTTAGTGCCCATATGGGATGGCGCAGACAGTGTTGTCCTGCTGCTTGTAAGTCCAAGAAAGTTCAAATATGATCTCCAAAACATCCACTGGGAAATGTCCAACTTTGAATCATGTTGCGTTGATAAGCTCCCAGCAAAAGTTTGAGTACGTGACACAATGTGGACTCAGACATATTGCTCTTTGGGAAAAGTGTATGTTCCTCCTGGAGGGGGAGGGGCCAGTCCTGGCACAGAGGGGTATTTAAAGGTGGCCGTGGTGTGTGAAGGCGGAGCAAAGGTGTTTTTTGACAGGGTGTTGGTGGAGTTGTTGCCTGTTGAAGGCATTGTTTGTGAGGAGGGATATGGGTGCTGAGGCAAAAATGTCAGAGGAGGGTTGATTGGAGGGGAGTAGGGCTCTGGGTAGTCGTCCTTATTACAGGCCAGCCTGTAGCTCACATAATCCGCTGTGTTTGGCAGCTCTTCATAAAATCGTCCTGAATGCTGGGAAAGAAAGGCATACATTAGAATTTGAAGTAGTCATAAAAACACTCTGTTCAATGCAAAAATAGTGCTAGTCAAAATCAACATAATGTCTCTCAACATGTAAACACTTGTAAACTTCCCAAAACATTGTGATTACCTGGATGTCATCACCTGTCCTCTTTCTTATTGGCTGAGCCATCTTTCCGGAAGGGGAACCAGCTCTGAGCATAAAAAATACATTTAACAAAATTAAAAACTAAAAGAAGGAATAAAGTAAACTAAAGTTGGACAAACAAGGACTTGCAGTGAGAAGTCAGGAAGATCATGTCTACGTACGAGGAGTTGTCTTTTTTGCTTCTTATTTTCAGCACCAAAACTGTGACGGTAATGCCCAAAAGTACTCCAGCAGCCAGTAACAATGCGATCACACTAATGACATCACCGGTTGCAATCTGTGGTAGTGGCTTTTCTGCAAACACGAATATGATAACAAATCCAGATCCTGGAATTAAACACTGTGTCCGATGAAAACAAAATAATTTTTTAATTGTAAATAAAAATTAAACACATTCTATTTTCAACATAGTTATTGCTTTAAAACATTATTAGAGCAGAAATGGTGTAGAACCTTACCTATAATGCTGACCTCTACAGAGCCTGATCTTGTCCCGATGCTGTTGGTTGCATCACACACATAGGTTCCCTGCAGGTCATACGTAACCGGTCCTTTAAACATAAGGACATTGTCCCGGATCTCAGCATAAGTCGGGAGGGATCCGTTAACCCTGCAAATCATACAGATAAAACCCCAAACTTAGTAACGTACATGTAGGGAAAAGTATTACTTTTTGACCTAATTCTCATCTGAGCATGCCTCATGAAAATATATTTCCGGGAATGGTGGTTCTTTTGAACAGTTGCAACAAGTTACATTTGAGTTTTACGGTTTGGGGGTAAATGGGACAGAAGCCCAGCAATGTCTGATCTTTCAAAAATAAAACTAAACATTAAAGTACCTTTTACATCGCCTGTTGTAGTCACAGATATTATATACAGTCCATTTTTTTACCATTCTTTTTATCATTAGAAAATGTGGTCCCTGCAAAGTCAGCAGTCATGTGCCATGATACACCTTAACAGGACAAACATTTACCAGTTCTGTTTTTTTTTATAATCTATTAGTGATTTCAGACCAAGTATATGCTCTGTAATTGCAGTTAGGGATCTATATGCATCACATGCCCCCAATGAATTTACTAAAAGTTTGCTTAATTCACCTCAAATCAGATGATAAAGTTAAAGTTCATATCTAACTGTGTGCTCTCAAAAACAGAAAGAAAGAGTTGATTTGTTTAAAACACAACAAACAGCAGGACTCACAGTCTCCACTGATACAGAGAGACTGCTGGGTTGGCATCAGCTTGGCAGCTCAGCTGGGCGTTCTCTTTGTTTAGATACCAGTTTCCATCAAACCCATCCACGGTTACGTCTGGCTCATCTGGTGCACGAGGGGAAAAATAATTGCATTTCTGCATCAGATCTCTTGATTTACCTATAATTGTATACGCTTCTTGGGTGAAAGAGAAACTTACACTGAATATCGAGGGTGACGCTGTCTGTGTAGACCTCCTCATTGTAGGTGGTCACACAGGTGAGCGTCTCCTTGTGGGTTTCTTTACTGGGCACCAAAATGTAGTCACTCTGAACTGTAATTGTTCCGTCAGAATTCTTATACTCTCGGGTGGTCACTTCTCCAGGTACTCTTGTCTCCCACCTGCCACATCAATGAGGATTTACTTTTCACACAAAAAAAACCTGGATGCATTTACAGTTGACTTCCAGTCAGTACTATGAAAATATAATATCAATGTTCCATTTCTTTGGGCCAACAATATTTACAGTGCAATTTCATTTTCACAACTTAACAAAATAAATATTTTATGAATTGTAAAGAGACAAAGTATATATTTCTTCAAGCATTGCATAACATGTCTCCAGCATCTTTACAATCAATTTGAAATTAGATGCAGTACAGGTACTTAAAATGTGCATTACCAAACAGAGCAGGACATTAAAGGGTTAGGGAAGGAGGAACTTTTCACAACACCCTTTATCAAATGGAAATTAGTTCCGATCCCTCTCACACACACCTGATTGTGCCAGGAGGCTTTCCGTTGGCAGAGATGCAGGTAGCCACTGGGGTTTTTAGATTGGATGAACGAGCAACTAGTGTCGGTGAAGAAAGACTCATCTGAGTTGTTGGGCGGACTGAGGGAATATTAAAGCATATGCTTGTTAATATTGTATAGAATGTACACATTTAGGTTAGGTCAGTATGCTGGCAGATTATTATTTGGTCACGTAGTTATGTTCATGTTAACAGGTCATTTTCTGTTAAAGAAAACCACAGGTGCTCTTGAACTGTACAGGTTTTCACCGTAGTTTATCAGTTATATAAAACCCATGTGAAAAATCAAATTCTCCTAATTGTCTCTAATGCCCTAAAAGTGGTCCATAATGGCCAATACTCCATAATTCCCATATGATAACAATTAGGATTCCACCCCCACATAAATTAATAAAAAGAGCTATTTTCTGTGGTTCTGCACACCTTAGATAACTCATTTTAAATTAATGAAAATCTCATGCTTTAAATGTTAAATATGAAATATTATTAATATTCAGTTTGCAAAACATAAGAAGAAGGCATGCAGCTAATCCTAACAACAGCAATATAAAGCTTTGTAGTGTGGTACCTGTTACCACGGATAAGCTCTCACCATTATAGATATCATTTTCTGGGAAGGCTGAGCGACACAATTTAGATGATGTGTTTCACATCACATGACATATCCTTACCATAGACAGTGAGATTTACAGTGTTCTCCCGGTTCCCCGCGGGGAACGTGGTGTATTCACATATGTAGGTGGCCTCATCAGAGAGCCGAAGCGAGGAGAAGCTGATGGTTGTGTCTTCAAGAGTTGGAGTTCGTCGCCTGACCGCTGCATTCTTAAAGGACACTCGGTCCCTGTAGGGCGGGGCCACGGACACACCCAAGGACGGGTTGGCTATAGCCACATTCTGCTTGCTGCCATTCACCAGTTTTTGCCATGTTACCTTCATAACAAAATAATAGAGTTAAGAAATAAATGCAAGAATGTGGCTGTAGTGCTGCTATGTTGAAGTGTTGACGGAAACACAAACAGGCAAAAATATATAGGATTGATGAACATGGTAAATGACCAGACTGCTAGTCTGCACAATTAGATTTATATTAACAAATACAAAAAATGATTCAGTAAACAAAGCATTTGGTTTGACTCTTTATAATTCCTGAACAAGTCTAGCTTTCAAACCTTTTAGGTTTAGATGGAACTAGTGCCCCACGGATGATACTCACATACTCATGTAAAGCAGCTTAAAAAGATTTGCAGCGCTACATTATTTTTAATGCATTCTCTCGCTATAATTCACTCATAAACTCCTACAAAATTCAAAATCAGTGCAAGTGTGTTTGCTCTAGTGTATAGTCTATAATAGCATTACACAACATATTATTGTTAATCTCACTAATAAATAGAAAATCCTCCATATGTTTTTAAGTGTACAATTCCAAAAATGGTGAATCTGTTATGCTTAGAAGTGGCAGACTGTTGCCAGCATCTGTTAAAGCTCAGGTCTAATGACTTATAACCTCAAGTCTTTCTATCAGCATTCGGCAAGCAAGATATTCCCTCTCCAATCTGATTTTATTCTTCTTTCACCAGTATTTCATTGTGGTAAAAGAAAGATTTTTTTGTACGTTACATATCTGGATACTGTTTTACATTCCTACCCCTAAAGATGGTAGGAATGGCAGAGCAGTACATCAATTATTTATGTAGGTTGTAAACTGAAATTGTTGTTATTTCACTGGCAAATGCTGCAATTTAATTACATTTCTTTCCTTAGGTAACGTATTTGTATTTGTGTACAAATAAAGTCCTCCACCAAGCCACCTGACCATCAACCTTCCACTTTGCAACAATAAAAGAGTAAAACATCTGCACGTTTTGACACTCAACTAAAAAATGTGTTTCTTCAAAATTGGAATTTTTGTTCTGGTTGTTAATTTTGGTATTTTCTCATGTGATTTGTTATGGGATTTGGTCGTATACACATGATGCATAGGGAGTAGCAGGCAGACATATACCTGAGAGATTTTGACAGGTGGAGAGCTGTTGATGAACCGACAACGAAGGTCAACCTTTGAGCCAACGTAACCCGACTTCCCATCATCCATTTCCACCCTCTGTCCAGTTATTTCTGCAGAGGAAACACAAAACATGAAGACACAAGAACACTTCCTCCAATGCCAAACACACAATCACTCACGAATGCTTTGAACTTCAGACCAGCATGGTTTAAGTTGTTCACGGTCAACTTTGCATGAGCTGTCAAAGGTGGGGCACTTAAGCAGAGTTGAAGGTGAAATAAGGTGGAAGGTAAGGGATTAGTGGAAGATATAAATAAGCAGGATTTGTTTAGTTACTGCTCCCATTGACTTAGTGATCTCTCTTAAGAAATCCACGGCAGAGCCACACCCGCTCACTGTGTGTTTATGAGTCACGTGCATTTATGTGCATCTGCAAGAAGTAAGGCTAGGTTTTTGTCCAGTTAATGCATTATACAGTTCTGGATAATTGATTGATCCAGTAGTGCTTGTAGTAATGCGCTCTATCATAAAGGCAACTAGTGAGTCACTCAAGGTGACAGCATGTAAAACCTGACATCAAAACAAAAGTCGGTCATCCATCTGGCACCACTCTCTCACTAAGCATGCTCTAACCTGTAAGTGGCATTTCAGTATCCTAACGCTTAGTTATATCACCACATAGTACAGGACTGCTGATGCTTCAGGCATAACACTCTGAACAGATCATATATATATATATATATATATAGTATTAATTATTAATGTATATTTTATTGTTTGATTTATAAGAGATTCATAAGCATTTGGATTCTAAACTCACTTTAAAGGTGTTCATAAAATCAAATATAACTGTGTGACTTGTGTGACTTTAATAATAATAATAATAATAATAATAATAATAATAATAATAATAATAATAATCATAATAATAATTATAATAATAATTATAATAATAATAATAATAATAATAATAATAATAATAATAATAATAATAATAATAATAATAATAATAATAATAATAATAATAATAATAATAATAATGTTAGTGTTTTCATTATTCTACCATCACCAGACATTTTTCAATGGCAAAAGACAACCACAAATGGACTATGATGAGATTCTCTAATTCTCTACTCTAATACTCTAATAGATGTATTTGCTTTCAATTCAAGTTCATCCATGTAAAAAGGATTTAATACTTCTTTTGTATTTTCTCTGTGCATGCAGACAGACTGGTTAGCCCTCTAGGATTAAACGATCATAAAAAAAAGACATTGTTGATCCTGCAAAATATGCTTCAAATGCTTTGTTACATTATCGTGTTTCTTGGTGTGCCTTAACGGCTCGCTCTCATAAATGTGCGTGTCTGTGTTGGACACATGGAGAGAAGAGGGCCAGAATTGGGAGCACTAGATTACAGACCATGAAGTATTAAGTGCTTTTATGGTTCATCTTGTAAACACGAACAACCAGAGTTTGACCTACCCAGGACCTCAAGCAAAATGCAACTACGATGCTCCAGCGGAGCCGTGTGCCAAGTAACTAATTACCTTTAATGACGCCCCCAATGCTCCCACTACAAGTCTTTAAGGCCATTTCTACTGTCACCCAGGTCAGAGGCAGAAACTCTAAGGAAAAGTAAACTTTAAATTCAGCACTTTAAGCAACTCGCATCTATCCTTGTCTGCCAGCTAAATGATTCGGAATCCTCACTGTTTCTGTTGAGAAAGAGACAGACATTTCATTTTGCACATGTCACACATTGCATCTATTTAAATCAGGAGATGGTAAAGTTGTAATATAATAGTATCCATCAAGCTCAACTAAATTTGTATTTCACTTTAACTTTCTGTCAGGTACTACGACAGGGGCCACAAAAATGGAGAGCGCCGGACAGACAACTGGAGGTAAGACATCAATTTAACTTTTTGTTCCCTGAAATTAAATTGGAGAGAGCAGCTTCCCAATTTCACATTTGTCATATGTCAGTTTGCAATCTAATGGAGAGGTTTAGTTATCAACATTGATATCTTACACATATCATGACTCCATAGTCCGTGTTTACCTCTGACTGTGCTACTACTCAGAGAAAACTGTGAGTGATGTATGTTTAAATTAGAATTTAACAGACTGACATTTCACTAATATTGGACCACTATAATTTAGCTTAACTTTTAACAGCCTAAGCCATTTGTTTGTGGTTTTATTTCGTGCTGTTGTCACCATACATGCAACATTCAGATTAAACACAGTTACATCCATTACAACTTAATCCACTTGAACAAATTGCTGCCAGTAAACCAAACGTACTTCCATGAAAACAAATCAAATCTGCTTGAACACAATTGGCAGAAGTTCATAAGCCCAGCAGCTGTTTTGAAAAAGAGCGACGCATATGTAGCTGTGCAACACAATGCTGACTGAGGAAAATGTCATCTCTGGATGAATGCATGGTTCCATCAGCATTCTCAACACACGAGAGAAAACCTAGATATCTCTGATTACTGAAATGTAAAGATGTATTTTAAGAAATAACATTAAAAGAAATGCACTAAATTATTAAGAAGCTTTACTGACATGTCACAGAATTTAGCTTTACAAATATCAATCCTTACCAAATGTAAAACTTTATCATTTGTCAGCACGTATACCTTCTACCTTTCACTTGTGTTTGATTTTTTTTTTTTTAAACAGACGTCTCCCTGAGGTTCCCCTGGCTGTGAGTGCCTACTGATCTGATTAAGGGCTTAAGGTGAGGCCAGAGCAAGAGGGAAACTACCTCAGTGACACGCGTACACATTCATCTGCCCCACATCTCTCCCAGTTTCCTCTTTTCTACAGTCATTCTATTGTTTAAAGCATGGGAAATGACCTAACCAGTCCACCTGCTCCTAAACCGTAAACAGCGAGAGACGAGCATGGGAACGAAGCGAGACAATAGCAATACCGCTTCACCATTGAATGAACAAAGTTCAGCTACACAGCATGACGCCGAGCTCTTTGTTCACATCCTGAGGGGATATCCTCCATCTTTCGTCATCATTATGTGAAAACCTAAATTTAACATTTGCTCGTATGAATGAAAAATAAAGGTACTGGCAGTTGTTTCTGTATGCTGTAAGATGAGTTAACATCTTAACTGCCAAACCGTATGACAATGGATATTACAGATTTAAATTTTTTCCGGCAACTCAATTGACACCTTGAAAGAAAAACAATGTCTAATATTCATCCATCTAGTACTATTTAATTCCTTATTCCTTATTCCTTGATTGGTGCATGTCCCGGCTGCAAGAGGCAGGGTAGGATGGGCTTTCAGTACATTAGCAACCCACACAGTCACATTCCATCCTCAGGTTATTTCAAATAATCAACTAACCTAATCATTTTTTTCCTGATGGGAAGAAAGCACCTTAGCATCTTTTTGAGTGTGAACTCACAAAGTTTGGTTTACTCCAGTAAACTGTTCAATGGTACTCCAGTAAATCAAACTTGTACATGTTACATCTTTAACGTTTAAGAAAAATCTGACAAAACTAGCCAGAAACATGCAGTAGTTTTGCATATACTCAAATATTTAAATACAAAGTGAATTTGAAAATGAATGGAAATGACAAGTGCTGCACCAGGATGAGCGGTGTTTCAACTAATTCATTCAGAGCAACCATTTCATTTACATTTAAATATCAAACTGAACGTCGTCATCTTTAGCCCTGCTGTAACTGAGGATTTGCTCACTTGGCTTTAAAACAAAAGCTAACCTCGTGACTGCGGAAAAATATTAAAAACACACAGGGAAAATAAGAAGAGCAGAGATAAACTGTTTAATCTCTAGGGCATCAAATCTGTGATTGATCGGGGATTACACTGCCTATTTGAAGCTCTAGCTGGATATATTTGATACAGGAAAACCTGAGACTAAATGACCTGTGAATGCTTTTTATATTAGCTTTTTTTTCTTTTGTCATTGCCTTAAACAATAAAGAGAACACAAAAATAAATACATAAAGACAGACTTTGGGGTTAATCAGAATTGTGTTTGAGTACATTTTTCCTAATTGAATTTTTTTTTTAATTTTACCAAAAATCAATTTAAATCTCCTCTTGTTTTTGATCTGTGTGTACACATGTTGTCATGTGTGTATGTTTGTGTGGCCATATAATCTCTGTGACACTGTGGGAACGTGGAGAGTACGCTTGGCCTGTGTTCAGCGGGCAGCTCACAGGATTAGCATGTCGGCTGAATCTGAAGTTGAAAGTAAAATGCAAATGCGGAGGCGTATCAGATGGAGAGTAAACTGAGATTCAACGTCTGAGGAGGAAACTCAGCTGTTTGAGACAATGTTTCAAGTTTTCAGACTTTGGAGCAAAGTGGTGCCAAAAAAAAAAAAGACACAACCAAAAGGCAGAGAGGACTGGAGGGCTGCGTTTGCAATGGATTATTTCTGTTGGGTAGCATCTGCGTGTTCCAGCTGTGGGCAGTGGATTACACAGAAATTCTGGGGGATGTCTGTGTGTTTCAGCCTTTTCTGTTCTGACTCTGAGAGGAGAAGAGGATTCAAACTTATATGCACGGGGAAAAAACAAGTTAGCTACTGTATCTCACGGCGCTCACACCAGGCCAACTGAAGCCCACACCAGCTGGCAGACCTGTGACAGTCCTCAGCAGGGAGACGTTAGACACACTGCAGCAACAGTCAGTAGGCTGACTTGGCAGCAGTCTTGTTGTTGCATCCCTCTGCTCCTTGTGCAGCTCTAATCCACTGCTCTGTCCTTCAGCATGACAATCCCATGGCGAGGCCTCACACTCACTAATAATACATACACACATGCATCCAGTACCAAGAAATTACTGCTCGACTCTGCGCAGGGCGGCTTTATCGCTGTCCAAGTGAAAAAAGCAATCACAGCAGATGTCACGGCGGCTCTACACATCTGCCACAATCGCTTCTGTCTTTACGCATTACGCATGCCGCCGCCGTCCGCCCCCCACCCTTACACAGCCACAACTTGGATGTGAGCTGCTTGTTTGGCCTCAGCTTAGTGTGATTACACTGCTGCACCTGTTGCGGTGACGCTAGCGTTAGTCCATTCATTGAAACACCCACAAATCTGAAAGATACTGCGAAGCAACACTTCAACATGAACACAGCACAGCTTAGGTGACATGTGTGGCACGGAAATATTGTTTTCAATATTTTGACGGATTGAATCCTTCACATGACCTCAGTGTGACTCTGGAAATTGTCACAATCACACTTTAAGAAGCTGAAGAGTCAGCAAAAAAAAAATTCATGTATAAATGTAAATGAACTTTTTCTAACTTTTGCTTAACCAACATCATTACACTGGAAAATATATGTGCAGTACATTTCATAGTATTTTGTGACACTCATTACACATTTGCGCTACACAGATGCTCAGCAGAAACCCATGACATCATGCAAGATAATCTGTCAATCAGAGGAACCAAGACACTACTGCTATTTTAATTCTGAGCTCCTCTTTGAAAGGGTGTTTCATGCAGTATCGGAGTACTTTATCATATTTGTGCAGTCCCGATTACTTTAGGAAAATATTAATAAGATCCTATATGGCCTATCAGGAAGAAATGTCGCATTAAAACTTGGACATCAAATGAATCACTCAGCCATCACTATGTCTTGTTACTAATATATGTGCTGGAGGTGGCATCAGATTTATCTTTTAAAAGTCATTGTCCTAAAACAAAAAACTCAATAAAATTTGCATTATTAAAAAAAAGTCATTTACTAAGCCGGAATGCACTTAAATGAAATTGGCTATGCTGATGATGAGAGATGATGATGAGAGACAACACATGTCACCAGAGCACAGTGATATCAGATCGGTGTTTTGCTTCTGGTGCTTCGGGTCGTCTTTCTAAATGTAGGCTACAACACAAAGCTACGAGCCTAGAAATGTTCCCCACCACCAGGGACTCACCAGAGAGTTGACCCACCTGAAACAACGCAAGTTGAAATGAAGAATATCAAAAGTCCACTCTGTTCCATGCCCAAACCACCTTTGCCAGCTTCTCTCTACGTTTGAATTAAATTCCCCGGGAGAACTTGTTTTTCCTCCCGCTTTGAACACAGCTTCAGCTTCAGGACCAGTCTGATGGCACGTAGGGCACAACGCGAGCGCACACTCCCCACCAGCCGCTCTCAGCCAAATCTCCCTGCCTTTTGCCACTTTTTCTGTCCGTCCCTCTGACTGTGACTTCACGCCGACTGGTACTGGGGCAGAGGCAGTTTTGGCTTGACGGGGATAAAGCCGCTTAACGTGTGGGCAGATTATTTCCGAGATAGCCTAACCCCCAAGTCCCGAGGGACAGACAGGCTACATGTCACTGTGTGGGCGCTAAGCTGAGCAAACCGCTGTCCATATCCGCTGTCCAGCAGATATCCATAATAAGAAACAATTGGCCAAGTTAAACGAGCTTGCTATACTCTATGTACCTTCGTTTCTATTGGATTTTTAAAAATAACCAATCAGTGATTGATTCTGCTTTTTGAAAAAGCTGCTCCAGAAACAGAGAGAATGCTGACCTGCTGAATGGACCAGAGGATGAAAAAGGTTGGAGAGCAGAATAAAAACATTTGAATGTCTAAAGAGAAATGCCCTGATGTTTTGCTGTGTCATTCTAATGGGCTGAAATGTAATGTATATGACAGACTAACAGTAATCATAGATTGTAATAGAGAAGTGTCGGCCATGGACTGCATTAACAGAGAAGATGGTGAATAAAAATTTGCATAACTAAAACACATTAAAATGTGAAAGAGCAAAAGCCGAGGCTGGTGTTACTTTGCAGTATTAAGCAGACTGTGGCAAAGACATGGGCACACAGACAGAGCCTGAAACCGGTCCACCAGCACCACCAGCCCGAGTGTGTTTAATGGGGCAAGGCTGCATCCCAAGATGGGATGGAGGGGCCTGGACACTGGGTCAACCCCAAACACACACACCACTGGGCACGAGTGATGGCTGTACAACAACTACCACTGATTAACTTCCACAACGCTTGAAATTATTTTTTTACATTCTGTGTTTGTTGCAGCTATTGTCTCATTCGTAACGGTGGATTTGGTAATGACAACACAGAGGAGTATCAGCAGCTGTGGTTAATTTCATCCACATGTGTCAAAACACCAAACTGCACATGACCCAAGCAGCGGCACCTTGTGATGCTGACTAACTACATCCAGTTGACTTTGTGAAATTCCTCTTGTCTGCCTCTGGGTGGAGTTCCTGAGCTGTTGAATGAGTCTGTTGGAAGGACAGTGCTAGAAATTTCTAGACGGACACAAAGAGGAGTGAATGCACTGATACGATATGAACATGATAGGATTACTCAGCAGATCAAAGGAGAAGAGCAAACGTTACATCAGAACACAACAATTTAAGGACGGTTTAAACTAGTAGTATGTTGTTGTTTTTTTTGGGGGGGGGGTCTTTTATGAATTTAATTCATCCACTTTTTGTGCAAATTGTTTTCTTCTGATTTTTAGTTATTTATTTGATTCTCCCACTGTTTTTTCTGTTACATGCTACAGAGTTACGGACCATGGCTAAAATGTTGTGTGTGGAATGCATGGACATGAGTTTGATAAATAATGGTGAATGTTATTTCATTTATCAGTCAAATAGTTGCCTTTCATTCAAAGAGCAGTTCTTCACCACACCACGTGCATTTAGATACTAGAGTCTTGGATAATAGTACACAATAACTGAACTTTAAATGGTGTTTAATCCATGCTTATGGATTGAAATAATAACAAGATCCTCTGATATGAAATTGTATTGGATGATATAATGATCCATTTCCTCAGTCATATTTCCTAGTTCTTACAATCGGGTCTGTACCTTGCGAACTGTGAACAGTTAAATATTTTAAGGAAGTCTTTCCAATTATTTTGAAATTACTTACTTTTTTTTGCAAATTACTGAATTTTTGCCCTTTACATGTGGTTTTATGTCTCTATGGTGTTCTTTTTTACTAATTTCTTTTAGTAAGCTGTTGTTAATAATCCTCAGTAGTTTCAAAATACTGTTGTTTCTTTTTAGTTACCTTTTACTTATCCGACATTTTGTATTTTGTGTTTTTAGACTAGCTGTTTCCATTAGATTAAAGTTCAGCAAATATTTATCATGAACTTCATTAAGTTTCATTTTTAATTACAAAAGTTTAATTTTTGGTATCCTTTGAAATAGCAAATAGAGATCAGTGTGAGATTGCACTCCTGAGATATGAAGGGCAAATCCAGACAGGACCATTCGATAAATGATACAAAGGTGGGGAGGCAAAAGGGGGAAGGAGAAGGTCATTACATCGTGGTGGTGAAAATGATGACCGAGTTTTTCCTCAGCGTACACAAACAGCCTGCCCAGCACTCATCCCACATCAGGCACTGCAGAAGAGAAAGGCGAATCAGCACCCTCTAGTCCACCCACATCCCTCCCACTGTCTCCCCACCTCTCTGTATTGCTCCTGCTCCATCTCAGAAGTGGGATGGTCTGCAGTGCTGCACACTGAGGCGAATAACAGCAGTTTTTTTCTCCCCTCAACCATAGCAGAGCAGGCAGGACGGTGTTGATCCATCATTCAGTCTTGAAAGGAGGTAAGACTCTTCATATATCTTTAGCTGGAACATCGGACAAAAAAAATATAGGGAGTATCCTTTGATTAGGATAAAAAGGAACATACTGCAACATTTAGCTTGAAATACTTGATTGAGATGCATGTATAATGAAAGAGCTAAACATTCAGAACTCAGCTTGATAAATGGTTGGATTGTGGTACTAAATAGTGTGAAGGGGACCAGTAAGATGTGAGCATTAGTGTTCTTATAATTGTCTAGTCATCCATTTTAGCTAATCACAGATCACACACACATAGATTTATAGTGGCTCGGGTTTTCAATATTTGTTTACTTTTTTTCTTGTTATTTGCACTTATTGTGGTCTATTCTTTTGTATCATCAAAATATCTAACCATATGTCCTCACCAAATATGACCTCACAGCTGTCTAAAGAGCCCAACCGATCAGCTCAGTGTGTCGATGCATGCGTGTTTACATTTTTTCAGCCTGCACGTGTGTCTCCTGTCTCCATCCGGGCGGGTGCTTCGTCATGCTCAAGTCTCTGTTTGTAAGCGGAGTGCTTGGAGGTGAGATTCAAAAGTCAAATATCAAAGTCAAATATTTTTCTGCAAATATTGGCTTCACCTGTCTCATGTGTTCTGTACCAGTCCTGCTGGTCTCAGTAGGATGTGAGCTCATCTCCGTGTGTGTCGAGGACGACAACGACCTGAGAGTGGACTGTCGGACTGAGCCAAAGCCCAACAAGATCAACAGCTACGAGTTTTCTTGGTCTTTCGGAACCAAAGAGACCCTCATTAACACCAACGTGTCCGGTTCAGCAGCGGAGACGCAGTTCAAGGACAAAAGTGAAGTTGTAGAACTGGAGCCTCACGGCTACAGAATGACCCTCTCTGGCTTCACGGACACGCTGCCACACAACACCACTTACATATGTAAAATATCTGGCCAGATTGAAAGTGTCACTGTGGAGAAAGGTGGGTGATATGGTGGAGGAAACAAAGTGGTGGCATGTGACTAAGTGAATTCAAGCGTATTTAAAGGGGTTTTATTCCTGCTTGTCTCCCTCTGCAGAACACCTTGCACCGTGCTCAGCTGTGAGCATGTTTCTGAAGAGCTCCTGGACCTCCATTGTTTGCCTGTCCTTCATCCTCTATCACACTTATCATTAGAAAATCTTATAGATAAGGAAAAGTACAAGCCTTTGCAAATGCACATGTAACTAAGCACCTTTCTGCTACTGTCTATAACATGATAAATCTTCCAAACTTGCACCAGCTACATCTTTCTTTTTCAGGCTTTCTGATTTGCTTCTTCATTGTATCAGAATGTTTTCAGAGACCAAAATTATTCAAATGTTTAGAGGTCCTTTCAATTCAGAGATGCACACACTATGAGAATAATTGCACTGACAAACATGAGTTAAGGAGAGATGCAGGTCATGTTTTCCAATAAAGGGATACTACTCAAGGTGACAAAGAGATGCTGTGTTTTCTGTTCATTGAGCAAACTTGGGAAAAATTATTTAGCCATGATAAAATACTTTTTAATCACTTGACCTCTTGGCCAGTATAAGAATCTGTTTACCTTTTTGCTAAGACTTGTGTGCATAATATAATTCCTTATTGTTAGAATAATAGGAAATTATTGTATAGTACAGAAGAACTGAAGAAAACTATGACACGGTGTCACTCATATGGGGTCCATATGTGTGTATTACCCCATCCCATTCGTCATCTTTAAGATTAGTATATTAAGGGGTTTTGTTTTACAAAAACATGATAAAACAATCATTATTACATACCCAGCTTTCATGAGTTGATAAAGCAACTCTGGGGCTGCTTGTCATGTTCAGTTTAACCCAGTAGACAAAATTTTAAAAATTCTGAACTTGACCGGAATTTCTCAAAATTTTTTATGGTCGCTAAGAATTAAAATAGTGCAAATCGAAGGACTGTTATTTGCAAAGTTTAGACATTTATAGTGGCGGAACTGGAGCTGAATATATAAAATTCTGGACTGGTTGAAACTGTCAACAGAGGCTGGTTGATTACTGCGTGTGTGTGTGGGTTGGGTACAGGCTTGTCCTGTGTGCCAAAAACTGTTACAAACAAACATCATCTTAAACTCCTCATGAAATCAAATATATATGTTTTAAGTTATATTATAGAAAATATTTTGAGCTGTACCTCACATAAAGACGCATTAGTCAGAATAATTGCTTTTTTATATATTAGTTAACATTTTGAATATATAAAATGTCAATGACCTTACTATCTGTGGCTATTTTCATTCAAAGAGGGCTACAACATTTTAAATTTGGGAAAGAACAATGGTATATCAATTATTCCTTTAAAATACCTTTTTGCAGTGTTCTTGATGTCGGTCGTACGAGAAGAAACCATAAATGCAGCCGAGAATTGGCTGTGGTAAACCCCCAGGAGGAGAAAGCGTTACAGTGAGAACATTTTGCTTGGTAGTACTTGAATTGCCCTTTTTGATCCTAGGCTCCTTCCGTAGTTTTAGATGGCATACAATAATGGCGGCTTCCACTGGTAGCGTTAAAGGAGCGGAGCTTTCCAAGGCTGAGTATCTAAAACGTTATTTATCAGCTGACGATAATTCAAATAAGTCGAAAGGGAAGATAAAAAAGAAGCGACGCAAGGTTCCTGAGAGAGGGTGAGTACATGAAATGTTTTAATCAGTTTTATTGGACAAGTTGTCTGCCAGCGAACCTAACGTTACTGCATCTGTTCCTGTATGAAATTAAGTCCTTTATAAGGGTTTTTTACATGTATTTAAGACTGAAAATAGTGGATGATGACATTGACTGGAGGCAAATGGTCCAAGAGCAGGCGGAGATTGAAGAGGATGAAGAAGAGGCTCCAGTGGTAAGCATCTGGCTAACATTACCTTTCTGGTTAGCCCTAACCTAGTCTTAGTTCCGCAGAAGTAACTTTGCTACGTTCACTAAGAAGACTTTTTTTTTACTTATAAAGACACGAAAATTGTTAAAGCAAGCTTGGGTGTCGAGTATGGGGACGTTGTCATCTAAAGCTTTAATCAATGTGCCTGACATCTTGTACATTTATATGGTATAAGATAACATTAATCTTGCATTTAATGTGATTTATTGCTTTTGGTATTGTCATAGAATCAATGCTTTTGAGGAGATAACTTCCACAGTAAACAAACCCAAAAGTTTACTCTGTTTTAAAACTTTGTAAACCTATTCAGATTGCTGAAGTCATTGATGATCGACCAGAGGAAGTGAAACAACTTGAAGCCTTTAAAAGTGGCAGATGGAAAGTAGTTGGAGGTAATTATGGAAGATCTAGAAAACATTTGTCCATGTGAAAAAGCTTGTTATTTACCCCTAAGTCTCCTGCCCTGTAGCGGATGAAGATGACGACGGAGAGGAAGAGAGAAGAAAAGAGCATGGAGAGCCACTGGCATCAGGAGAAAGTAATCTAGATTCCCCAGAAATAACATCAAAGGGAGGGAGGCATGACTCTCCTGTTAGGAAAAAAAGACACGACTCCCCAGACGTATCTCCCCAAAGGAGAGGCCGCCATGACTCCCCAGACGTGTCCCCCCCAAGGAGAGGCCGCCATGACTCTCCAGGTTTGTCACCACCGAGGCAACCATTAGGGAAGCTAAAAAAGGAGCACAGTAAAGGAAAAAGTAACATTGTGTTTTTTGTTTGTTTTTCTGGTCTGTCAGCTTTAGATTCAGTGATATGAAAAAACATCATGCAGAAACCTGACATATTCCAACAAGTTTCTGATTCTTTTATTCTTAGTGTATATTATGAGACACTGAAATTTTTTATCAATCATTTTCTTACATATGTCTGAATGAAAACTTGTATTGTGATGGATGAAAAAAATATTTAAGTTTCTATTTATTTCTCCTACAGATTTGTCTCCCGCAAGAGGAAAACCAAACAAAAAACATTTACCTGATACTCATCAATCAACTGTGGCTAAAAAATTGCAGAAAAGACATGATTCAGATTCTGATCAGTCGCCTCCACGAAAAAGAACACTGAAGCGAGAAGCATCAGATTCAGACCAGTCTCCTCCGAGGAGGCGCTCCAAAGCGAAACGTGGCTCTGATTCTGATCAGTCTCCCCCCAGGAGGCGGCCAGGGATTGAAAAGGACTCAGATGGAGATTTATCACCACCTCGTAGACCTGGCCACTCACAGGTGTAAAAACCGCGTCATCTCGAAGACTCTGATAAACTTGATCGTTTTTTATGTTTGTCTGTTTTACTTCAGTTTTTTATTTCTGGATTATTTTTATTATTTTTTTGTTTGTGTTTCAGGATAACAGGATGCTTTCTGGCGGAAAAGCAGGCTTGATTTCTGTCGATGTTTTGAGAAAAGAGCAAGAGGAAAACCGACGCAGAGAAAAAAAAAATCAACCACTAGAAGGTTGGCTCTGTTTTGTTTTTTTATTTGTATTTTTTCCCATTTCTCTCCTGCTAGTTGTTGAAGGTGCAGGACTTTGTATCTTTCACCAATACATGTTTCAGGCTGATCTAAAAATAGATTGATTTCATCTTTGGGCCTTTTGATGTTGAATTATACAGTCATTACACAACAGATTTTTTTGTTCCTTTTTTAAATAATTCATGTGATTTCTGCCTAGCTGAATCCCGCAATACCGAGACAATTTTCCGAGACAAAAGTGGTAAAAAGAGGGATTTGGATTCAGAGAGAGAAGAGCAAAAGAAAAAAGCTGGAGAGAAAGCAGCAAAGGATGAGAAATATGCTCAGTGGGGCAAAGGGTAAGCATGCCTACTAACTGTAAATGATGCACAGAGAGATGAAATATTACATTGATTAAGGTCAAAATGTGTTGTTTAGGTTGTTTCAGAGCCAGATGCAGCAGCAGAAACTTGAAGATGCTGTTCATGAAGCCCAGAAGCCACTGGCGCGTCACTATGATGATGAGGATCTCGACCGCATGTTGAGAGAGCAGGAAAGGGACGGCGATCCAATGGCTGCCATGCTTCGCCGGAAAAAGGACCGCAATCCAAAAGCTCAAGGTGCTTAACGTCTCAATGCACTATTTTATTAATTGTGAATGAATTTCAAATAATTGCTGCCTAAAGAACAAAGTTTCAAGTATTTTTTTCTCACGAGCAGAGAAACCCCGCTATCAAGGCCCTCCACCGCCCCCAAACCGGTTCAACATTCTGCCAGGTTATCGCTGGGATGGAGTTGACAGGTAGATTCCCGTAACAGCTGGATGAATTTCCTCTTTTTAATTTAATCGACATGCTAACATGTATCTTCAGGATCTGATTTTAGATTTTTTTGGGGCATTTTGTATTTCTCACACAGATCAAATGGATTTGAACAGAAACGCTATACACGGATTTCTGAGAAGAAAGCTGTCCAAGAGGCAGCTTATAAATGGAGCGTGGAGGACATGTAAAGGCACTGGAAACAGTTTCTTATTGTTTATTGTCATTTTGTTGCCGTTGAAACAACTGTATCATACACGTCTACTTTACAGAACTTGCGTGGTAAAAGACTGAGATGAGTTTTGTTAATTTTTTAAGAAAAAAACAGTTTGATACTGTAAAATAGATGTCATTTGCAAGTGTAAATAGCAGTGTAGTGACAGCATTTTAAGAATTTTGTCATACCGGAGCTAGAGTGGGGCCACAGCTGATCTGGGTTTCAAAATGTGATTAAATATTTTTTTCTAAAGTTTGTACTTAGTGTTTCTATATACCAGAGAGATTATTCTGAAAATTGACAAGATTGGATTTCATGTCTCATGCAAGTTAAATTCAAATGACTATATTGAAAACATCAATACCATGGTAAAACGCAAGATGGATTACATGTCTGAAATATTTAGTAACTGCTGGCCTGTTCCATTAATGAGACCCTTTGAGTCCAGAACACAAATATGTTGAGCAATGTGTAAAACATGCACTCCTATAATTCTAAAACATGACAAATTTTTAAGATTCCTTCTGCAAAAAACACGGGGTTTGCATTTTGGAATTCTAGTGCTTCTACATGTAGCAACAACACAATGATCACTTAGGTCATTACAGAAGACACCCAAGAGAGAGTATTTATGAGCCACAGTAAGTAAGTTCAAGTCAATCAGGGTCGATTTATTGGGATTAGGCCTGGTGGGAAAGTTGATTTAACTGGGTGAGATTATTAGAATTATAAAACCTTTTAAATTCATCAGAAATTGCATTTAACCTGTCCCAGTTTAAAATCTCCTGCCATAAGTAATTCAGCTTAATTTAAGTTATCTAAAAGCTGTTTTAATTAAAGGGCCTCTTGAAGCAGATGGAGGCCTTTAACACACAGCCACAAGTGGTGATTTAGCTACATATTACTTTGCTTTAGCTTTATCTATTTGTTTATTTGTATTGACCTTTTATCAACTGCATTCAACCAAGTGGTTGTAATTGAAAGCCCCTCAGGCTGTACCAGAATCAGGATTTTGCACAAGACAAATTACATGCACTAAAGAATTCACTTAAAATATATTTGCATGTGGATTAATTTGAGTAAAAATATAATTTGAATGATGAGAGAAATATATCGTATCCATTTAACTGAAACATACAATTACAAGTCTTTAAAAAATAATTGTGGACGCTTAAAAAAAACTGCAGAATATTGTCAGTTAAAAAAGTAGCACCTCTGGGAACCCTTTGTAGTGACGTTGTAGAGCTCATTTTCCTCACGGACTGTTTATATAGATGCACGCATGACTTCCGAATCGCGTAAAGGAGCAAACATTTTTCGGTATCAGGGTGTTTGTTCGCTTTCAAGTAGCTGTGAGTCTAAATTCATAAACATCTTAACCACTGTTCCTGACATTCGGTCATTTATGTGGCGTTACTCTGGTTAAAATGGCTGATTGGTGTCCGATAGCCAAAGTTTACGACCCGCTTAAGGCTGGCAGCATCGATGGCACAGACGTGGAGCCCCATGACCGGGCGGTATGGAGGGCCATGTGTGCCCGTTACAAACCCAACAAGGGCGTTGTTGGGGACCCATTGCTCACATTGTTTGTAGCGCGTTTAAACCCCCAAACAACGGAGGACAAGTTGCAGAAAGTGTTCTCCAAGTACGGAGACATTCAGCGTCTTCGACTGGTCCGGGATATTGTGACCGGGTTCTCTAAAGGCTACGCCTTCATTGAATACAAGGAGGAACGCTCCGTGACTCGTGCCCGTCGGGACGCTAACAAACTGGTGGTGGACCAGCACGAAGTGTTTGTGGATTTTGAACAGGAGAGAACCCTCAAGGGATGGCTGCCGCGGCGTCTTGGCGGCGGGCTTGGAGGCAAGAAGGAGTCCGGACAGCTTCGCTTCGGCGGCAGGGATCGGCCTTTCCGTAAACCCATCAACCTGGGAACCGGACCGGTGCCGGAACGGGGAAGTGACACCGGGAGAAGCTGGGACAGAGGATGGCCGAGAGGCAGGGAGGACCGGTACCGAAGCAGAGAGCCGGACTGGGGCAGCAGAGACAGGCGAGATTACCGGGACAGAGAGAGGGACGACCGCAGGCACCGAGACAGGAGATGAGAGGAAGACTGGAATGGCTATTCATGTGCCAGCCTCCAATAGTCTCATAAATAGGACCGTCCTGAAGAGCTAAATCTGACCTGTCACCACACTGATTAGGGCTGAACAATTTGGCTGAGGACATGTAAAGAGCAAACATTCTCTGTCTGAAAGCACCCCCCTTTGTGATATTGCCTCTTGGGATTTATGATGACTGAGTACTGAGGAACACTTGCTATGGTGATGAAGTGAGACCACATGGTCTGAGAGCTGGCCTTTTTCTTTGGTCTCTCATAACTTGCATAACAGAATCCTCGTCTCTCTACATGTATATGCTGTATATGTGTGCCTAAGTGGATCCATGTAGCAGCAATTTTTTTTTTCATTTTGAAAATAAAGATGTCCAGTTTGTTTTCAGGGGCCTCAAATCAGTAAAATTTGTTTTATAACAATCCCACTCATGAGTTGGTCGTTTTTATGACATTTTTCAATTATTTATTTAGTTGGAAACTTTCTCAGGAAATAGGAAACATGTATGCAAAATGATGGTATGGTGTGTCCTGTCATCTTCTTGTTTCTGGTAGAAAATTACTATTTACAATTTACCTTAATTCCTAACCGTAGGTGCTTCCTAAGAAGAGCAGCAGATGGCAGAAATGCTTAAAGTACAGGACCTGTTTTTTTTTGTTTGTTTTTTTTAGAATGGCTACATAATTGTATTTAGGGCGGGATATGATTTTGGAATTCGTTTTGCTCTGTGACCGATTAGCTCATGAGGCTGTAACACTAACACTAACAAGTTGCAGTCACACTGAGAGAAAAAACAATAGAATGAGAAAAATCAAGTTATAATTTCCATTTAATTTAAAATCAGTTTAAACTGAGGGGTAAGTCATGTAATCAAATAGATGCAAACAAATGCACACAAAACTGGCATGTTTCTCCCTTAGGATCTGCTATCCGAAGCTTGGTGAAACCTGGTCAGTCTGGAGATAAGGTCATCATTCCATCTTGTTGACCTTTGAATGAAAAATATCATACAAAAATACATGTTCAGAGATAAACGTAGCTGTCAAAGATTACTTTTTTAAAAGAATGTTAATGTCACTTAAGAGACTTTAAGTAGAAATGGTGTGGTTTCTTGGTACTTACAGATCTGCAACCAGGGCTCATGCCTGCTTGTCTGGAGGACGGCTCCCTGGAGCTCACGGCAGGGCGAGGGTTCATGATGGGCCAGCCGGGGTACGCTTCTCTTTGGACAGTGTTGAATTCAAACCTGTGAATCGGAACACACACACACACACACTGCTCTCAGGATGAAGGTGCGAGACCCAGCGCCGGTAAACCCATTCTCACCTGAAAGCGGGGTTGATGCCGATGTTATCAGGCTGCGGGAGAGCAGGCGTTCGCCTTATCAGACAGGAGGAGGGAGGAGGGAAATCCCTCTGATACTGAGACTTCATTTCTATTGTAGCTCCGTCTTTGTTCCCGCCTGGTGACTTTGAGTGCTGGTGGTTGTCATCTCGCTCATCCTCTCTTGCTTGTCTGTGCCTGCTGCTGTTTCCTTTTCCTGTTTGTCTTGAGGATGTGGAACAGGGATGGAGTGATTCCTGCTGTGTGCTCTGAAGGGCTCCTGGAGGGTTATCATGACCTGGTCAAGGCTGCCATTCATTGCTAAAGTACACCATCAAATGTTTGTTTAATAAGTTAGAGCTTCATGATTTGTCCCATATTCATTTTTGCTCAATTAGCTGTTATGCTGTTATTTAAATGTTGGCAAAAAGAGGCTCATCCACTTAGTTTAATTTTAATAGTCTCCTTAAATATGAATTTCCTATTTTATTCACATCAAAAATGACCATGAATAAATCTAGTTGAAATAATACTTTGGCAACATATTTGCCATTTATATTATCATTTTCTTATTTTCTCTTTGTTCTTTACCTGGTTTTCATTTTGATTAGTTTTCTACAGCAGATTAGACAATGAAAATGTAAACACTGCAAAGCGAGAAAGGTTCATTAAACTTTGAATTCATATTAATTTATTACCTTTACTTAAAGATCCTGAAAATATGAAGTGTTTAAAAAAAATCTCATCCATGAATAAAATGTCGCTATTTAACTCAGTTTGCTCCCTGACGTCTGATATTAAAACAGAGAAATGGAATTTACCACGCATACTCAACAGAGAGTAAAGGCTGACCTTCATCTCTGTTTTGCGGAGCAGGTCTGAAGCTGAAAGCCTCCTGGGATGTAGTCTTCATCCTTGCAGGCTTGTCAGGGTAGAGGAGGTATCCTATGGAAATAAGAGGTAAGGGCTTTAAAAGTGCCAGATCATAACAACGTCTACACAGTTATATGGAAAAAATAAGCACACTTTTTTACCAATTTTTTTATTCCAATGTTTTATGTATCAGGCCACACTTTAGAAAATTTCACAGCCCTTTACAGCTTGCTAAATTGAGCAAACAGGAGCTCAAATGAACAATGAACTGTTACAAAGTGAAAGTTATGATTTTATCATTTCAAAGACAAAATATAGCAACACTTTGAAAAATCATACACATCCCATGCAGAACTATAGCATTGCTTGATGCAGTATGGGTTCAGTACATCCACATACGTGTAAATCTTTGATTTTATTGCTCAGGTTACATATTTTTTTAAATCCCTTAACAGAAAAACATGATCAGAATTCAATGACATGATGCTTGTTTTGTTCACAGAATCTTCTGCAATGAAAATATGATCACCTTGATCTGCTGGCGGACCTAAAGGAGAGGCAAAGTTTTACCTGCCACTGTTGGCGGCTCCCCCCTGTAGGGTCGACTGCGTAGAAAGAATTCATGGTACCGGCGGGGGTGTTGCAGATGGGCATTTTCCAAAAACTTTTTGCCTTTAGTCTCCTGGGTCACTGGCATCACCAATAGCTCTAAGTTGCTTGAGTCAGGTGAAACACATACCATAGATTCCTCTTCAGTCATGTGAATTTAGATGTGTCAAAAGGTGGTAAAAACTGAAGCACGCCTGAGATAGATCACAATTACTTCTACCTGTACAGCTACAGTGTAATAAGACAGCTCCAAAGACAGTTTTGAAGTGTTTCTTACCTTATATGTTGAAAACTCATAAGATGCCTGCAGTGTTTTCCTATACTGTGCATTTTTCTTCTCTGAGTGTAAGGTCATACACAGAGCTGCATAAAGCTTGTTTATCGCTGTAGTCATGGTGCTCTATTCTTCTACTGTGAGTGGCAGATGGAGTAGTAACTAACTCAGACAATGAAGCAGCAGGACTACAGAGAGAAAGCTTAAACTTTGCAGTAACTGCTTAAAATAGGAAAACGAGCCAGTGCAGAGTTTTTGCTGCTGTTGATGTGGTTAAGTTAGACGATCGGTTCAAAGACGTTCGGGTAAGATTGGTACCAAAAGCAAAGTACATCTAATTCCAGTAAGTTGGGAATCAGTCTTGCACTAAAGTAACAAGGGTGTCTTTCATCTAATTGCCATAGATTGGAGGCACAAAATCAAGTGTAATGCTGACAACCACATTTGAAAACATATTTGTGTCATAAACAGGCTAACAAAAAAAACATGAGGAGCTTCAGAGCAGAGACTGAGTTGTTGCCCTGGAGCATTCGGCTGACACTCAGCAATGCAACGCCTCTTAGTGTGTATGTGACCTGGTAAAAAAAAAAACAGCCATATTTCTAACACATTAGCGGGCCTGTTTCAGCATGCAGTTTTTCAGGAGCTCTTTGAATCCATAAGAACCCAGAGCGGCGCAGATGTAGTAAGCAAAAAAGGCATCTTTATTTGTTTACACATTTCAGCAACAGGGCAATTCAGAGTGCTTTACACAAAATCAGTTAAAAAACAATTTAAAAAATAAAAAAATAAAAAAAAGAAAAAAAAAAAAAAAAATAAGAAACATAAAACACAAGATAAATAGTTACATTGCAACATAAGAAATTAAACATTAATGAAATGAACAGTCATTTAAAGAATGTCAAAGTCAAAAAGAAAGGTCTTTTGCCTTGATTTAAAAGAACTGAGAGGTTTCTGGGAGTTTATTCCAGATATGAAACTGAACGCTGATTCCCCCTGTTTCGTTTTGACTCTGGGGACAGAAAGCAGACCTGTCCAAGAAGACCTAAGAGGTCTGAGGGATCATAGTGTACTAGCAGATCAGAAATATATTTTGGCCCATACCTCTAAATCAGATGTATATCATTCTTCTAGCCTTTTTAAAGAAACCCCACTTATCAATGTATTGTACAAAACTATTTTTCTACATTATTTAGTGTATCATTTTTATTTATTTTTTACTTTAGCAACAAATCGTTCGAATGCAGTGGTCATTCGTGTAATATTCAACTTGATTGGCCTCATTAAAAGCAAAGGGAAGCTTGGTTTGAATTTATGTTAAAAGTTTTATTCCTTGTTTTTTTCCAAGTATTACCAAACTAATTCCCTGCGGCCAACCAAGGTGGTACTATGCAGAAGCTTTCTGTGTGGAAAATAGGAGCAATAGTGAGTTTAAAAAAAAACTTTTCACAGTTCTTAGGATCACAGCTTGTGACAGAGAAGTACATTTTAGGGAGGCAACGACCTGAATCATAGCATCAAGTCAGAGGAAATGAAAGAGTCTGTGACATGGGCTTTGTTGTTTGCCTCATTGGCTGCCCATGTGAATGTGAATAAGGCAAAGCACTTGGCTTACAGATACTTATTTTAATGCTTCTCATCCTACTTCGTATTTGAGTTCATGTGTTTTATGTTTTTTTAGTAATGTGTTTTTCTTAATAAACGCATTCATTTTTTACAACTCCTGTTCAGTTTCCATTTGAACTCTTGGCCCAGTGACCAAGGTTCTGACGTAAGTGTGGGGCATTTTCAAATGGAAAAAATTACTTCACACATTTTCATACAAAACCTTTTACAGCGATTTGTGGATAAACGGATTGTTCCTGGGAACTTTCCATCGGATGTACCGTAAGTTCATTTAAAAAATGTGCAGAAGCAAACCGATCATTAATATCAGCACGCGCCAGTAGGAGTCTCCCGTTCCCATAGTAACAAGCCTTGAGTCAGAGCCTTCGGGATTCAAAGTTAGTTTTCTGTCGATTCGCTTCGCCGGCAGGGTTCATGCTTCTAAAATAGTCTCTGTTTATTCGTTTTGTGAAGCCTGTGTATATTTTTTGTTTCAACATAAGGTCTTCGGCGGTTAAAGCCATGTTCAATTAAAATATATCAGGTTTTTGTCAACTAAAAAAAGTACCGCGGAGCTCGTCTTGAATAGCAGCCTTCCCCTCTCTGCCAGAGACTGTTGAGTATTAGTGTCCGGAAGTTCTGTGAGGGAGGGGGGGTGGGGGGAAGGCATGATAAAAAAAAAAAAAAGAGTTGGAAGAAACTTCAGACCAAGCTTCTTCGGGCTAATTGAAACACTACTTTATGTGGACGTTTCCAATCGAGGAAACGAGGCAGTGCGCTTGACTGCAGTTCTCTGATAACTAGTCGAGTGTGTTGAGCTATCGATGGGTCTTCCGACGCTGGAGTTCAGTGATTCTTTCCTGGACAGTCCGGAGTTCAGAGAGCGACTGCAGTGCCATGAGATAGAGCTGGAGCGCACCAACAGGTTTATAAAAGACCTCATCAAAGATGGAAACATGCTCGTATCTGCCCTCAAAAGTAAGTAAGCGCCGAGCAGTAACTTGTTTCCGTGCTGAAAGTGTGCGTTGCAGTGGTTTAGTCTGCATGGCTATCTGTTGATAAGAGGGCAGCTCAAGGCCATCAATTCGGTCTCAGCCAGTAAAATGCCCTCGGGTTGCTTTTGTGTTTAAGGCAAAGTCACATCTGCTTAGTTGTTACACTTGTGAAGATAGTTACAGTGTGATAGGCAGGACATTGCACCGGTATAGCAGCTACAACAACAGCCAGCAGTGCCAGTCTTATGATTGGTGTGATCCTTCTATCCTCTGTTTCACGTACTTGTTTTGTTAAGAGGTAGTTGTCTTATCTTAAAGACTATCTTGATTCGTTTCCCTATCGTGCGTTTATATTCTCATTTTTCGTGTTATCGTTTCTGTTCAGTTATCACCAATCATTACAGATTAGTTAAGTGAAGCTGTGTAGATTTATCTTTGTGTTACTCCCTGACACTATCTGAATGCCCTGTACACTCCTTAGTCGTGTCCATGAAGTGTAACTTTGTACTTATTATCCACCAAGTCCAGGAAGTTAACTTGTGCACTTTAAAATATATTTGCTTTACTTTAATAGCATTAGATGTGATACATAGATGGGTTAACATTATTGTTTCTTAAAATATATAGATGTAGAACTGAATCTAACAATAACTGTGAGATGGAAATCTTGTATATCATCGACAATGTGAATAAGCAATGTGAATTACCAACTAAAATCCATAGCGGTTTGTAGAAATACTATTTTACTAAGAAGTTCTTGGGATATTTTGTTCTCTAATTCCAAAATATTTTAAATTCATTGCTGTAAAGTTTTGAAATAATGGAAATTATTCTTTTACTTAGATGAACGATTTGAATACTCTACCTAATACAGTCTGAGATCGTGTGATGCACTTTAGGCATGTCATAACATTTTTTTAAAGGTTAAACTGATAAAGGCTGGATTTCCAGTAGCAGCAAGTAGCAAAGCTAACCGCTGCCCTGGGACCCAAAACCCTAAAGGCCCTCTGGAGACCTCGTGGATAGTTTGAGACAGCAAATTCAAGTGCTTGAGTTAATATTTTCTTTTTGTGAACCATGAATTTCCTTAACATTTTTTCCAGAATCAGTGACAATTCCCCAAGCAATTTTTCAGAGGCCAAGAAAATCTTTCAATGGCGTTTATGTCGCCAAATGCAAAATCCAGACAGTTTCATGTTTTTTTATGTTTCTTTTCACCTTTGATAAAACAATTGCTATCCTATCATCCTTTGAAGCCAGAAGATTGATTTATTTTTACTGAAGCCACTTTTTCAATGTGATTTTTTAATGTGTTCTCTATCTCTATTTACAACTCACCTGCAAAAGTGACTGAAATCTCTAAGACACCTTAAATTTGTCGCAAATAAAGTTCCAGTGGCTGAAATGATTTATTGTAAATGGTGTCACTGTTATTATAAGATATAGAAAAACACTGATTGGAAGGTTTCACACCAGTGATATTTTCCCATAAAACTTGCATTGACTGTTGTAGATGTATCAAGTGAACATTTTTTTTAACTTGTTTTTAAAAAAAAATTGTGATTTAGTTGTGGGAAATAAGTTAAGTCAAGGAACAGATAAAAAAATCCTGGAATTGCTGGGCTGGAATGATATTAATACAAAAAAGTAATCAGCACTCTATGGTATTATCACTAATACTTCTGGGTACTGTGAGAGATCAAGTCCTTCCTTTGTCCTCATGCAGCCACCATTTTCATCAGCATCACGTGATGAAACCAGCCCGTATTATCTGTTTGGTAGTGAAACATGAATCCTGACGGATGGTTCAGATTTCGTCTGATATCGCAATCAGTATTATTTGGATTTGGAATTACATTTATCTTATTATTCTCCTTAGTCAGTTTAGGTTTTTAGTATGGATGGTGCAGAACTGATCAAGAATGGCCTTCTTTGTGCTTCAAAAATGTCTCTTAATAAACTGAAATAAGTGTTTTATGAATGGTCATTGTGGTGGCACGGTGGTGTGGTGCTTAGCAACATCGCCTCACAGTGAGAAGGTTACTGGTTCAAGTCCCTGGCTCTGCGTGGAGTTTGCATATTCTCCCTATGTGTGTGGGTTCACTCCAGGTTCTCCGGCTTCCTTCCACTGTCCAAAAACATGCAAGTTAATTGGATTCTCCATGTGAGTCTGCCTGCGATAGACTAGCAAGCTTTCCAAGGTGTAGCCTGCCTCTCGCCTGTTGTCAGCTGGGTTAGGCTCAAGCGACCCTGTTGGGAATAAGTGAGATAAAAGATGGATGAATGACTACCATTAATATATGTTAGCCGGCCTGGTCAAACATCTGTTTAACTGAATGCATGAAGCGGATGCATGAAAGAGATTTAGAAAAAAAAGCCAAACTTCACTGCATGTTTTTGTTGGTTTCTATGCTACTCGCACACTGATCAGCTGAATTATTCATTGTCACCAGAAGTCATATATCAGCCTATACGGCTCTGGTCAGTCAGGATGGATTTTCTTATACCAGGATGCAGGATAGATGGCAGGATAAGTGTCAAAGTAACAACCATGTGGATTTACCAGCAGAACATTCCATTGTAACAAGAGGAGCAGCATAACTCTCTTTACCTGTCAGGGGCTTCCTGCTGTGGCTGATCAATGCATATTGCGTGCTGTGATTAAAAGTAACCACAACTTTTCTGATTTTGGTTTTATTCAACACTGGCAATGCAAACTAAGTAAGGGAGTGATTGGATTGTGCAGACGTTAATTTTGAATTCAGATATAGTGATACTGCCTGCTTACAATAAAGGAAGTTCACTTGCCAACCTGCCTGCTGTACACACACAGTGATTATCATGTTTACACACACAATTTTGTCACGCCCTCCAAAACATGGCGGTCCAGTTACATCAGGTCTTGGCATTGGATGACATAACGCAAAAAATATTGTTGGAAAATAATTAATAGTTTAAATCCGGAGGGAAAAAGTGACATTGCTTGTTGACTGGAGGAAAATGGAAGTGGTGAGCAAGTTTTGGTTTTATCAGAGTAATTTAAATGTGTGACCTGAGACACTGAGTGAATTTCTGTCTGTTTCTGCAGGTCTTTCTCTTGCAGTGCTGCGTTTCTCGCAGTCTCTGCAGGAGTTCCAGTTCGAGTGTATTGGAGATGCAGAGACTGATGATGAGATCAATATAGGTGAGACTAAAAGTGTCATTGGCTATCTCATTAAAAAGTTATCTGAAATTGCACAGTATGTAAAATGTAACCAGGGTTTACACAGGATTCTGTTTCTTTTTGCAGCTCAGTCCCTGAAGGAGTTCTCTCAGCTTTTAAGCACCATGGAAGAGGAGAGAAAACGACTGGTGAGAGAATGTGAAAAATAGTATTTTTTTGTCTCTTAATGTGTAGTGTTACAAGTGAAAAACAGAATGCAAATTTTACACAAGGGAGGTATTCCTCCTTTGAGGCATTGAAGGAATAAGTGGGTGTGAACTTTTGAAATTTATGGCCTTTTAAAAGTTTCCTTGACGACAGCTTTGAACAGTTATAATGTGCATTTTTTTCTATTTCCTTCACTTTCCAGACTTCTTTTCATTTTCTCACACCACCTCTGTCTGCCCAATTTTTGTAAAGTACATTTTTGTACTTTGTTCTTATTCTTCAGTGGTCAAAACTCGTTCATTGTTGCTTTAATGCCAGAAAATTGCTTTCCAGTTGTCACTTTCGAAAGAAGAACAGGCACTTACTTCACCAAATTAATCTGGTTTCCCTAAAAGTCTGATTCACACATTTCTGCTTCTAACTCTGTGTTGGCCGCATTGTGTGCACTACAGCAAATTGGGAAATCACTTTGAGTCAGAGCCCCTTCATCAGCAGGAGGCTTTTGTTTGGGAGTGACTGGAGTCTGGCACACTGTTAAGGCAAACCTCTCTGCATTTGCAATGCTTTGCATTGTGCCATACCTTATGTATAGCCCCTTGTATGAGTGTGTGTCTGTCTTTGTGGCTACGTGCATGGTCTGGTTGCAGAGGAACCATGTGGAACCTATTCTGACAATTCCCCAGTGAGACTGAGCACAGCCCTGACTGCCTGGGAAAGTCTATAAAAGGGTTCTGTGTGCGTTTGTCTGCTGTCTCCCCCTCTCTACTTTCTACTGGTGTGTATTTGGATTGTGTGGTTTTCCACTTGCCGTGACACAACTGGAACCCTGCTGATTGATCTAAACTTCTAATAATACCATCACTATTACGTTAAAGGGCCCTTATAGCCTTTTAGGCTCCTCTGAAATACCTGCCTGTCCAACCCTGAAAGGACTCTTATTGAGATTTGACAATGCCCCTCAGTTAAGCAGTTTCCAGTTTCACCCTGCTTATTGTACAGTCGTGAAAAAACAGACTTTATAAAGAAAGCTAAGCTTTCTTTAAGCAATGGTGCAGTGTGAAACTTAAGTGAAAGTGAAGACATGACGCAGGGCTCGCGCTGGGAGGATATTTAGAGTCGGGTGCCTATATCAACATGACATAACAAACTATGACTTGAGAGAGTTTTCATTATACAGTCTCATAAGTAAATAGGTCTGAGACCTAATATAAACACCAGAGCTCTGATAAGCACTTCATAGCATTTTTTTGTGCTTGTCACAAATCTCATATGCAGTCAGAAGTTTCTCATGTTTACTGTATAGCTTCAGTAATCTTACCCAACTGAAACATCATTCTTCTGCCAAGGCTGAGTCATGGCAGCTCCATTTGTTTGTTTGTCTGTCTGTTCTTCAGCAAGATTTTGTGGAATCTATCTGCCTGAAAGTTGATGGAGGAACTTTCTTTAAGTTAAAGGCATATCCCGATCACTTGTCTATAAGATTGCAAGATACAACACTGGTTTTGCTAGATAACCAACTTTGTATGTGCCCTGGTAGTTGAAATGGCTGCTGCTGCTTCAGTAAGATTGTGACACTTGGGCTTCTTGTATTTACTCTAATGACACACAGAGCTGATTGTTGTGTTTCTGTCATCTTCTCCCAGATCCAGAATGCTGATGACGTTTTGATCTCTCCACTTGAGAGGTTTCGAAAGGAACAAATCGGCGCTGTTAAGGTACATAGCTGTGAAATGGAACTTGAAAACACAGTGGGTTGTGAACATGTAATCTTACGCCTTGGGTGCTTCTATGGTCAGGTCGAAGCTGAGGTTAAAGTTAGTGATCAGAAAATCCAATTTGTTCATATAAACGATAGATCGCGGTCTAGTGTCAATAACAAGGTCATGGGAACAGCTGCCGAGAGGGAAGACAGGGCTCACGTCACAGGCAGAGATAGCTGAACTCAGAGAGGGAGTGTAAACACTAAGGGAGTGTGGTGTCTGGTTTCAGCAGCTGTCTCAAGTTTTATTGTTTAGTTCTTTAATTTCCCCCCCCTTTTGACTGAAATGTAGATATAGTTAGCAGTGGCAGGTGGTTTGGAGGGTTTAAAAAAGCAGAAAGGAAAGTCACAGCTCCTATCTTTGCAGTGATGGAATTAACTCCTCAGCTAAAAGAATGTAGCACGATTGTGTCAGCAGCACATCCCTACTGTGACTCTGCAGAGAAATAGGAGCTGAACATTTAGAGTTAAACGCTACAGCTGTTATGGAAGATAACTGTTTTTTTCAATTTTGGCAGAATTCATTCATTTAGATTATTAGTGACCTTGCAGCATTTTGCTGTAGCCTTTTTGGCTGAAATCTCTCTAATCCTCCTGCAGCTTCGCAGGAGATTTGTGGCATTTTGAAAACCGGTATTTTATGAAGTACTGCATGGACTCTTAGTGACTCCTGGACTCATCCAGCACTTGGATTTTCTGCTTTATAAACCCATCCACATCAACAGCTGTACTTAAAATAAAAAAAAGACCAAATTTCATACTAAGTCCATTTAGCAGTCCTTCCTGACAGCAAAGAGCAGGCAGGCTGCAGGGAGCACTTTATCAAAAAGCATTCCACCAAACGCGGGGTGTTGACTACACCGTTGACAGCTAACATCAGGATTATAGCAAAACATTTGGTAGCAGCAGTCAGCATCCAGTTGCCTCATAGATTTTCTATCTGTCAGAACCAGAACTTCTTTTCCTCCATTTTCTTAGTTTCCAGGGTCATGGTTTGTGCCACATTGTGAGTTTTCTGAAATTTAGTGTAACAAAGCTAAGAGATAATGCACAGTCTTAAAAAATGTAGCTCATGCTGAAGTAGAAGAGTACATCTTAAGAAGGTAACTCTTTAAGGCCTCGAAAAGTGCTCTTCTTGAATTCTGCATCCACTTCAAATGGACCACTTTACATCACCAAGTGCTGAAATCGGGAGGATTAGAGTATCTTGAGCAACACACAACCAGCAACCTTTTTATTCAAGCTAAAACTAAATAGTGTACCCGGATTAGAAAAAAACACTTCTGGGTTGTCTTTCTTTGTAGGTAATATTCAAAAGTATTTATGGTAAATAAGTGTCTTATGTGTCTTCATCAGGAGGGAAAGAAGCAGTTTGACAAGGAGACAGAAAGGTATTACTCAGTCCTGGAAAAACACCTCAGCCTGTCTTCCAGAAAAAAGGAAACCCAACTTCTAGAGGTGAACTCCCAGATTCTTACAAAGCCACGCCATGTTCCTCCCACCTGTGTTTTACCACATTAATGCCTCTCCTTGTTTGTTGTGGTCGTTTCTCTTGCAGGCTGATTCACAGATGAGTAAGGACAGGCAGGTTTTCTATGATGCTTCTCTGCAGTACGTCTTCAAGATTCAAGAAGTGCAGGAGAGGAAAAAGTTTGAGTTTGTGGAACCTGTGAGTTTCCATTACATAGCTGTTGTATTTCTCCTGTATGAAGCTGCTTCACATTTATGGTGTGGTGTGTATTTCCCTACTGTGTATACAAGCTAAACTACTTCACTGTAGGAAAGTGATGAGACCTTACTGGTCCACCTTTACACACTGACACAAACAGCGACCAGTAACTGCGGCTGAGCTACTAACAAGTGTGTATATGTAAACACGATAATAGAAAAAAGAGCTGTGCCCCGCTCTCAAAAACACACATTACACACACTGTTTGGTTGGTGATAAAAATGTTTAATGATGGATATCAGTAAAACCTGCTTCCTGTTGCTGTTGCCGCACTTCCTGTGAGGAGATTTCTTCTGGCTGACAGAGAGGGAAACTCTTTGTTGTAAAGTAAACAGGGGCAGCAAACCAAACAACAGAGTTTGGGGCGGGGGGGTGAACGGCTCTTCTGATCGATTGAGCAGATGACTGACAATCATTCTTTTGTAATCCTCTAATTATGTTCCATACTCTGGAGCTAACATTTCTCCTGCGGATTTCTCCCTGTGCTCCTCAGTTATTAGCCTTCCTGCAGGGGTTGTTTACATTCTACCACGAAGGGTATGAGCTGGCCAGTGAGTTTGAACCCTACAAGCAGCAGTTACAGTTCAACTTGCAAAATGTAAGTGTCCATTGACCTCAAACTTATTTTTGAAAAAGCTAATCTGGAGCTGAAAATGTTGTTTCTAAATACATATAAACCCAGTGTAATCCATGGTCCAGATGTACATAAAGTGGAAAGTTGTAAAAGACAAAAGATCATATTTAGGTAAATACCAGCTAATCCTGGCTACACTGATAATAATACTTCAATAAGTCAAGACTTTTAGAAATGAATGGATATATGAAATGAATGAAAAAACTGTTATCTCAGCATATTGGATTTATTCAGAGCACCTATTTTTAAAAGCATATATGATACTGTGTATGAAAAGAATTAAGCTGTTGTAACACAAACTGCCAATATAATTGGTAACTTTCACTGCCATCAGGCATCTAATTTCTCTGTCAAATTTCTGTTGTTTAGGCTCGCAACAACTTTGAAAGTACCCGTGCTGAGGTTGAAAGGCTGATGAAGAGGATTCGGTCTGCTGAAGAAGACTTCAAAGCTCCCAGTAACTTCACCATGGAGGGGTATCTGTATATACAAGAGAAACGTGAGAGACTGTAAAATCTGCTTATGATTGCACATTAATTCCCCAATGAAATCAAATTCCAGTCATTCTTAAGCACAGACACAAGTGAACTGGCATGACAATGTGTGCATTGTGTGTTGATATAGGTCCTCTGGGAAGTGTGTGGACCAGATACTACTGTACATATGAGAGGAGCTCTAAGATGTTCACAATGAGCAACTCTGAGATGAGACCAGCGAGCAGACAGGTGAGCTTCCCCCACCACTGTTATTAGTTATTACAGGCTGCGTCCCATTTGTTTCCTCTCTCACTTACTCACCATGTTTGTGTGTTTGAACATTCCTAAGACCTAGACAATATTTTAGAAGCTGGCAAATTTACCAGAAAGGTCAAATGGTTCTTCCTCCAACTTTCATGTTGAGTATAACTTAAAGATAAAGCCAATCCATTAACCCTTACAGAAAAAAATGCACCATTCCTTTATTGAGTTATACAAATGTAAGGCCCTGTTAGCATTCCAATAAGACACAGGTTATGTTTGAATTGGTCATAGAACGGGGTGGTGAACGGCAGTCCAGAGATGTTCCGGCTGCGCTCATGTGTCCGAAGGAAGACAGATTCCATTGACAAACGCTTCTGCTTCGACATCGAGGTGGTGGAGAGGTGAGTTGGAAATACAACTGAAAGTAACTTATTTAATGCTTTCATCTGCCGATTAGATAAATATTGGTGCTTGATCAAGCTTAGCTTAAATGACCTCTTCTCCTTCAGACATGGGGTCATCACACTGCAAGCCCTCTCAGAGGCCAACAGACGGCTGTGGATGGAGGCTATGGACGGGAAAGAGCCGGTATGAGAACATTTACCATTATTAATGTGTCACTAGAGAACGCTGACTGTTCTGGTAGCTGACGAGCAAAAGTAGTTAGCCTGTATACATTATGCAATCAGAAAAGAGTTGTTTTAGAGGCACACGTTTAACATTTTGGTCCACTTTTTTTTTTTTAGATCTACACCCTTCCCTCTCTACTCAGTAAAAAAGAAGAAAGTAAGTGTTGAGATCAACTCAGAACGATTTATTTCATTGTAGATATTAATCTGATTTTCTTTCTGTGTCTTTCAATGACATTTTTTCACTTTTTCTCTTACAGCATTTCTCAATGAGGCAGGCTTCAGCTTTGTCAAGAAGTGTGTTGATCTTATTGAATCAAGAGGTATTAGTAACTCTTGGTGTGTTTAAATGAGAAACAACATTTTCATCCACATTACTGAAATGTTTTGTGGATGTTTCAATTTGTGTGTAGGCATTACCAACCTGGGACTGTATAGGACAGGAGGCGTGAACTCCAAAGTGCAGCGGTTGATGACAAGCGTGTTTGGTATGTAGCTACTTGACTGTAAGGGCAAGATTTATTTTTAAGTGAACGGTTAATACCAGTTATGTCCAAAAGTCCGTTTATACATGTAAATCATTAACGCTCTATTTTACTGCAGCATCTACAGCTCCTTCAGACATTCAGCTGGATGCAGATACCTGGGACAACAAGACCATAACCAGTGGTCTAAAGGATTATTTCAGGTGACACAAACAGCAGCATTTATCAAATAAGATTGCTGAAGAACTGTGAAATTTTACTATCAAATGTTATTTCCAGGTGTCTGGCAGAGCCACTACTGACCTACAGGCTGCATAAAGAGTTCATCAGAGCCGCAAGTAAGATCTTTCTGCCTCTATCAGAGCACATTACATTTCCTCAACCAGAGCACAGGAGAGAGATTTAAAACTATTGGAATTTTTTTAATGTTATTTAAGTTATCCCTCACGCTGTGCTCTCCTGTTGTTCCACAGAATATGATGACCAGACGTACAGAGTGAGAGCGATTCATGCCCTTGTACACAAACTCCCAGAAAAGAACAAATCTATGTTGGATGTCTTAACTAACCACCTCCTTAAGTATGTCCATATTCCTGTCATGGTGCTTTCATTTTTCCGATATTGGACAGTGTCCTCTTTCATAAAAAAGGTATTTGTGTATCAATTGTTGGACGTCGGCCTTTGTGTGTGTCTGTAGGGTGTCATCTCACAGTGATCAGAACTTAATGACTGTGTCCAACTTGGGAATGATTTTCGGTCCCACGTTGATGAGGTCGCAGGAAGAGACGGTTGCTGCCATGATGAACATCAAGTTTCAGAACATCGTAGTGGAGATTATCATTGAAAACCACCACAAGGTGAAGTCACCTGTAGCCTCATTCGCCCACATGTAAATAAGGAATTATCTAACAAACATGTGCACTTTCAGATCTTTGGCGAGGCTCCAGACCTGACAGTGCCACTGCCTCAGGCTCCGTCCTCACGGCCTACTCCCCGGAGGAGTAAGGCCATCTGTCTGTCATCTGGGAAGAGAAAGGCTCGCCTTTACCCCCCTGCACTCTGCCTGGCAGACAATGACAGTGAGTCTGTCTATTGAGCCTTCTTCATTTGTAATGTCTCCTCAATTCATCACATCACACGACATCCAGCTTATCCATGTTTCTTCTTACTTCTACATCCATCCATCTTTTGGACTGCTTATTCCCAACGGGGTCGCGGGAGGGCTGGAACCTATCCCAGTATCAGGGCGAGAGGCGGGGTACACCCTGGACTGTCAGCCAGTCCATCGCAGGCCCTACTTCTACATCATTACATTTATTTTTAGTCCACAAAGTTTCTATATTTGTTTGCTTATATCTTGCAAATGAAATTATTATTTTTTTATGATTAGCTCAAGCCTTCAAAGCAGTAGCTCTCAAGCTTTGAGGCTGGAGACTTTGTACATTAAAATCTACTGCCTATGAGTGGATAGTCATTCTAACAAAGTTTGTTCCCATGTGACATTTTCATTTTCATTCCAATTCTAATGAGTCAGTATTATCCAAAATGTCCTAATAACTACAAGTTAGACAGCAGTTCAAGTAGAAACTGAGGTAGTCATCCCACAGTCCCCTCAAATTGATTGTGCGACTATGTTACTAAACTAAGATGTTAAAGTCTGTGTAAAATCCTAAATAATCTGTTGATTTGAGTTCAACAAATCCTATAGAGGTGTATTAAATACCGAGCATATATTTAAAACTACAAATCTGTTCAAGTGGGTTTCAAAACCACACACTCAGGTCAAACAGAGCAGCGTTTACACTAAAAATATTATCCTTAATATTTATAGAGTTTTTACTATAAATATTATACTTAAGATTTTTATTTGTTAGATGTTTTATGTTTCCTTCCATGCAGCCAAAATGTCTGTGAGGAGACAAGCAAGTGGCTTTGATCAGCTGGCGTACCGATGTATCTGTGAGTAGAATCTCCAACATCTGTGTTGCCACGCCTCTCCTTGCTTCTCACAATTAATCAGTTCACTTCAACTAACTTAGCTCCAGCAGTTTAACATTTTAGCCCAACTTCTGAAACAAATAGCTAGTTTGGTATATAAAAAAAAAGATGGAGGACATTATTGGTAAAACAAATACCCCATATATAGAATCAGAGGAGCTGCTGGCATTAGTTTGCCTTTGAAACTTGTCACTTTCAGAAAAGAAAGCACCCAATTATACCTTTGAGGGTTTAAAGATTTGTCACTGGTGTCGTGCCCTTAAAAGTCCTGCTGTTAAACCCTTCTAGTTTGTCCATTTACAACTTTGGAACATTTTAGGCCATCTAAAAATACAGATATGTGTATTGGGGTCTATTTATTATCCATATGGAAAAAATGTCAAGAGACTACCTTGGAGACATGAATCTACTCCTATTGCTGCATTGGATTTTTACTTGTGATAGAATATTTCAGTACTTTCAAATGGGAACTGTAACTCAGACTTGTATTTGTGAATAAACATTCAGGAATTGAAAACAGGAAGAATTTGAAGGTCACAAATACTTTTACTTTGATGAATGTCAGTCATTGCACACTTGCACAAAAACGGGTTGAGCAGCTTTGTTCATTTTTCACCACATTTGATTTAGTGTGCTGACATCAAAACGAAAAAAAAAAATGTTTGTGTCACAATCGTTCAAACTGTAATCCTCCTTTAAACAAGTATTTGTGTCCTTTTGTGGAGGGGTAACCTTGGTTTGAGTTTCTGTAAGCTACGATACAGTTAGAGGTCCCATTGAATGGAATTAGCCTTTCAATGTTTTGGGGAAAAAGTACAAATAGGTAAGAGCTAAAGCCTTCTTCTCCTGCAAAGATCTAGAATCAAAACACAATTAAAGATAATGCTGTTTATTCAGAGGGTAAAAAAAGACCATGCACCATTTTTAGACCAAAAGTAATCAACTGGCCAGTGTAGGAAGGCTAAAACAACTATAAAGCAAAGGGCTCTGAGCACTTGGTTTTTTCTTCAGTAGCAATTTTTCCTTCTATGGTAATTGGCCCACATTATTAATATTTGAAATCTTAGCTCTCTTTTTCCTCTTCCCACACTGTTTCTACTGTAGTTCCCTCTATTATTTGGAGAGAAAAAAATAGCTGTATAAATAAAGTTCCCATTATTATTCGGCTGAGCTTGACAGCAGACAATTTCCCTTTTTTTCTCTTTGCTTCTAGTCCAGTATTCTGTTTCCAGTTGCACCAACTCTGAAAAGTTCAGTTCTAACTTTAGCCTTAACTGAGGGCTCCCAGTCATGTGATATTTACTTTGTTTCCTCAGGCGACACGTTCAGTAGCAGCCCCGACACGACTCCAATGGGCAGCCGGGAGTCTCTGTCCTCTCACTCCTCTGAAAAGAACGGATTGTCTCAGACGTCTCCCCCGTCCTCACCCACAACGACACAGTCTCCTCCTGCCGCTTCCACCTGCTCAGCGCCACACAGTTCCTCCAATGGACGAGATGAGAGAGAGCCATCAGGCCGCCCGTCCTCCCCTGATCTGGCAGCTTTTTCCTCCTGGACCTCCCCTCCGCTCGCTCAGGCTGAGCAGGTCTCCTCTGTGTCCTCCTCCACGTCCTCGCTACTCTCTGCCGTGGAGAAGTCTTTCAACAGAAATTCAACTGCCTCCTTCTCTTCTGCGAAAGAGTCGACATCTCCCTCCAGGGCGTCTGCTTCCACAGCCTCCGTCCAGCGCTCTTCAGTGGGCCGTGCTCCCTCTCCCGGGGAGGGTGGACCTGTCCACAGAGCAGCCTCCGTCTCCTCTCTGAAGAGCACTCATTCTGTGGATCAGAGGAATGTCACCGTCACAGAGACCAGAGGGGCAGATTCTGCCGCCCCTCAGAAGAATAGAACTGCGTATCGGACTGCCTCTTCTTCCTCTTCCTCCTCCTCTTCCTTGTTCCCCTATCAGCTTTCCACGTCTTCCTCTCTCACCTCCCTGCACATCTCTGAGGGTTCGTGGACATCATTGTTTTGCACTGTAGAGGAAAGTCGAGCAATCCATCGCTGCCTTGCTCAGGTGGGCCTCTGATCTTTGGTGTTGCCTTGCAGATTATAGAAGCTGTCACGGTTCCGTGCAGAGCCTCATGTCACTGGACCCACAAGAGGCAGCCCACCTCCGGAAAACGCCCCACGTTCGCTGTGCCTCCAACCTGACCTCAAAACACTCCGCAGCTACATCCAGCAATGGCTACCAGAGACCTGGCTCCCTGTGAGTGTCTCTGAATGTGGTTCTATTTCTTTAAAATGCTCCAGCCACAGACTATTTGCCTTTGTGTCTTAGTATGCCCAGAGTCTGTAAAGGAAAAGCTCCGGAGAGCTGTTTTAGAAACTGACCCGCTGAGTTGAATCAGGAAATCAGTGTCCTGAATGGTCTGCTGCTGGTGATCATGTTGTGGTTGTGTGTTACAGGTTGTCAACCAAGCAAACACAACGTGAGAGTTCTGTGTTCTCCTCAGCACTTGATATATGTCCCTCTGGAAGGTAAGCTCACTTTGTGATAACAGATACTGATAGGTGAAATCCTCATGAACCCCGTTACTATTGTCATTTATTCTTGGAAGGGAGGCAAAAGCTCTTTACTCCTGTGAAGCCGAGCACAGCCATGAACTAAGTTTTCCACAGGGAGCGCTGTTCTCAAATGGTAAGCTTTCCTAACCTACTTTTTTTACTTGTTTGTAATGTTTATTTTAGAGGTTAACTGAAATCTGTAGACTCCCATCAGAGCAAACGGGAGGACACTTTGCCTTTAAGATAAAGAGAATTTTCCACATATGTGTAAGAGTTTTAGACAGTAGGATAAAATCTGATTGGTCGATGCGTGGAGCCCTTTGACTTGGCTGACAGATCTGACCTGTGTGTGTTCGCAGTACACCCCTCTGTGGAACCAGGTTGGCTTCAGGCGACATACAAAGGCCTAACAGGCCTCATTCCTGAAAACTACGTCACATACATCTGAGAGAAATGATGATGTCATCAGCACGCCGCTGTACTGTACACATCTCACAAAGGTTTTCTTGGGATTAGCATTAAATAATTTTTCTAATCTACTAACTGTGACATTTATCGCTGACTACTTTGTTGGAGTATGAATCATGTGCGTACTGCGTATATTTATGTGTTATTAAGCAGCTTTTATTACAATAGATGTTAATATTTGACTTGCCTCATTTTCTTCTGATCACTTATCAGCTCTTTTGATGTTTTCGTAGAGCAGTCTTTTAAAATGATACATATGCAGTAAACAAGTCTAAAAAGGTACATGGGAGCAGTATTTGTCTATTAATCTTAATTTATGTTTGATTAGAATTGTCTGTAAGTCCTCACACCTCTGTGCCTTAAACTGTATAAACTGGTGGCGTGAAACCAGCCACAACACCTTTTTCATGTACTCTGTCAGCTGTCTGAATAAAAAGAAAAAAACATTTTTTTGAGAAAATGTCTTTCAAGTTACATTATTTATGTAGATTTTCAGTTGATTTATATCTGCAGGAATGTGAGGAAACAATAACTGAAAACTATTCTCCTAAAGGCACTCGAGTCTTTACAAGAGTTCGGGTTAAGGCTTTTCTGAATGGGAGCATAATCGTGCGGCCATTTTTTACAGTCCTCCATGACCATAACCTGGACAAAGCCTGTGTGGAGAATGGATGCTTGGTTCTTTCCTTTAAGTTGTTTTTGAATCAGTTACTCATCAGTCAAGTATACTTACGGTGTTATTTATTCGACAAATGAATAGTCTACTAAGCTTCTTTGCATGAAATCCAAAACTGCCTATTGTGTTGTTCTTATAGAGCCAGTTTTAAATCTGTATACACATGTATACACTCTTTGTTTATCATAAGCATGTCCCATCACCTCCAAAGGGTATCTACTTCCAGTGACAGCAAGTCTGCATGCACCACTCTAGAGCTTTTCAGTTTTAAGCAAGAGTTGAGCCGGCAGCTGTGCGTCTATAAAGGTGTGCTGATCTCTCCCAGCCTCCTCAGCAGCTCATCAAGCATATCCATGCTCTGGGATTTCTCCTCCAACAACTCGTATCGCAGACTGGAGATGTCCTGCTTTATCTCCTTCAGCTCTCCTGGGTCAAAACAGACATAACAATGAGCTACAACATTCATAGAAATACTTCAGTCCAGTTTAAAATAATAATGCAGTCTTGGTCTAAAATAATTCAGGGGTTGATAGGTTGTTGTTTTTTTTGTAAGGAAAAAATTGAAACAATTTAAGCATATGAAGTACAGGTTAATCTTATTTTACCTTCCGTAATTTCGTCACTTTCTTTGTCTGCCTGGGCTTTGATTATGTAACGCTTGATCAGTCGCTTCATGATCTTCTACATCCAGTGAGGGAAATGATGTTCAGCAGGTGCAGTTAATAGAGTTATGAAAGAAGATTCAGGCGTTCAGACGTTCACTGACAGTTTATTACCATAGACGACCAAGGACAACGTCTGCCTTACAGCAGGTATTCAATCAATCTTTTTGGCAAAAAATCCTGTGAAATACACACATACCTCATATCGTGTTGGACTGGATGAACTTCCGTATCCTGAATTTTTGTCTTCCCCAAGCTGATGGATTATAGTGAAATGAGCACAACAGAACACAATTGAGACAAATGTCAGCTTATTTTCAGGTCTGAAATTCAGCCTGTGATGCAGCAGGAGCTCCACCCGGGGGTGCTCAGGATTAAAGATAAGACTCAAGCACACGACTTCACAAGCCGTGGCAGGATGACTGCTGTGAAATGTTGTGTTTTCATTAACTTTAACGATCAAGGCATTGTACCTGGTTGAGCTGTGTCTCAAATTTATTTTCCCTGCGACCTTCCATCAATTTCAGAGCCAGGGACCTGATTGCTTTGACCAATCCCAGCATAGTTTTTGGACTGGGGACAAGGTTGAACGGCACAGGGAGAGTCCTTCCCTCCTCAAAGTAGGAGATCCAAAGTTTTGCCCGAGCAAACTTCCACTCAACATCAGCATCATCCTAATAAGAAGAAGAAACCCAAAGGACGTAAATGGGTGGAAAATAATAGACAGGGGAGGGGAGAAGCATCACTGAAACAGGTGAAATAGGTGAAAACTGTTGGATTTACTGGCCTATTTGGACAAGGAAATACTTATTCTAATACTGTTTTTGACTGTTAAGATGGCGTACTGCAACATTCAAGTTTTTGTGATAATCTGCAAGGTTTTCATTTGAAAAAAATCAATTCACCAAAAAGAAAACCAAATGCACAGCCACATTAACCAAACATAAAAGATCTATAATATCTGATTCAAGGCATCATCAATGATTAAATCTGTGTTATTATAACATGATTTTGGGGGACCTCTTTTATATAAAAGTGTGTTGTGTAATTATGTCATTAAGCCATCTTAAAATTGATAAATGTATTATATTGTCCAATCTCACCAAATGCAGTTGACTGCTGTAGCTACTTGGAATATAAAAACTTTTTAGTTTTAAAGACTCAGCATAAAGTGAACAGGTTCAGATCATGTTATTTTTTAAATTACGTTTGATAGAGATTAGGTCAGGATTTAGTTCATTATTACTGAGGATAGAGACAACATGCAAATCTTGTTCTATGATAAATGAATGGGAAATGACATAACCACGTGGGAATGTGTTCTACGTGTAATTACCCCGATCGGGCTGTGTGATATTTGTGAGGCGCATCAGTAATGGACTGACGTACCTCAATCTCTTGGAAGGAGCTGTTAATCATGGCAATCAGCATGTTGAGCAGCACTATCACCATGGTAACGTTATACACCCCATACAGCACATAACCAATGTTCTCAATGAATTTGTGTCCATTGTTGATCACAACAGACTTGACCTCAGACAGCCCGAATATGGCCCAGAACAAAGTCTTGAAGCTCTCTTCCAGGCTAAATGAACAAACAGAGGGGGAGACATGACAAAACCATTCAGTTATTGATTTATCTCAAGTAAAATCAATGTATGGGGAACTAAGCATGTCTCACGTGGTGAAGGCGTCGTTCTGCTTTGCCCCGAGGTAGTAGGAATACAGGTTGAACATGCCAATCATGAACGCTAGGAAGACCAAGAGGAAGATGACCATGAACTTGAAGATGTCTTTGACCGTCCTCCCTAAAGAGATCTGGAGCGGACCGAAGCTCTCGTTGGCCGGGAGAATGTAAGCAATCCGTGAGAAGCTCAGCACCACTGCAACTGCATAAAGGCCCTCCGATACAAGTTGGGGATCTGACGGCATCCAGTAAAGGCGAGCTGCAGAACAGGGAGTGAATCGGTCAGTTAACATCAGGAACCCACTTTGATTAAAGTTATTGCAGCCATCAGTACGATGGGTTGAAATCTGGGATGGGCAGCAGCAGAGCACCTCAGCACACTGTCCGCTCACCACTCCTGTTCACCCCGTACACATCCAGTTTCTCTGAGGACTGTTCTCAGTTCCCTGGAAGGGCAGGAGGAGGAGTACAGGGGCCTGATGGAGAACCGTGTGGAATGGTGAAGTGTCCACCATATCCAACAGAGCACCACAAAAACTAAAGGGTTGAGGTTGACTTTAGGAAACCATAACCCCCCCCATAATCTGCAGAGAAGCAGATCCTCAGTTAAGATGCTGACCATCATTACCCACGACACAGCACATTTACTGGGCAGAGGAATACAGGTTTTTTTCACTATCATACTCAAGAGAAAGGACGAGGAGGAAGTCCAGCTGTTCAACACCTCAACTGTCTGGTCTCCCTAAGCTGTTTACACTATTGCACACAGACACTTAAATCCACCAATACCTCCACCTGACCGCCTAATATCTGATAATACATCCTCACTTTAGGTTTTATTTAGTCAATTTTTTATCTTAAATTTGGATTTTTTTCTGTTTGTACTCGTTCCATTAGTTCTAATTTTCTATTTCTATTTGCCTCCCCATTTCCCCATTTGAAAGGCCCTTTATCTTTATCTTTTTGTGAATTGTCAAGCAAGAACACAAGCAAAAAATATTTCCCTCTTATAATAATGTTTGTTTAGAATTTAGTGGAAAATTTCATTCTGTTATTCACACTTGAAAGGTATCAACATGACCAAGAAGAAACACACATGCAAAGGCCCATTGTGAGTCCTCAGTACCACTCGTTTTGTACAGAGCACCATGTAAGTCTGCAGGTGTGTAAGTATGCTCACCCTGAGTAAAGTAATGGATCTCTGGGGGCAGTTTGACCAGCGTTTTACAGTGTTTGTACACGTAGGCCTGAGCTAGGTCAGCATGTCTCATGGCAGAGAAGCGGCAGCTGAAGGAGGCAAGAAAGATTGCCAGCATCCCAAAGTCCAGGAAGTTCCAAGGCTCCACCAGGTATTCTCCCGGTCCCTGACTCCAGATTTCCTTCACTTCGGCCCAAATCATACCTGCACCAGCACAACAAGGTCAAAATGGCTCTTTTTTTTAATGTGAGGTTTTATTTTGTGGTGCCGAATCATCCGCTCACCCATAACCCATGAAATAATGAGGATCTCCATCCAGGTGAAGGGCGTGGTGGTCTTGCGGTAGAGGAGCAGTGGGTCGGACTTGAGTTGACTTCCAGGGTGCTGCAGATGGGTCATGTTCGGTAATAACGTGGTTCCCGCAAAGCGATCAGCCGCGTTCAGGATGAGAAGGCCCAGGAAAATGGTGAAGGACGACGCATGAGCCACAAACTTCATGAAGGGGCTGCGCATCACTTTTCCCACCTGGGACGGACGTGGAATAAGAGGATCAGAGGATCAGCTCCGGCAGTTTGATACTTTTTAAAATGACTGAGGTTAATTCGTTAAGACTTGTTAAGTTTGAATCCAAATGTGCCATACTCTGCTGCACGGCGTGATCCAGTAGGCCATGGCCAGTCCGGGCAGCGCTATGGCCACGGCCAGCACCACCAGCAGTTTGATGGCGGTGGTTTGCTGTCTCAGACCGGGCAGGTTCTCGTACCAGATACTCAGCAGCTGCTGCTGACAGTTAGGATGAGCCACGAACTAAAAGGCACAAATAGTCAAGTGGATGAGTTCAGAACCGTCAGCGAACAACAGAGCTTTACACGCACGTCAAATACACTGAAAATAAAATTCCTCAAGGTACAGATTTTTTTTTGTGTGTATGTTAAACAAGCGTTTCTAAATAGATGGGACACATTTTAACATGTAGCCAAGCACAGCGTAGAAGGGTCCAATAATCTAAGTCCAATAATAAATCTGAGGATAACATGATTCAATTATTTAATTGTTTGTTCAATTGTTTGACCAAGAGAGGTTGAATCTCTCAGAAAAGGATGGAGAGAACGGCTAATGTGAACTGTAAATTATATTTCTACAACCTAACCTTTTGAAAAAGTATGTTTTAATTTACCAGAATTTAAATTAGACATTGCTGTCTCTGTTTGAAAAGCAGACTTGATTGTGCTGTGTACACAACAGAACAAATGTAATTCATACATCGACAAATAAAAACATAAATGGTAGACAAGATCCATCAGCAGTACACCCCTCCTTGGCCCAGAGACAGAGGATAGCAGCGACGTATCATGTGGTCGGAGGAAAACTTGTCATTTTTTCTGGAAATTTTGGTCCACTATTTTGCCCGCCAGCCCGAAAAGGGAATAGTGAACATGCTTGTTAATGATGATCCTGTCACATACAATCAAGATGTGATGAGAAATTTTCTTTAGAACTGCTCCTCTTACTGGTTCACTGGTTACTCCACTTTTAATAGCATGATATGTAAAAAGTACACAATGTAATCATAATTATGCTATAAATGCTGTACAATGCTATTTTTGTGCCCGTGAAATCTTGGTTTCATCATACTTGTGTGTCGCTGTCTGTTTGAGAGCACGCTGACCTTTTTGAGTTCATATTTGATGGCTAATTTGAGCCTCGTGAGTGAGGGGCGACCTGGTACTTCATAACTGTCTTCAGCGACCGTTTCCCCATTCAGGATGGCCTCTACTTCCTCTGTGCTGCGACACAGATCCAGAAGACCCACCACGTAGTCTTTACACTGGCTGGACAGACGGCTGTAGTCATTCTGTGTGAAAGACACAATGATTAAAGTACTTGGTGGTTAAAACGCTTGTCAGTGACATCATGTAAGTTTTTGCTTACAGTTAAGTTTACGTAAGTGCTTTATTACTCGTCTATGTGCAAAGAGAAGTGGTGTCACATTTGTATGAGGATTGTGTTTTGATGTTCCCTCAGAAGTGCGTCTTTTTTTTTTTTTTACAGACCAGCTGTAACTACTTCTGTAAACACTGTGAACTATGACAATCCCTGCTTCCATTCTCAAACCTCATAAAATGTTTATTGGGTTTAACGAGAAGCCCCTATGTGCTCTCAGTGTAGATGACATGAGCATTATTTCAGGGCATGTGTACAACGTGAACAGGAAGTGTACAGTGATTGTCTCGGCATGAGTTGGTCTTGCTTTGGACCTTAAATTCTTTCTCGGTGTCAGCCAGCACGGCCAACTCGTTGCTGAGCTCCAGGGCTGCCAGCACCGGGTCTTCGTTCGACAGGGACAGGTAGGCAGGGCTGGCCAGTCCTCTATAGGCGTTGATCCTGGAGCGCGAGTGGCTGAACGAGTCAAACTGCTGCTGGTAGTTACAGGAGTCGCAGCCGCAGAAGTAGTCGTGAGGATGATCGATGCGGGCCCCTTTGCTCAGGAGGGTGTGAACTATTTCATATTCCTGGCAGTGGGCTGCAAGTATCACCGGAGTCACGTCATGAGAAAACCTTTGGGAATGTAGACACAAGAACACATCGTCTTATAACAGTGGTAAACACTCCGGGAAAGGCTACCATCACTCTGAGCAGCCACAACAATAAAACCGCTGGCAGGTGCAGACAGTAATATGGATGAGCTTGTCATGATGGCAGTATGTGGCAAAAGCACAGGAGCAAACGGTTCTCAAAGCTCAATGCCAGTGTACAGTACATGTGAAAGGACTGAACAGTGTTGGTGGACACTGCTGCTGACCAGTGCTCTTACTAGTCTCTCACCTGAGGAAACCAGAATGCCTGTCCATTATTTACTGCACCTAGATGCTGTTATTCCCCTTTTTGGCAGGATAATGATCTGGGTACACCTGTTTTTGTAATCCTTAATTCCAGAAGGCTCACAATGCCATACTAAAACGCCTCACATTGCAAAATGTCTGAGGAGTGTTTTAACGAATATCATGAGGGTGCTGACTTTGCACACTTCCCCAGACCATAAATCAGTCTGAAACAATGTCAGACCGACAGCTTAAATTTGGATAATTTGTATAAATGACGCGGTCTGCTAGAATGTGGAATGTAGTTCCTACTTTCTCAAATCGTTTTCATCTGCCTGTCTTTAAGTTAGTTGCAGAATCCATGAGTATTAAGGTATTAGTTGAAACACAGATTTTACACAAATACTTAAAAAGGAAGTTACATCAGGAACACACCCAAACATTTACCGTTTAACATGAACATCTGAAACCACAAATACGCCTCATGCACATATTCACTAGAAATCGCTCTAATGTTTAGGGTCAGGCATGAAAAAACACACTTCATGGCTCAGAATGTTGAGGAGCATCTGTTCCAAAAGCAGTTGTTTACTAACAGTTACTTTTTTTCTGACATGTATGATTGCTTTTCATTATTAATGGAAGCTCATTAATAGTGTATTGAAAGAAAAAATTATTGTGTAAGTGAGCACAGATTTGTGCCACAAAGTTTTATGTTAAGGGGGTATAAAAGCATATCTGTCTGTCTTTCACTTGGTGAATCTTATAGAAGACTGCGTGAACGAGAGCTACATCCAAACACAGTTCTGAGCATTACATGAAAACTGAAAAGTTTTCAGCGTAACTGCTACTCCACTTAAAGCCTGGCTCTGGGACTTATCAGATATCACCTGTTCAGAGAAGTCTTTTAAGAGCTTACCTGGTCCCGTCTTCATCATAGGCGTAGAAGTCATCCAACATGTCCGCCTGAGCAGGGCTGGCTGTCAGACGACGGCTGTCCCTGAACGCCGGGTGACCGAGCAGAGCCTCCGTGATGCGGACGTAACCTTTACCTGCACGACAAACAGAGCAGCTGTGCGCTGAGCAACGTCCACACCCAGATGTCTTAAAACACTGCAGCTGTTCAGGAGTTCAGCTGTCTGGCAAGATAGCAAAGGAAGATTCTACTGGAATTGCAATCATTGACTCTGTTAGGCGGTTGTGGCCAAAGAAGGATGATTTCTGCAGTCTTTGAGTAAGCATCCAAACACACACAAGGCATGTGCACTGGAAACATAAACATGGCTTCCAGTGTAAGTTAAAAGTTTAATCTTTTCTGTCCAGGCCTTTCAAGGTGGTGTGCAGGACGTGTAAACAGTACTTTTGCTAGTTGTAGATAAGACAGTATGATATTGAATCTTCCCTCAACAAATAAAGACAACCATCTTTTCCCAACCATGGGTTCTTTTAGAACTTTACTGACAATCTAGTAAATACTGAGGTGAGTTTCACTGTTACTCAGATGCTGAACCTGCTGGATCTGGTTCCTGTCACATAACCTGTATCAGTATTTATGTCTGTGTTTGTAGAAATGTGCGCCTCTTACTGATTGCCAATAGCAGGGCGTCACCAACTCTGGCCAGATCGGCTCTTCCCAGGAGCAGCTCCGTCACCTCCAGGTGCTCGTTGGCCACGGCCAGCTGTAGGGCATTTTGGCCCATGTAGTCCACAGCATTGACATTGAGGCTGGGCACGTGCAGAAGGATGCGGCGCACCTCGGGAATGTTACCGTACTCAGCCGCCTCCAGGAAACGCTGCTCAACCTCCGACAGGCTGACTGAGGGAGCAGAGAACATGTAGGCAGGGCCCCGCAGAGCCTGGCGACGTTTGACAGCATTGAGGCGACCTGCGAGCTGCCGGTCAGAGCTGCTGTGGCTGCCAGACAGTCAGGGGACATAAGCACACCGCTCTGTTTGTCTACGGCTTGGTTCATACACACATTTATCGGCCATTCTACAACAGAATTCTGCTCAAACAGCAAACAAACACACAAAAAACAGCATGAATAATAACAAAATAAAAAAATAAAACTTTATATTGTCTGCAAAAAGAAAAACACAATGGAAAATTAAAGGTGGTCACTAATAGGCAGCAGAAAATAAACTGTTTTATGGGATCATTCCTGAAACCTGCAGTTTCTGATGTTATTGTTTTGTGATCCTTTTAGTATCCAAAGGATTCAAAGGGATATTTCCCTTCAATAACATTTATGCACTGTCATGGAGAAGAAAATCACCGTCCTTATTCACAGGCACAGTGTTTCCCTAGCCTGCATGTTTAATTTCTTTTTTGTTTGACTTTTTTTAAAAACACCTGCTGTGACTGAGACAAAATTTTAGCTTTATTAATAAAGCTCTGGAATGCATCATTGTGATTTCACATTTACAAGTTCAATCTGCATCCTACAGATAGAACTGAGGTACTAACTGTGAAGCAAGTGCAGCCTGAACTTTGTGATATCTGATGAATGTTATTTAGTTAAACATCTGGAAATGGAAATGTTTCTACACTGCCATTATTATTTTGAGTAGACATGAAGAAGTTATGTTTAATGTCCACGAACCCCATAAAGGGGAACTTCTATTTGTTAGTTTAGTTCTCCCAACCTTAGTGGTCCAGAAGGAGTGAGTAATTATGTGAAAGTGTTTTCTGTCTATCAACAACCCACTGATCATGCTGTACATCCCCTTCAATCATTTTATTCTGCTTGTAAAACACATGCGGAAAAATCAAGCCGCCTTAAAGGAGCAACAATACGAGTCCATAAAAGCTAAACGTTACACCTGCTCACTGCTCATCTCTCAGAGTCGGAGATGCAGACTGAAGACTTACCCAAGACATCTCCCCGCACAGCCAAATTCATCCCCAAATTCATCGTACATGAGCAGGTTGTCGCGGCTCCTGGCCCTGGGGTTGTCCATGCTGCCAGCAGGCCGGCTGCTGCGATGTGCCGCCAGCGGTCTGTGGTTCATCCTGAGGGTGGTCAACAACAGAGGCTCTGCTCCTGCTTCATGTGAACGAGCAATCAAGTGTCTGTGGCATGTCGCTCCCTCCTTCGTTCCGTTGCCCTCCCCCTCTGTTTATTCTGCGTTCTTGAGAAAGAATGCATCCTTCTGGGTCCCACTATACTTTTATTTACATGACACACTGAACTTTACAGATGTGCAGGGAAGCGCAGTAACTGAAGGTCAATTTTCTCTTCTTTTTTTTTTGGTGCTGAATTTACAGCTGATTTTAACTGACATCCGCTTTAGCTTTTGGAGAAAGTAAAGCAGAATATTTGAAAAATGCGGCCTTGCCAACAGTTTTATTGCTTGAGCCATAAAGTGCTATTTTAAACCTCAATGTTTAACATGCAACATAGAGATTCTCTGTGCGTGACCGTGTGTGAGTATATCCATGCAGGAGTGACTGATAGTGGATGAACTGCAGATGAGATTCCTCATGGTTTAAATTCCCACTAGACTTTGCTTCCTGTGTGCTCCTACTTTCCACTGATCCTGGTCCAGTGTGGGAAAAGACACATTCATTTGTTCAAGTTCATTTATGCCTGTGTATTTACATCTGGCATCGCTTCTCAGAGGTTTCCTCTGATAGTAAAACACGTTCTTTGTCACTGTCTAAAAAATGTATACCCCAAGTTGTTGACCTTGGTTTACTTTTGTTATCATTTTGAGCTGAAAACACAGCATTACATAATATAATTGTCTAAACATCGAAAGATCTGATAAAGCAGAGTCTTGGATGTACGACGGTAGTAGTGAAAATTGCCTTTTAAGGTCCTGATAGCTGAAGATTAGTCAGTTTGGATATTTCATGCTCAACAGCGTCACAGTTCACAGGGAAACGGCTGAGAGAAAGGAGCTAAACGCTGACAAATGTCACCATAAAGAGTTCTTGTAAAGACGTCCTCCTCTGAACAGAACAGACCCGAGATCTGGATGTAAACAGTGTCAGCCCAAACATACACACTCTTATTAGAGGGCATGGAGAGCACAAGCACCTGGACGGTTCCTCTGTGTTTGTGTGTGCACATTTGTATTCACTGACACTGACAACACGTACACACACCAGACCACACAAAGAGAGTTCTTAGTGTTATCAGCCTAATCAGTGCCATTACATAGCAAAACCACACGCAGGCACTAAATAGTGTGTGTGCACTATCGCACATAAAATAAATAGTGGATGGTGGAGGTGTGGAACAAATTGAGCAACAAAATCCTTCTGGGCTCTGTTTACACCTGCATAAGTGTTCTTTTTCATTTTGAAATTATACAGGAAATTGCTGAGCAGGATGTGAAGATGTTATAATTCCTGGGCCTCCGCTCACACAAGAGAACATGCTGTCCAGACCCCAGCTGTGATTCACACGGAAACTGTCAGTCCATGTATGATAAAACTAGTCAACTCATATGTAAAAAATGTACACCATTTAAAAGAGCCGTTAGACATATTAAGGGAATTCAATTATATACCCACAGTAACTTTTTGTGTTCAGCTTCAGCTTTTGTGTGTGTGTTTTAGCGAAAACACTGATTTATAGATTGTTTATGAGGAGTTTGTCTTTCCTGCAGTGGTCACAGAACAGAGGCTCTGCTCCTTCAACATCTGAAGCGAAGTGATTCAACGTATAATGTAGTGATGGTGTAAAATGGTAAAAAAGGAGATGACTTCATATATATATATATATGTTGAGTGTAGAAATGGAGGGCTGGATATATTTATATATATATATATATATATATATATGACTCAAACATGCTGGGCAGTTTTTTTCAAGTGTATGATTTCAATATCCTAGGATGAGGATGTGAGTTAATAGCTTGTGGCACATACATAATCATGAGAAGTTTATTCAACAGATTCACAGCACCACCTACTGAGTTGGGTGGGTTTTCATTTTTTCTTTGTTTTGTTTGAGCTTGTATTCAAAGGGCAGCTTCCATTGAAACAACACATCCATGAACATTTACAAAGACTGTGATGTGAACAGTTTTGGGGGGCAAGAGGTTGTTGATTGCCTTTTGAGTCATTGACACTTGAACATTCTTTTAAACTATCATACTTCCCATCACTGTTTCTAAAAAAAAAAAACACACACACACAGCCCTCAGCAACGAGCTGGGAAGACTCTTAGTTTGATGACCATACTGATAACCTCAGGCTATTTTACCTCCAAATGCCTTTGCTTCAAATAATTAATTTCCCCAAGGAACAAATGTGTTATCACAGCCTCAATCAACTGAGGAGACTGCCACTATGGAACATGCGAGAAGTCTGAAGTTTGGTGTGTTCAAAATTAATCTTTATAATGTTTTCACACTTGCAGTTTTGCTGGCCAAGAATACCTTTTAACAGATCAAAGCCCTGTAGATATACGATATTCTGGATTGACACAGCTTGGAGGTATTTTACCATATTTGTGCCGGCTCGTTATAGCAAAATTGAAAAAACTAAATTGTTTATACTTATGTGCCGAATTAAATATGAGGTATGTGATTTCATGACTCGTCTTTTCTTTCTATTTGGAAACAATAGATGAAAAGTCTGTTTAATCGTGTCTAGTAAAAAAACATGTTTTGTGTGGATGACGGAAGCTAAAGATTAATTTCCTGTAACTGTAATATCTCTTTTATAGGTAGAATGAGGTTATTTAAGAAGTTTTGTGTTGTTGCTGCACAGATTAGTCAAAGCACACTAACCTAAAAGGCAGATTTGCACTGATTTGTCCAAACTAGTTGCGACAATGACAATTAGAATGTTTTATTTTGCAGCGGCACAATGCTGCACCTCATCACTTTCTTGGTATCAATTGTTAGTTGCAATTCTTCTGATCTTCATTGTGACAGATTTGATTTCGTGAAGGACCCTGTTGTGCCTCCAGGTGTCCCACAGGATGCGCGTCCTCTGTCCCTGGCGCTGCTCCCCATCATCAGGAGAGCCGTTGAGGTTTGCGAGGCCGCACTGGTTGAACCACCACCCTGTGTGGTTGTGCTGCATGCTGCAGCTCTCCAGCGTGATGTTTCCCGTGGAGCAGAATGGGTTGCAGCCGTCATTGTCCACATCTGAGGTGCTGAAGGGAGCTGTGTCCTGGTTCTCTTCCTGTTCGTAGCCACGGAACGCATCACCTGACCCAGAAAAAGATTTTAATGTTTTACCGTTGGATTAAAACTTATTTTTATTGTTTGTTTGTTTTTTAGCCATACCAGCGCTGCCTGCATATCTGCCCAAGTGTATTCTGAAGAACTGCGTTTCATTATCGAGGCGGAAGTCGTCGTATGATGCATAAGAAGTGATGTCATCTTTGGAAACCAGGGCAATGTGAAGTTGAAACCGAGCATCTTTCTGGTTAACTATCTGAAACACCTTCTTTAGGCCCAACCAATGCTCTCCTAAACACAAAAACACACACAGAAGAAGGGGGTTTTGTCAAGATCGATACACATGACCAGTTGAATCATTCAGGTAATCTTTACCTGAATGTGAAACATTTGAAAGAAACAGGAAGGAAAACTTCATGTTAATTTCTCTTTTCTTCCTCACACTCACATTACACCATTTAATACGGGGCTGTGAAAAGAGTACTGTATGTTAGCTGATTATACACAAAGGCTTGGATCACAGGAAACACACATCCTGGCTCTACTCCAGACTAACAAGTCTCTGCAGCCAGTTCAAAACATTGTGTCCACGTGCATGTAACACACATTTTCTGATAACTATTATAGTCAAACATTATACTGGAACAGTGGGATTTCTTTTGTGAAATGATACACAACCTGCAAGGTTTCCAAAGCCGTCAATATAATCAGCCCAGGGTCGTTTGAAGTCAGTTAATCCATCAGTCCTCCTCTGCATCACTGTCCATCCACCTCCCATATAGTCCATCTCACAGAAAACCTGCAGGACAAGTTTGTTGTTAGTGAAAATCTAAAGGCGAGGGACAGACTTAGTGAGGAGGATTAATTGAGTCATGTACCTCAAAAGAGGAATCTGTATTGTCTGGATGAACTATGTAAATTCCACTGGGGATCTTTGGAACGACTGACAAAAGATTGTCCTTGATGTCACTGCAGTCTCGTCCTAATCGAAATAAACACACAACTGAGTTAAATTCTTGTCCAACCATTTGATTTAAAGTCACTTGTGACCAAAGAGAAATCATTTTTCACATGAGAAGGAATCATTTCTTTTCTATCATCAGTGCATTGAATCTATAACCAGATCATCCAGAGTCAATTAGAGTTTTACCCTTAACCAGTATTGTCTCTATTTCTAATGTTTAAGATGGAAATTGCCCAAACATATTAGGAAAGTTTAACTTTACTGTTTGGAGAGAGCTGTCTGATTCTTAGGTTTGAACTTTGTGGTACTTCAGTCTGAATCGGATGTGTCGGTGTGTGTTACCGTGGGATTGCACAGGTTTTACGCTGTACATCTCGGTGTTGCTTCTCTGAACTTCGGAGCTGAGTGTCTGCACTTTGGTCATCAGCTCTGTGACCTGGAAAAGGGGACATTAGTTTCCCAGCGACTGGCATCAGACGAACAAACATCTCTAACAGAGGAAGAACAGATTCATCTGGACCTGAGCGCTGAGGACATCCAGAGCTCTCTGCTGCTCCTCCATCACATCCCTGATCAGCTTGCGAGTGCTGCGCCCGAACGCCAGCAGAGACTGCTGTAACTGGCCTATACACACACATACACACACACACACACACACACACACAGGCACACAGAAATTAAAGAACGCAGGTGATGGAACTGACAATGCTGCAATCTTAATAAAACAAAACCATTTTTACCGCAGATGGAGTGTTTCTCATCTCGAAGCAGCTTAACTGTGATGTCACACGGGATGGAGCAGGTGTCTCGACCTTTGACCTCCCCAAAAAGTTTCTGGTCTTTAGCAGGTGCATCAGGGAAGTCCTCTGTGACAGTTTCTGTTTGGTCCAAAGTACCACTGTTTCCTTTGTTCTAAAAACGACATTGTTTAAATGTTATTTTGATGGTACCTCAGCCATTCTAAAAACCTAAAAACAGTGGTTGAGCAAGAACGTTTTCTTGTTTGTTTGTTTTGTTTTTTAACCCTCAACCCTGCATGCAAACACAGTTAAAGGATTGTTGAGAAACTAATAAAGTTGCACAAACTGCTGTACGTGGTGCTGGTCTCTGTGGTTTTGAACATTTATCAAATGTTGTCATTCTAAGCTTGAAATCAGCAGCATCTTAGATTCAATGTCTTGTGAATGAGTGAAGCCGCAACTATTTCACATTCTAATGATCTGCAAAATGCCCACTACTATCTGAAAAACAACTTGAGGAAAATTATATAATTGACTGAGCTTTGACATGGATTAATCACAATTTATGTGTAATCTCTCTCTGCTTGAGCCAAATCATAGAAATCAAACGGCAATAACACTAATATCCCATCTGTGGCTCTGCATGCCGTGGAATCAAACAGCCACAGGAAAACGCTGCGCTATGAGCCTCTTCTCACACTCTAATATTGTTTTCTGCCCTAATCCCTGAAAAAGATTTGATTGATTAGAATAGAAATCATACATACTGTGGAGGAAAGCAGATGAGGCAAGAGCAGAAGGAAGACAGTTGTTGTCCACATCATCTCAGTCCGACTGCAATTACTTCCTCCAGGAGTGAGGGGGCTGGACTTGGTCCACCAGCAGACACTCCTTCGTTCGGGCTTATTTTTCCTTAAAGTCTACTCATCTACCATTTCTGATCTGAATCTGCATCTAGCCTCAAAGATTCGCTCTACACTTTCTCCTTGATTTTTTATTCACAAGAAAAAAGTATGAGTGACAAACTGCTGTTGCCTCATCTTTTTCTTGTGAATTGCCATGACAGCGTTCTGTAAACGGAGGCCTAATTTGTTGATAAAAGTCTGATTATGTTTCTGACAAAGAGCTGAACGTGCACATTTGCGGTAAAGACCTATTACCTCCCCCCTCAGTGTGTCTATTACTAAGCATTGTTTTTTTACAGGGTATATCCTGCCACCGGCATGAGAAACAGATGTGGGAAGGAAAATGTGCGGCTCGTTTTACTGAGCACTTTGTGTCTGCTCATGTCCTCGCATGGGAACCCCAGCTGCAGGTAGGGCACCGAGAAGGCAGGGTGTCTTTGTTCCTCTTGCTCACATTACCCAGCAAACTGCTGACGCACACATCTGAAAACAGCCTCCCATAGGGTCAGACCAATTACACGAGTTAACTGGGCCTTTATGCAGCAAAGAAACTGAAAAGCAATACAGAGCTGTGGCACATTCCAGTCCAGAGTCCAGCTGGAGCCGGCGTGCCTGTCGCTTTCTTGGAAAATGTTGGTGTGAGTGCCAAGGAAAAGATTTGCTGCTGTTCCCGACCTGTGAAAGTTTACAGCCATGGTCAGCGCGAGGAATGTGAAAAGCCCGCTGCCACTGCCTGAGGGCCCCCCACATCTGGGCAATGTTACATGCTCAGTCAAGAAATCTCTGTGTGACAATAACAGAGGAGATCAGACAAGACTTTGTGGTAAATCATGTAGTTAATCGAAGTCATGAAAACTGGGCAAACGTTTTTGGAGGTAATATATCCTGAAAACTTTTTCTGGGAGGACGATAGAGCTGCAAAGAGAAAAAAAAAGGGCCAACGGGCTGAAAACAGATGTGTGCAAATTTTGCTCAACATACTGAAGGTTTCTCATTAATTGGTGATACAACATCACTAGTTTACTATCATCGGCTCCAATTCTCACTTCTTACAAATGTTCAAACTCATATACATCCTGAGCTATGCTCGGAAGTATTGTAACACTAATTAGTTATATTTAAAGTTTTGAAGACATAAGTTCCGTTCTGTGAAGTTTTATTTGGCAGACACCACACTGCAAAAAATGGCATCTCACCACTCTTTAAAGATATCAATGCAATTCAGCTACAATCAAATTCTGATCATAATTATTTTAGTTGACACAGTTGAAGATATATTCCCAGTTCCAAAGTAAAACACTGCTGAGCGAAAGGAACCGCTAGATTGTATCAAGACTTCTCCTTTGTATAAGGCCACAGTGGGGAGGAAACCTTCCAGCAGAACCAGAATAAGGAGGAGCAGCCAGTGACAGTGGCAGGGTCCTCCAACTTAATCCAAATGTATAATAATCTAATTTAACAAGCCGCTATCCCCATATCAGACAGTCATGACACTAGTCAACTGTGTTCAGCGGTCTGCTAAAGCAGGACTCAGCTTGTCTGACTAATTACAAACGCAAAGCACATGATTACCCATGAACCGCAAATATTCCTTTTTTTAACACTGGAGGAGCACATTCAGCATCTCCTAAAAAAATCCAAATAGTCTGACGATGAAAGAGCAGTTTCCCCCCTTCCAGTGGACACATTTTTCAGTCCAGGCCTCCAGAACCAAACACCCACAGCACCGACTGCTGCATTTTCTCCTGATTCTAAAGTGTTTAAGATGAGGTGGAATTTATGCAAGATTTATGTCAATTGAAGCTCTGCATAGCCACTAAGCATATTAGTTAATTTGGGGTTGTATGTCACTTGAAACGTGTTTTTTATATTGAGTTGCCCCCAGAGAAACCTAGTGCCAGAATATGTTTGGCACAAATGAATAACTGTCAATAAATAAACAAACTTTATGCAACATTGAAAATAATCTGGCATTTTTACCCCAAAATGTTTAGTTACTTTTCTAATTTTACATTTTATTTGCTTCTACAAGAAATATTCAAACAAAACGCAGAGAGATCTGCAGCTCTCAGCAGTCATAAACTAGTAAACACTGCCATCTGGTGTCCAATGTGTGAATTACATCACATTTTTGGCGATTCGTGTTTCATGGCCCCAACCTAATTCCTCATTCATTTAGATCATTTTGATTTACATAGAAATTGCATTCAAAGATATCTAAATGACCCATTTTTAATGCCTTGATGTCTTAGTGAAAGGTATGGCCACCACCTGTCATTACAATTTAAATAGTCAAATCTATGGAGGGCTAAATCTCCATTATTAAAATATTGGTATAAATAACAATACTATTTCCCTCAGTTGGTGTTTTTTCTCCCTCTAAGGAGAAAGTGGACTTATATAATAACAGCTCACTCAGAATGTACATGTCAAGCTCAAATTTGGGATTAAACAAATTGCTGTGACATATGATAATGACGGTGATTGGAGTTCCCTCTCAAAAAGAATGAGGGGCTCAAGCATCACATGGCAGAACAGAAGTAGAGGATACCCCAAAAACTAATAAATGATCAAGATTGTGTTTTTTCTTCTCAGAGCCGTATATTCTTTAAAGCTTTGCCCTCTCTGACGGTGAGCAGTGTTACTGAAAAGTGTCTGCTGACCTTTTCTTCACCCTCAGCGTGTACAACTCCCACATGGACACAGATAGGGAGTAGTCACAGGGCCTTATCAGTCGCTCTCTGATAGGTTTATGTGGCACATTGTGTTACTATCTTCTTTTTGTTGGGTAAAAACAAGGGAGGACGGAATTGTCCACGAGCTTAATGAATGTTTCACCATACAATTATAACGACTAATTATGAAAATAATACCTCCAAAATGTCACCAGCTAGAGGTCCCCTTTTAAGAAGACATTTTAAAAAGAGATGCACATTTGAATGACCAATTGTCTTCTTTGCAATTAGTTCATGTGTGGGATTTCACTCAGAATCTTTCTATACTTTTCCAATTGCCCAGCCCTTGTTGTCGGAAAGCCAACAAAGTGATGTTGTCACCAGCGTGTGACTGTAAGGATTCTCAGGTGATGCTGAGCGCTTGGGTTCCTGCACACACCACTGGGATTGTAGCCAAGTGGGTCAGCCTTTGTTTAATCAGATCAGAAGATTTTGTTTTTTCATGATCGTAGACTGAGTTTGGTTCTCAAGGAATGTCATGTGCTTCTGAGTGAGGACGGGCTTATGTGTGGCCACTCTACCGTGACGGCATGAGTGTTGCGCTGATGGTTGTCCCTCTAAACGGGACACCACCGAAATAGTCATAAAAAAAACTCTGGCCTTGTGTTTGCCTCTGTCCAACCAAGGAGGCCTTCATGTGACTGCCATCATCTTTTATGTCTAGAATGATGGAGGTGATGAACTTTTCAGCACCTTAGATTAAATCTTGAAGAATATCTTCATATATTATTTCTTAAAAGTTTAACAAAACATTCCACAAACCTGGTTTCACATGGTCATTTAGCTTGGGCTAGAAACATACTAAAACACAGAAAACATGATATGGTGGTTTGTTTTCTAACATTGTTGTCTCTACATGAAGTTCAGATGTAATTGATTTAATATTAACATTATTCAGTGAGGTTAAAACATTCACAATAACAGGCCTTAACTTATAAAAGGTCAAAGTTTGGATTAGTTTGATTAGAATTGGTTTTATTATTTCTGAGGGGGCTTTCGGCCTCCTTTCAAAACAACTGGAAACTACTTTGCAGGCTCTCTTAACCCACTTTTAACACTTTTCATGTCCACCTCAGCCAACGTGGTCTGTCTTAAAGACAACCTCGGATATCTGCAGGGTGCTGTGCAGATGCCTTCCGGTGAGACAGTGGTCTGGAGAGCTTTCAGGCCCACGGCCCGCGTGCTTTCCACTAGAGGGCAGGACGCTCACTGCGGCCTGTGTCTGCACGGGACAAACAGGCTCCGGCTGGGTTGGCCTCATCAGGGGCGGATGTTTTCCCAGCGCAACTTCCCAATTTTCCCCTCCCAACCCCCCCCCCCCCCCCAAAAAAAAAAAAAAAAAAAAGCACACACACACACACGAGACCCAGGCCCAGACTGAGATAATAATAAATAAAAAAACATGAGGCCGGCACAACCGGCCAGGCTGGCTGTAGTGGACCATCTTCTGTTGTCTTTTGCCACCTCTCAGCGCCTGACCCCCAGCTTCACACCTACAGAGAAGGGGGGGGTTGGGGGTGTGTAGGGGGGGGGGGGGGGCTGTAAAACCCACTGAAAGGAATGTAAAGGCAATCAAACTCCAGCAGAGCATAATATGAATCGTTGTCACATATTCCCGGGGCTGACCCTGTCCATCGGACGCGGGTGGCAGCCATCAACAAACGAATAAACATCCGGATTTCTGCGTTTTGGATTGATAGTTTACTTATCTGTCCCGAGCGTGAAATATTTGCCCTGCAACTGCGGCAGCTTTAAAGCCTGCAACCCCGCCCCTCCGCACTATCACATGAATCTGAACGGGACGCTGGATGAGAAGGGGAGAAAGAAAAAAAAGTTTAGAAGTCTCGGTGAAAATCCCTCTTCTCCACCGGGTTCTCATGTGCGCGTATTTTCCATCTCGGCGAGGCTTTTTCTAGAGGGCTTTTTTGCACCGGGAAATCTTCGGCCTCCTGTGTTATTCCCCTGCTCCTCCGACTTCTTTTCTCCCTGCAGGACTACGGAGAGGGGGGGGAAACGGTCTGGCTGCTTGAAGGTATGTGGGAGGCATGTTGTGTGCGCTGCCGAGATTAACTTTTCCGCCAGCGATCCGGCTCTGAAACGGCCTTCTTTCGAGCCTTTTGGCCAAAGCTGGGCGCCTTCTTTCCACCGCCGATCGACTTCTGAGATGTTAAAGGCTCAAACGGACAGAGAACGACACAAAAGTTGAATTGGGGTGGGGGGTTGGGGGGTGTTGGTGGGTTGGGGGGGGGGGGCGCAAAAAGTGTAAACAAATCTGATCATAACTGCAGCTGCGCGCCCGTCTTTTAAAGCCCGTCCGTTTCCACCGTTTCCACGGTTGGAACTTTTTTTTTTTCTTTTTTTCGACAGATTCGTTCTCGACACCAAACTTTGGCGACATGGACGCGCACCGCGGCGCGCCTCCGGCGGGGCAGCAGATCGTGCACGTCCGCGGGGACTCGCAGACCGAGCTGGAGGCCCTGTTCAGCGCCGTGATGAACCCCAGCAAGGCGGGCCGCCAGCCCTCCTGCCTCCCCATGAGGATGAGGAAGCTGCCGGACTCCTTCTTCAGGCAGCCGGAGCCCAGGGGCCACTCCAGACAAGTACTGACCACACACAGGGCTGCTGTCCACGCCGAGCTCTCCCTCACGCGTCCTTTCACTCTCAGGACAAAAGGGACCAGAGTGACCCACCGGTCCAATGCTGGTCCAATGAGGTGTTCTTATAACAGGGTTTTTTAGTCAATCTGCCAGAAATGGGACACATATAAGAAACTATCAGTTCTCCTGATGTACTTAAGCGCTCAGCGGATTTATCAGTAATATTTTTTGAAGAATGATTCATTTGACTTTTTTGTTGAGGATTTTGATTATTTAGTTTTTTTTTTAGATATGTCAGGGGGGCAGAAAGTGGTGAAAAAGTCGTGCTGACACAGTTCATACGTGCAGCAGGGGAAGCCTTCCTCTATAAAAGCTTCTACAGAAACTGAGATATTACATTATGAACCAGAAACTTTTAGATGTCAGCTATTTGACTAAAAGATTCCAATATTTCGGTGGGTTGCTGAGGGAGAAGCTCTGTTTTTAGAGAGCTAAAAAACATATCAATATTAGTTTTATTATACATCGCCTGTCGGAACATATAACTAAAACAAAACTATTTAATTTTTCAATCATTATTTAATTTTCCTCTTTTGACCTTAAGCACATGTTGTGCTTCCATCATAGTTGGAAATGAAAAAACAAATATCATGCTGTATAGTTTCTTCAATGAGAGTATGTTTGCTTATATCTACTGTTGGTCTTTCCTGAAACCATTTCCTACTAAGGGACGGATGCTTTCTTTTCGTTTCGTCTTGGTAAAGAACTTCGATCCTGCAGCGACTCTCTACTTATAGTCAGTCTCACAGCTTGAACAACTCCCTAAGTCTGCAGTTATCAGAACCTTGATGTTGCCATTTGTTGGTGCTTCTTTTGAAACATTGTTTTGAACTTGTTTATAGTGGCAAGTTGTGGGAAAATCTTAAAATGTGATCCCAAAGAGGAACAAATCAGACAAAGCTGCCAATACTCCAATACTTTGAGTGAATATTGAAATACTTCTGACATATTCAAGTAACCCCTAGCAGGATGTCATTTAAAGATGTAGGTAATTAGTTTTGATTAGAAGCAGGGATTTAGGTGAGTCATTAGATGATCTGATGTTGCATCATATCCAGTGGAAAATGAACCCCAAAGAACTGGTTATGTCACTCACACCTTCATAAAACTAACGCATCTGGTTGTAGGAATGGCGAGTTTCAGTTGGAGCTCCTCCTTTATGTGCCCCCCCCACCCCCCATGCCCAGCCTCCGTATCCATCCCAACCACTTCATCCTGCCAGTTTGTGTGTGTGCGTGCTGTTTGTGACTGCGTCGCAGAGTTGTTAACCCTGCTCGTTTCTCGTCAGGCCAGTTCGGACGGAGGCGTGTGCGGCTCCCTGGCTCCTCACCACGTCCGCGCTCATTCCTCCCCTGCCTCCCTGCCTGTCAACTCCCTCACCACGCAGGCGGCAGATGTAGCAGCGACTCCGGTCATACCTGACGATGTACCACTCCCCCACGGTTGGGAAATGGCCAAAACGCCCACTGGCCAGCGGTACTTCCTCAAGTAAGGTCAACCTTCACTCTATCGGCGCGTTGCATCTGTTGCCCTGCAGGTTTCGTCTCTTTGACGTCAAGGTGTCAAAGGGATTGTGGAAGGGTTCAGTGTGCACCCACATTAAACCAACAACTGTCAGATGTTCACCTTTTTATCTTGACGAATTACGCACAAGACCATTAATTAAAAGATATTGTTTACAGTTTGCTTGATTTATTATTCTCATGCGGATAATTTAGGTTGCTAACCAGATCCTTTCAACAGCACAGACATGAGAAAGTACACTCTTGAATCTGAGTTTTTTTCTGTTTTTCCTATCTGGACTTGATAAGATAATTATCTGGTACTTATCAGGCTTTAAAACACAGTGTCAATAAACGACCCAACTGAACCAGATGTTGCCGCATCAGTCTGGGAAGAATTCTGAGGCTTTTCCAAGTCATTTTACAATTAGAAAGATTGCTTACAGGTGGTGAACAACAACCTGTTTCCAGCCTACCCAGGGTTTGTGTTTCTGCAGTTCTGCACCACAATCAGACCATGCAATGCCCCCAGAGAGAAAAACCCAAGAGCTCCTTGTTAGAATCTACAGGTTGAAACTTACTTGTTTAAAGTAAGAAAGAAAAAGTAGTAAGAAGTCTCGCTATTTTTGGAAGGTTTTAGGAGAAATCCTCCTCTCTGGCAAAATGTCTTTTAGACAAGCAAGACCAAAATAGAGATATTTTGGGAAAACTGAATATAACATATTAAGACGAACACCTGATACCAACTGGAGGAGGGATGGTTTGAGCCTGTTTTGCAGCAGCACCACTGGAACACCTTGCAGTTACTGAGTTAACTGGGAACTCCTTTGGATTCAAAAGTGAAACCACCTCCTTGAGAGCTAAATCCAATGAGTCTAACATTAAAATCACCAGCAGTTTGGCTGGTCCAGTGATTCAGGCAAAGGCCAGACCTTAAAAAACCTTCAAGCTATTGCTGCTGCATCCACAAGCTATTCAGTGTTGGGATGTAACCACTTTTTTTTTTTTTTTTTTTAACCTGTGTGATGTGTTTATTATCCAGGGTTTAATTCCCATCCTTTTAAGACCTGATAAGATCCAGCTTGTTTTTAATTGTTATTGTTTTGGGTCTTCTCTCTCACTTGTAAGACCTCACAATTGAAAAAGGGTGTGCTTTCGCGTTTTACATGACTGGATATCCAGGATTAAAACTAATCAGTTGCTTGCAAAAAGAAGTGTTCCAACTAGTTCTGTTAGGGCTGGTTTCACCTGCGCGGGAGCCGGTTTTCCTCACAGCTCATAGAACTAACGAGAAAGCGCTGTAGTGTACAACGGCACCAGCAGTGGTTCAGTCCGCCTCAGTGTGGATGTATGCGTGCATCTGGTAGTACAGGTAAAGCAGGTCTGAGCCACAACGCTCTTTCCCCTTCAGGTTTAACAAATGCAGATGTGTTTAGACTTGTCGTGTGTTTTTCAGTCACCTGGATAAGACGACTACATGGCACGACCCTCGTCTTTCGCAGCTTCAGTCTGCCGCGGCTCAGCATCCCATCTCCAGTACCCCGGTCCATGCCCACTCCCTCAGCAACCCTGCACCCACCACGCAAGCACAAAACCTCCATCCAGAGACAGGTATCACAGTGGCTTTTTTTAGGGGGGGGGGTGATCTCCGGCCCCATTTCACCATCCTGTTTCTTTTTAAACCTCCGACCTTCTCGTCATAGTTCAAATCCATCTCCAGTGGAGGAGGTCTCTGCTGGGTTTTGGTTTCTTTGGGATTTCCTTTTGGTCTCTGCCTGCACACATCTGGGCACTTTGGTGGGAAATGATCACTTTCATTGTCGAAACCTGCACTGAAGTGCAGTGAGTCTCTCTGTTGATGGAAACAATCAAACAACACATGGCTCCATTTGAGGGAAACGATTTGTTAATCTGAGGTAGATGCAGCTTTTTTACATGGTTAACCGTTGATGTTTTGGGAAAAATGTTTTTTAAAGGGTCAGTTCATCCAAATTTCTGCCTACTGATGATGAGTGTGGCCAATCTGACAATAAAAACTCTAAACACGTGAAACACAGGGCCTTCGTTCTGGAGTCTAATGATGGAACAGCGTCCATAGAATGAGTTCACGCCTTTTCAGGTCCATCTTTAAATAGCTATCCAGATCCACACTTAGATGGATTTTTTATAAACCCAATATGTTTGCTGGGTAAGTGTTTTTTTACTGAGAGCTCATGTCAGCTCTGAGAAGTTTCTCTGTGAGGTCTGCATCCTGTTAGCAATAAGAAGAAAGTTAGAAGTAACCAGTTTCAGAGCAAATATTGACAGTATGTTATTCCAACTTGAAAGTTCTCTTGTAACTTACATTCTCTCATTTTAAACAGATTTGGATGTAGCTTTATAGTTGTTGTTTTTTTACAACAGGCACAGGTTTTTAGTTGAAAAAAAAACTTTTAAACTCTGACAGATGTAACAGCATCCAAAGTTTCATCACCTAAAAGAGTCAGAACCTGTATATCTGCGGGTCCTGCTACAGATGCCAGCATCTGCAGGGTGGGCTATTGCAAAAATGCACTTATGTTTTTATTGAATGGGAATGAAAATACCTTTTTTTTATTTTGTGAAGCAAGACCACTGTGGAGGAAACTGTTCAGACTGCACCCCCAGCATTTTTTGAGCAATAGGGGAAAAAAAATCTAGGATTTTCTTAATTTCTTTGAAGCAGTCCCAGTCATCTCTCCTGATGCCCGACCTGTGTTGTTGTCATGGTAACTCTCTAATATGGTATCAAGCACGAACACACTTTGCTAGAACGAACAGGCAAATGTGTAAAAACACTCCCGAAAATCCTGGAAAGATATTCTGTGCAAATTATGACAGCAAACCCCAACAAGAAACAGTCAAGCTGTCCTCATTGCACAATCAAAAAATGTCCACCAAAGGCAGCTGTTCTGCCGATATGCAGTGAGCAAAAAGAAGAAGAAAATGTTACTTGAAACAGCCGAGTCCACGTCAGTTCCCTCTGCTACTTGACTTAAATGTGCCAAAAACTGTGGATCAGTTTTCAAAAGGCACCACGGCTGAGCTGTCATGGAACAGTGACGATGGACATGAAGTAATGGGGAGTATATTAGCATTTCAATGGATAAATATTTCCCACAAGCCTTAGCAGTGAGTTAGAAAGTCCCAAAGGAGAGTGAACACTGAACTAACATTTGGCTGTCAAGCTAAAAGCAAAAGTAAAACCTGCCATGATAATCTGCCAAGTAAAGTGTACTCAGTTAGAAACTCATTGAAATGCAGTCCTCAGAATATTTATACAGCGGACAGTAAACATATATATATTATATGTTTACTTATATATTTTTAGATAATTTTGTGATACTGTTTGGCTGAACAGACCCTTTAACTAAAACCCTCTGAATCTTTCACTTTACCCTGAGTATTGGCAAATACTGCACCCTCTACAGTGAGGCATGCACTACACTTACATTACAGTACACTTCTTCTATATCTCTTCACTAAGCTTCACTTCTATTCATAAAAATCTCTTCACACTAGAAGATGCACAAACATGCGAGGGCATAGATGAGATTCTACTATTTTCTCTCAACACTCCGTGCGCTCCATCTACCATTTGCCTTCTCACTGTGTACTTTCACTGCTGTTCAGGTCCACTGCCTGAAGGCTGGGAGCAGGCTGTGACTGCAGATGGAGAGGTGTACTACATCGATCACATAAATAAGACCACCACATGGGTCGACCCGAGTCTAGGTAGCACACTATCAAATTTGTGTCTCCTGAATTGACAATTCTTGTTTGTCAATGAGAATCCTTTTGTTCCAATGTCCGCCATCACAGGTTGCTGTTTGGCAACAGAAAAATAAGAAAGATCGCAAAGTTTTCAAAGTTTTTCCTGAACTTACTGAATGGTTGTAATTCATGAAAGTGTTCGTCATAGTTATTTCTTTTTGTGTGTGTGTTCATAAATCTTGTGTTACAGCCCAGAAGATGAACCCGGGCATGGCTGGTTTGACATTGCAGCAAAGGCAGGAAAAGGAGAGGCTCCGATGCAAGCAAGGCCTGCCTCCACAGATCACACCACAGGTCAGAAGTCAGATAAAGTGGCACCTGCATGTGCAGCCCAACCAAGCTGCTGGGTGCTTGAGATTTTTTTTCCCTTCTTTATCTGTTTTTGAGTTGTTTCTGTTGTAAATGGGTTGATTTATTTTTTCTATTTATTGTTTTTCTTTTTAAAAATCACCACTCAGTTTGGGATTGAGTCATAAATGCGGGTTTGTGTCTATGTGGCAGGACGCAGGGGGCCGGAACCAAATGCCCGGTGGGATGGACCACGACAGGAGTGCACAGATGCTCTTACAGTCGGTGGATGTGAGGATCAGAGCCCCAAACCCCGAGCCTACACTTAATGGGTGAGCATGACATACTAGTGATTAGTGGCAAAAATAGAGAAACCGTAGTACCTTTGACTAGAAGAAAAACATTTTTTAAAGGCAACGTTACCCTGTGGTGGGAGAACATTTCACACACTGAACCACAATTTTACACAGTTTTTGTTTGGGAAAACAGTCCAATGCTCTTTTTTTATGACTGGCAAAGTATATTTACCTTTTGAATCAGATAATTTGAACATAACTAAATAATTACCAAATTATTTAAGAAACATGGTGGGATAACCATAGGTTTGTTTGAGGACAGATGATCGATAAAGTTCTGTGGAACTTGTCAAGCTGGAAGAGTAACAAAAGCAAGCCATGGCTTCCGCCTCCATAAAACCAAAGCCAAGTCTGTGGACGACATCTCGGGTGTAGTACACCAACAGAGACCACTGAGAGAACTGTAATGTTTCAAAGCAGCTGAGATCAAGGCCTCTGTTGCGTTGGCCCGCGCTGAAAATCACGAGTCCTCCATCAGGACCATGCTGAATACGGCTGGTGTGCATGGCAGGGCTGTACGGGGAAAACCAGTCTCTCTCCAATATGAACTTTGCTGCCACCTGCAGTTTGACAGCCAGATGAGCCAGAGGGCTGTCAGCATTTTGTAAGCTGAAGAGATCACAAAGAGGGTTTGGCTATAGATGAAAAGCTTTCTGTTTGAAGCGCAACAACCCATCTCTCATAATACAGATATAGAAGAAAATGGTGTCTCTGCCCATGCTTTAGCCACTCGCATATCACACTGACTCTCCTTTTTGTCATTTCATAATGTAACTCTTCCTTTGCTTTAGTGTCTGTCTGACATATCAGATGCTAATGAAATACAGATAGGTTGATAAATTCAATTTTGTGTATACCAAAGCATTTAACAATATATACAGTATATATACATATATACATTGGAACACTGATCTAAAAACGTAACATATTTTAGATAGTACAAAGCTTTCTTTTGTTTTAAACTATAAAGGAATGTTTGTGTGGCTTCTTGTGCAGGGCTCACTCCCGCAATGAGAGCACCGACAGTGGTCTGAGCGTCAGCAGCCTACCCCGCACATCGGACCACATGCTGAGCCCCGTGGATCACATGGACACTGGTAAAAACCCAGGCCTGTGTGTGCCGTAACGTGCTGTTCCTCCAGCAAAAGCTCAATTCAGCGAGGCCTCTTTTTGTGCCTGAAAACCACTTTCTTTTTCTGTGGCTCCGATTGTTTAGGTGACTCCAGCGAGCCCCCGTCGATGGCCCTTCAGGAGTCGATGCCTGTGCTCCCGATGACTGAGGGGGAGGAGCTGATGCCCTGCATCCCCGAGGGTCTGAGTTCAGACCTCCTGATGGACATGGAGACCGTTCTCTCCGGGTCAAACATGGACAGAGACAGCCTGCTCACCTGGCTATAGACACAGACGGCCACCGCCTGCTCAAACCATGTTTGTCATCGAGTTTTCACAGTGTAACTGAGATCTCCAGAGGATTCACAAATGGTACAGGTCATTGTAAAGAGAAAGGATGGATGATGACGGATACCCAACAGTACTCACACCCAAAGGAATGGGGGGAAAAAAGACTCACAGATGGTGGTAAGCGCTGGTTTTCTGTCTTCGGGTCTGATGTAGGACAGGGCATCGTTTTGGTAAAACTAATTTCTTTTTTTAGCCTTTGAACAATTCTCCATTTCAGGTCAAGTCCACCACAGCTCATTTTTAGGATACATTTTCACCCACAGTAACATGAACTAAATAAAAAAATCGCATTGATTTAGAGACGGCAGAAAACGGAAAAAGAGAAATCTTACTACTACCTCTGAGGAGTGTTTTTTTTTAATGCAGGGCTCAGATCAACTCTATATTTGCCACGTAAAGCCAAAAGATAAGCTCAGTACAGATTCATGAATGCCACAGTAAGATGACAGGGCATTCAGAACCAGTCAGTTTTAAAGCTTACATGTCAACAATTATATTTAAAGTGTTTTTAAAGTCATTTGGGGCCAACACACCAAAGTCTGTGAAAATATTTCACATTTACAGAAACAGTATCTACAGAGTATTTCTTATACATTTTTGACACAGAATGTAGTTTTCTTTTCCTTCAAACAAAGGACCATTGCAGCATACAGGGGATGTCCCCAGTAAATGAACACTTGGTCATTATAATGCAGGATTTTCCCACAGAAACAGTGCTGCTGGCTTCTCTGTTCTTTAGTCGTCAGTCTTTGTACATTTGCCCATCCTGCTCAAAATAGTGCAACAGTTTCTGACTGCTTCCTGTTCCAGGGATCGAGACTATGTCCACATTGGATATGGACGTTACTAAGGCAGTATTTGTTGCAGGTTTTGTTAAGTTTGACTTAGTGTTGGGTATTTGTTCTTTTATCCTTTTTAAGTTGACCCCATTCTTCTAGAAATGCCACCTAATGATAATCAGCTTCTGGATGTTCTTTTTTAACATTTTTCGCAGTCTAGTTACATAAAAGCCAAAACTGACATTTCATTAACCAGCATTTTCACTTTTTTTTTTTGTCTGTTATTCAAACAATGGCTTGAAAGATTCGCCATAATTCTCCCTTTTTAGGCTTTACCTAGTCTGTATTCATTCAGTTGCACAGTAGCTCCTCTTGACATACAGAATAACATCCAAGCAGCAACAAGCTACAACTCCTAGCATTAGCGAAAACATTTTCAGACCTTTCATGGCTTTAGTGAAGACAGTCAATTTCATCAAGTTTTTGTACTTTTTCAGACACCAGTTTTTATGTTTGTTTGGTTGTGTTCTCATCTGCACATTTTTTTAAAGCTTTGAGCTGTCATGATTTGACAATGAGGCTTCAGCGTGTGTTGATACGAATGGCAAACATGATATAAACGTCCCACAGACACGAAGGAGGGGGCAAACTCGACATAATCTATAAAAAGCCCACACAATACAATCAAATGTCTTTATTCTCCTCTTATTTATGAATTCAACTTTTATATTCATTTTTTTTTCTGTGCATTAGGAAGTCAGTCCACCGCAATAAATGGTAAAGCTGAAGCAAGTTTGCAGTTTTGCAGATGCATGATCTATGACCCTAAAAAAAACCCTAAAAAATAAGCAGAAATTCTGTTCTGACAAAATAGACACTAATGGTGAATGCTGTGTTCTGGACGTGTTGAAATTGAAAACACTAATAGGGCAAACCTCATGGCGGTGACCTCTTTGGTTGTCCCTGTTCAACCATCTAACAAGTATGGATATACATATAGTCTATTTTTGTTTGCTGGTTTTTGTTTGTAATGATCTGAAGTTAAAGCTGTTAATTATTGATGAGAGCATTTCTGCTAATGATCTTCTTTTTATATTTGCAGTAGTATATAGAGACAAGGACTCCATTTACCATAAGTTCAAGTAAAAGCCAAGTCTCCTCTTGGTGATCTTTTCTCAATTAAAGTGCCAAACAGTTTACCATGTGACTTACTGCTCATACAACTTAGTGACACGCACTACCTAGTCTATTATTTATCTTAGCATGCATGACACCTGCTATGTATGTTACATATATTGTTTATTATCCTATTTACAGAGAATTTCGAAACAGTCAAGCTTGTTTTTTTTACCTGTTTATGCATGATTTATATAAATTTTCATTGTAATCATTTTAAACGAGTTTCTGTTTAATAAACATTTAAATACATAGAAATGCACCATTTTCTCAGTTAATGTTTTTCTTGTACTTGTGTTTTCTTGAATGGATTTAAAGACCCCTGGCACAAGTGAGGTGCACCATACAGCTGAAGGTGTCTAAGCAAATGGTCTGAATGGAATAAATTATGTTCTAGTCTTTTGTTTGAGCTATTATCACATGCCTTTTACAGATTTATAAGCAAATGACTATCTATTAGGTCACAAATCAGGTTTAAGAGGCAGAACGGCAGGAACACAGCGTAACCCTGAAACCAAGTTTATAAGAACGGGACCTCACCCGATCAGAATATCCTGAAACGGGGTAACGTGTTTACTTTAGCTCAAGGAAAAATAATTCCTGAATAGGAATACAAGTTGTTGCGATGACAACAAAATAGACACTCATCCCCTAGATTTAATTACATTCTTCAATTTAGCATTGGTATTCGGGATAAAGTAATCAGCCCTGTGTCAAAGTCATCATTAAATAAAGTATATTTCCCCAAAGAATGCCCGTTTCTGGTTGATTCCATTTTTGGGAATAATTAATCTATCGTTAAATTCAAAATATCAAATTACATATAAAATATATTGTGTGATTAAGCTATTTCATGTTTTTAGTGGTAGATCTGTGTGTTTATAATTAATTTTTCATAATTGTTCTGAGGGGGGGGGAAACTAAGAAGAAACTGAATGTGCCACGGTGGGAAATTATCTGAGGCTCGACTTTGAAAGTAAACACTAAACATTTTTTTAAAGAAATTGAAGGTACTTTACATTTAAAAAAAACGCCGGTACGGGGAGGGATTTTTCAATTTGACATGCCCTGACGGTATGACTGAAGGGGTTGTCCTATGTTATTTAATGATACCACATCCACAAAACCTTATTCTAAGCATCTGACCTGGCTTCAGCAAAGTGTCGTAAGTATGTTGTTCTGTTGGTATATTTTAGTTTGTTAGTTTGTTTTTTACTTCATTAATCTACGTTACCTTAAGTAACAGTGAACTTTCATTTGGAGGACGTTGTAGTTGTTTTGAACCGTTTCCCTTAATAGTTTTTCCAGCCTTTAAATGTTGGTAGTTTTGTTTAGTAAAATATTTTTAAACCACGAATACGGGTATTAATATGTGACAATCACTTTTAGATAACTAGTTAAATTTCGACTTGCAGGCTGTATTTGCACAGACCCTTAAAGTAACCACGTCTTTCTTAACATGTTAACCCAACTTTCAGGTTAAACTAGATTATTCAAACTCGAATAGAAACCTGTAAGATGACAAGACTGGGAAATTACTCAGTCAGAAATATTTTTACGGGATTTCTAAGTAAATCATTGGTTCTGGTGTGTTTCCATTTTCATTTCGACGCTAACCGGAAGCAGGCGGAGGAGGTGACGTGTGGGGAGAGGCTTCGGGACTTTCCGTCTGGGTTACAAATCGGTGAGTCTGCTATAAAGGTCACAGCGTCATTATTTTTGTTAAAGGTATGATGTTTGCCTTATTGTAAAGGAGCATTTCTGTCTATCTTTCTGCTGGTGTTAAAACGCACCAACACGGCTGGAGTAAAGTTTAGCAGTGATATAGGATTAGCAGGTGTTAGCAATAACGAGCTAATATCAGCTCTCAGTGTCGAATTGGGGCGTATAAAATAATTTAAATTGTCACTGTTATATTTAAGTTCATGCTTGACTAAAAATAACTGCTCTTATTTATTCAATTTATCCCGAATTAAATGCTTAAACTGCACAGCTAACTGTTAGACAGAGTAGAAAACAATGACAGAGTGGAAATATTCAGGAAAGTACCTTAAGGAAATGAACGCCAAGCTTAGTAAAATTGAAGGAAACTCGTTTATTGCCAATAATATATAATTGTTATTCATTTCGGTTATTTAAATAGACAGATTTAATTATTTTTTAGGCACAGATAAGATAAATTTAACTGTGTATTCCTAGTTCAATCAGCTGTTTCCAATGAATACATTACACTCAAATCCACAAAGGTGTGTGCAAAGTAGCAAGGTAAGGTGTTTAAGTAGGGAATGTATTTACTATTTACAGTGTACAACAAAGTTTCATTGTGAATGCTGTTTTGAGCTTGTTTTCGATGTATGCTTTAGTTATCTTTACCTTAATTTGTATGTTTTGGTGTGATAATAATGATAGTAATCTCTCTCGTTTTCTTTTCCACAGTGTCTTGAAACCTTCGTGGGGCTTTGATTTTCCCTAAAGGAGAAAATACATTTTTATTGGATTTTTACAGTTCCATTATGGAAGCTTAAACACCCACAAAAGGGATGTCCAACATGGGGGGAGGGGTTTGAGAGCACGTATATCCTGGTCTGTGTGTGCGTGTGTTTGCTTGAATAATTTGTTATGTTTCTACAAAACTATATCAGTAGTATGTTCGGTATGTATGTAAAATACCAGGAATTTTATACTGATCCTGGATGATCTGCGAAAGTATAATGACAGATTTACATATAATTTTAAACACCATTTTATAAAGGTCAGCCCTTTTTTTGCTTGGTTACAGAATATGTTGTGTTTTGTTTCAAATACATTCACTTAGTCTGTGGCTGGGGAGGCAATGGTGAACTCTCTGTTTTTAAGTGTTCATTTCGTTTGTCAGGTAAAGCGATAGGAAAGCAAAGGGTTAAGTTCGTACGCAAATGATAAGATGAGGGGATTGGGTAGCTGAAGTCAACGCAGTGATGTTAGTGATTACTGGACTTTTGATTTCTGTACACAAGAATTTCTAAGTTTTACACACATGCAGGTGTCACTCTCTTTTTCACTCTCTTGATTTGAATATGAGCGAGTTCCTTTTTGGTCCACTTATCCATTCATGTACTTTCAGTTCAACTATGAATGTGACATTTGAGTGTGTTTGTGTGAGAGAATGAGACCTCGAGTTTTCTCAAACCCCTCCCCCTTTAAGGGGCATCTCTTTTTCCTATAATACCTCTGTAATAACCCACTCATGGAAACCCTCCTTCAACTTAAGAACAACCAGTTTTTGATGGGGCTGTGTCGCAACGGGCCTCCACCTGACCTGCAGTATGATAACTCCTCAGGTATCAATTTAGCTGATCCCTTATTTAAAACTTTTGTACTGTTTATAGTGATTTGTCCACCTTTTATTTTTTATTGTCACGCTAATGTGCCGCTCATTTGTATCTCATTTGTATCCACTAGAACTGTTTCGCATCTCCACCTTTGCTCGATTCCCGACTTCAGTTGTCACAGAGCGAAGTCTGGCACGGGCAGGCTGGTTCTACACGGGCATAGGTGACCGTGTCCAGTGCTTCAGGTGTAATGTGAAAGCTGAAGGCTGGCAGGCTGGGGACTGTCCCACAGAGAAACACAGGCAGCTCTCTCCAGCCTGTTCCTTCATCCAGAGCCTCCCATCTACCACAAACCTGCTCTCCTCCTCCCACTCTGCCTTCTCCCCGCTGCGCATTGCCCCCGCTATACCAGTAAGACCAGTGGACACATCTTATACATTATGAGACTTGCTTTCTCCAAGATATGGCAGCTGTACTGAGCAGTTTCCCAACATTTGGCTTCTCTCCCCATAAGCTGTCTGGACCCGGCCCAGCTGCTCCAATAAGCCAAGGAGAGGAGGCCGCTGGCTACCTAAATATGGCTTTCTCCGCTCCACCGCCCTCCAGCCCCCTGAGCTCCCGTGGTGTAGAGGACATGTCCCACCAGAGACCAACCTGCCACAACCCCACCATGCGCAGAGAGCAGGACCGCCTGGACTCCTTCCACACAAGCACGCTAGCCAACATCACCCCGGCAGAGCTTGCCAAGGCAGGTTTCTACTTCCTAGGACAAGGAGACCGGGTGGCCTGCTTCAGCTGTGGAGGACAGGTGCGTATCTTCACTGGGGAAGTTTGAAAAACCTACTTCAGCTTAACAAATGGCACCAATGAAGACATTGCTACGCCCCAAATACGACGTGACGGACTTTTGACATCTCTCCCTGCAGCTGAGTAACTGGGAGCCTGGTGACCGAGCGGTGTCCGAGCACCAGCGGCATTATCCGAACTGCCGCTTTGTCCGGGGGGACCGAGCTGACAACGTGCCGCTGGCCGGTGCTGCGGCCGGTGCCCCTGCCCTCACCAGCGTGTCCAACCCTTCCATGCAGCAGAGTGACGAGAGGCTGCTGACCTTCGTCAACTGGCCGTCCCGCATCCCTGTGCGGCCAGAACAGCTGGCCAAAGCTGGCTTCTACTATGTGGGTACGTTCCCCACCGCAGAGACACGCTGACTGTCATCACGTCGTGGCCGGGCGTGAACACTCTCTGTTTTGTGATTTAAAAAGTCAGTTAGTCAGACTATATACATGCACGTTTTCCTTTGAAAAGGTTTCAATACCGGTAAAAGTTTTCCCCGCTGGAGTGGGAGGCAATCGTTCCACAAAAGGCGGATTGAACACTGCATGTCAGAAGTAAATCAGATTGGTACTTTACGATGTCCGCAGAAGAGGAAATGACAGATGAGATTAAAATATGACTGCTGTGATCTTTTTCCGCGCACCATTTTCCCTGGGAAACACCCAATAACAGTTGTCCCCCCCACCCCCAGGCAGAAACGATGACGTGAAGTGTTTCTGTTGCGATGGAGGCCTCCGATGCTGGGAGTCTGGGGATGATCCATGGGTTGAACATGCAAAGTGGTTTCCTCGGTAAATGCCACTCTTTTGCCATAAAAATGTGCAACCTGAAGAATTTTTCACCATAATTGCTTGTTTTACAAAGCAGCATGGAGACTGCTCCCTGATTGGTTGCATTCTTGTTCGTTGCAGATGTGAGTATTTGCTTCAGGAGAAGGGACAAGACTTCGTTCACCAGATTCAGGCTCGGTTTCCTCGGCTTTTTGAGCAGGTAAACGGACAGAAACACCCCACATTTTGGATCAGAGATTCGTCCACCAACAGGTTATCTAAAACGCTGTTTGTCCGCTCTTTCAAAGCTTTTAACAAACGGAGACAGCAGCAGAGAGTTTGTGGATCCACCCGGTGAGTTTGGAATCCTCCAACATTGCAGAACTACTTGTGTGGGTTAAGCCTTCCAGAAAGTAATGAGCTGGTCTGTTCCTGTGCTAGTGGTGCACCTGGGTCCAGGAGAAGAGCGGTCGGAGGACGCCATCATGATGAACACCCCCGTGATAAAGTCCGCCTTAGAGATGGGCTTTGAGCGCAGCCTGGTCAAGCAAACGGTCCAGAGCAAGATCCTGACCAGCGGAGAGAACTACCGAACGGTCCAGGAGCTGGTCTCAGACCTGCTGAGCGCAGAGGACCAGAAGAGGGAGGAGGAGCGCGAGATGCTGGCGGAGGCGATGGCGTCAGGTGCTGGCTGAGAGCCCCCGCCTGCAGGCGCCTGCTTCACCAGGGAACGACGCGCTGATGATGTTTGTTTTTCTGTTTCAGATGGCTTCACGTTTGTGAAGAGACACCAGGCCGCGCTGATTCAGCGTCTGAAGAGTGTCGAGCCAGTGTTGGAGCATTTAAGAGATCAGAATGTGTTATGTACGTCCTTTTGTTTATCTGTTCAGACATTCAGATGTCCAGTGCTAAGTATGTATTGTGTTTGCATCTCCACCCATGGAGGAAGAAATGTTCAGGGACTGAAACTGCTGGACTGAATTAAGTCAACGCTGAAATGAGATAGAAATGTTTTTAGCTGTTATTCCAATGGAATATAGTGTGTGGAGGCAGGGAATGTCGTGACTTTAACAGTTTGGGTGTTTACTTTGCAGCTGCTGAGGAGTACAGCGGCCTCCTGGCTCAAACGTCAGCCCAGCAGCAGACCGCCAGATTGATCGAGCTAGTCCTCACCAAGGGAAATGCTGCCGCCGAGGTCTTCCGCAACTGGATCCAGAAAAACGACGTCCACCTGCTCAGAGATCTCATGGGTATGACCCCCCTCCATGTGATGGTCCCTGCACTTAGTAAAAGGAGGCACAGTGCATGTTTTTGCTCTGGAGATTTCATAGAGCACTTGAAACTTAAACTTGGGCTAACCACATGTTGTCTTTCTTGCTTTCAGCACAATCAAATGAAGCTTCTTCCCCAAGCCAAGATCTCTCAGGTATGTGGACATACATGAGAAGTACTTTGTTTGATCAAGTGCATGCTTTGTGTCTAGATGTGAGCGTTAATAACGTCTTCAATGTCAGATCGCCCAGGCGGGGTGAAAAGATTTCATTTTTGAATTGTCCTTACCCTTCAGACCTCCCAATGGAGGAGCAGCTGCGGCGATTGCAGGAGGAGCGGACCTGCAAGGTGTGTATGGACAAAGAAGTCAACATCGTCTTCATCCCCTGTGGACATCTGGTGGTGTGCAAAGAGTGTGCGCCATCCCTCCGAAAGTGCCCAATCTGCAGAGGCCTGGTCAAAGGCACTGTTCGCACCTTCCTCTCCTAAACGTTTAACTGTGGCTAATGTTCTCAGTCCAGCATCAAAAACCACAAAATATGTCACTTTTTACTTGTATATGACTATTTAAAATTGGTCATAACTAGCAGATTGTTCAAATCATTTAAAGGCATACGCTTTTGTAGTTGGTATTTATAGAATAATTCTATTTAATGTATATCTAATGATATGAATGAATAATAAAAGTACGGGTCAGTTCCAAGCTCTTTCTACATGTGGACAGTTCACAAATACCATGCTTATTGTGGTGATACTGATGCTTTCCAAGTCCATCATTCTGCATAAATCTGTGATGATTGTAGTGTTCTTTATTAATCATGTGACTACAGTCCAATTTATAGTCAGTTACTGTTAATGATTACATCCTCAGAGGACTAGTTAACCCAGTGTTAGGTCATTAAGCACTACTGGCAGGTAAAATCAGATGGCTAACATTTTGTGCAATAGAAAAACAAAAGTCCAGATCACATAATCAGTAGCTTACTTAGTATCTCCCTAAAGTTTAAAGGTCTCCGCACAACTGACAGCAATTAATTTTTGCCTGGATTATATCTGCAGTCCAGCTACCACATGTATTTTATATATATATATATGTTACTTACTGTGCATTAAAGTCTCAATTTAACAAGTCAATCTGGAGACAGGTCAGTCTGTAAAATCCTTTTATGAATAGAGGACATAACATTCTACATGATCTACTAATCACCCTTAAGTTATGAGCATTATGTGTGCTGAAGGAATAAGTCAAACATTTCCTGGAGAGGGTCCATTCAGCTCACATTTTGCAAAAAAAGAGGGTTCAATTAAAAACAAACCTGACCCTGTAAAGTTTGATCTCAGCAAGGGCTCTTAATCGTGTGAATAAAGATTAAGATGAAGTAGAAGGTGGGGAAAGTCTCTTCTTGAAAACAAAAACAGATGCTTTAATCTGCATTTTCAAATTCTCCATGTAGGATGGAACATCTTTAAATTACTAAACTTTCACCTACACCCAAAATCACTGGCCCTATGTTCTCACCTTCAAGTACAACTGCCAAGTTTGTCCAATCTTAAAAAAAAACTTACAACACTAACAGAGAACCTGTGCTCTGTCAGTACATGATGGTTGGTATATATTCGAGTGACGTGGAACAGCTTACCTAAAATTGCAAGTTTGACAGGTCGAGGGAGAGCTAGCAAGCCTTTTTAAAAATCACATCAATTGTACTTGTATTTTATTACAGATTTATGTGAGGAAGACCATCAGGGGCTATAAAGTAACTGCTACGGTTTATAGGATGGTGGCGATTTAGAAGATGTTTACAAATAAAATATTTCCAAATTGCCATATTTAGCTTTAGTAAGCAAATGATTAATACCAAATCCCAAAGAAACTACGCAGATGATACATTCAGGAAGTCAGAACAGATGTAACAAACCAAATATTAGATTAAAAATAGGAAGCCTGAAAATGTAACATGTGACAATAACTAAGACAACAGAACCAGTTTGTACAAATATTTATTCTTCCACAAGTTTCTTCAGCCAGTTTAGATGATGCCAATCTGCAAAGTAAGGGACATGAATTGTATTACATGAGGTCATCTGCAGAGTGAACACGTTTACAGGTGTACTGGTGGGCATCAGTGGTTCCTTTGAATGCATCACAAACATTCAGTCCAATGTAAAGTTTACATCATATGCACAGATTGTTAAGTACAAGCATTGAGTTCTTTTGGTAGCTTCAGAAACTCAAAACACCAGGTTAACTCAGTGAATGAATGCTCACCTTGTTAGCAACGTCCAACGCATCGTAATCTGGTGCAAGACGGACGTATGCCTTCTTCTCACCGTCTGGCCTATAAGACGAGGACAGGCGGATGGTAAGATAACAGATCCCACATAAAAAGCACAAGTTTTCTTTAAGACACTAAAAAAGCTGACAGGAGTTAATTAGGTTTAACACATCAAAAGATATTTAGCTCAGCCTGGGTTAAGATTTCTACCTGATGAGTGTGTTAACTTTGGCGACGTCAATATCATACAGCTTCTTGACAGCGTGTTTGATCTGGTGTTTGTTAGCCTTGACATCCACAATGAACACAAGTGTGTTGTTGTCCTCAATTTTCTTCATCGCAGACTCTGTCGTCAAGGGGAACTTGATGATGGCATAGTGATCCAGCCTATAGAAAATAAGATAACAGATCTAGTAATCACAGCAAAAACTATTTTGGGACATACAAGTCTGGAAAAAATTAAAGGAGGTGCATCAGTTGGTTATAAGCTGGACTCATTCTTTTTCATACTTTGATCGCATTTACCATCATGTGCACGTTTTAAATTATCCTGAGGTTGTCAGCAAGTGGGAATTACTCACTTGTTCCTGCGGGGAGCACTCTTGCGTGGATACTTGGGCTGTCTGCGGAGACGAAGGGTTTTAGGACGACGGAAGGTGGGAGAAGTTCTGACTTTCTTCTTCCTCTGGCTGTGCACACCTTTGAGCACAGCCTTTTTGGCCTTAAGAGCCTTGGACTTTGCCTCGGTCTTGGCAGGGACAGCTATGACACAAAACACAATTTGCTGAACAGCCTGACAGTAACTCGTGCCTGCTGTAACGCAGAAAACTGGACCGAGCACCGGCGAGATGATTGGACATGCAAAAATTACACACGCCATAGCTAACCACTTATCACGTTTACACAATTTATGACTGTGGCGGGTGACATGTATGTAAAAACAATAATAATCTTGTTTATAAAAACAATAGAAAAAGTTGACCACGTTTTGTCAGCAACATCTTAGCTAACGTTAGCTTAGCATTGTAACACACCATACATGCCGGACAGCCTTCATGATCTGCATTTATTGAAGATTAAGCAGACTTCTAACATATTTTTTAAACAATTACTATTAACCCTTGCGTATCATATCTACGTGTCAACTATCAGACAGTTCTGCTGCGTAAAATGTAGATTTTTTCCACTCAAAATTATTAGATTGACGAACCTTCCTTCTTCACCTTCGGTGCCATGTTGAGAAAGGAAGTTCCTGCGGGGTTTCATGCAGTATAATGCATGGGCGAGATCTCTTGAATGTATCGCGATAGCTAATGGCAGGGTAATGGGACATGCGCGCTGCTTCACAAAAAATAAGTAGATTGATGAAAAGAAACAGCCGTAGATCAATCAATCAATCAATCAATCAATCTTTATTCCAGACACAAAAGAGGTCCATATTAAACACAAATAATAAAGAAAAAGAAAAAAAACAGACAAACAGAGAATAATATGACAGTCACTGAGTCACAAATAAATGATGACGCCAATGTTTCCACAATCTTGAGAAAAATCTCACTGTACTAAAAACGGGGTTCACTAAAATTACTATTATATGAAATACAGTATTTAAAAACAATATAATTTTTTATTAAACACCCAAAGAAATTTGAAATTGAATTAAATTTAACATATAACAGCTCTTCGGAGCTGTCAGTGTGTACACACAATAATGTCTCCATAAACATTTCCTAAATACCAAATTGCCCCATGAATCCTTCCCCAATTTCTTCATGTATTAAATAGAATAGAATGGCATCTGTCTACTTCTTCCTCCCTCAACATGTTTTTCTAAACAGAGGAAAATGTAATATTTAATCATGTAAATGACTGAATGCACTTCAGGAATTATTGTTACAATTGCCAGCATGTAAAATTGTGTGTGGTTGTTTGAATCTATATATCCTGCGATGGACTGGTGAACTATCCAGGGTATAATCTGCCAATTGCCTGTTGTCAACTGCGCTCCAGCTTCCCCTCTAGGCAGAAGCATTACAGATAATCAATGGATGGAATTCATAATCTTCCTTTTGGCCTTTTTTGACTGAAACGCATGTCAAAATACATTTAACTAACAAGATGCCTACAGCCAAAAATCCATAAAATCCTCATGAATTTAAGAATCAGCTGGAAATTTTGGTCATCTTGTGCCAGTTTGCTGGTATGTATATATAACTGATCTGACCGATTAAAACTACTTTCCTGGGTGAAGGCTGAACTCACACAAAGCATTGGTAGCGCGTCAGTCTCACGATTATCAGTCAGTCAAGATCATTTAAGCAAACAATCGAACTGTACAAAAGATTTTATTTTATAATACAATGCATAAATGTGAAAATAGACAAAGAAAAAAAGGGGAAAAAATTGCCCAAATCTGCAGGGAGCTTTTTATTCCCCATTTGACATGTTCTTCTTCCCCTTTTTCCTGGTGAGGACAAATAGAGATCATTAGATATGAAAATCCGTTTCTATCAACTGTTATGCAATCTTATCTCAGAGATAGATTAATAGTCATTTGTTCATCTAAACGTTGCACAAACTAAAAAGAAAAGACAAGTTTCACAGGGAGCCGATAGAATTTAAAACAAAGTACACGGGAGATTCACGTTTTCTGAAATGTGACATATTGGTAAGGGTTTTTCAGCCTTCCGTATCTTTTTAAATTTTTTTTATCAAATTTGGTGACCAATCATCAGACAGTGTTGAATGTCCACCTTCCTTACTTTTTTAATATCGCTCCAGACAAATTTGACCCGATTTTCGGAGTTGACTTCTTGCGTTTTTCTGCCTCTCCTTCTCTCTGTGCTCCATCTTTTTCCTTCAGTCGGTGTCCTTTTGTCATCTTTTTCCCATTTTTCTTTTTCATTGCCGTTTCAGGTCCACTCTCTCTTTTCGGCTCTTCATTTGGTGCCTGCTTTGGACCTTTGACCTGTGCGGTGACTTTTTTTTTCATTAGGAAGCGAGGAGTTGTGCAAATAGTGGTTCTCTTAGGAGGTTTCTTCTGAAGTCTACGCTTTTCTTTACTGAAACAGGAACAAAAAAATCCATACAACGATAATCAGAACTTTACCATGACACAGATAAACTGGACTTTAATAATAAAAGGGAAAAATCTCAATTACCTGTGTATCTTCTTGAAACCGATCATGTAGTCAGGTACTGGGCAGCCAGCTTGTTTTATGACATTTGCAATGCTGTTATACAAATTTGCAGAGAAAAAAAAACTTTTTATGCTGAATGAACTTAATTCTCATACTGCTCTCGCAGGATGTGCACACATATCCTCTGACTGACTCTGAAATATTGACATTTGATAACCACTTTGACCTCAGTATAATCAGAGGCCTAAAACCAAACATACCTCCGCAACAGTGGCTTGTCATTCTCTGTAAAGAAGGTGACGGCCTTCCCCTGATGTCCAGCTCTGCCAGTACGACCTGAGGAACACACACGAAGGGGGTGATGTTCAGAATCAGAGCAGAACTACATAAAAGGAAATATGAGGGTGGCTTAATTTGTCAATCATTTTTTCCGCCTATATTCTTGTTCACGGTTCAGTCTTACCAATTCGATGGATGTACTCCACCGCACTGGTGGGGAAGTCATAGTTCAGCACAAGGTTCACCCCTTTGAAGTCAATTCCTCTGGCCAGCAGAGCCGTGCAGATCAACACCCAAATCTTACCGGAGCGGAAGCTGTTCACCACGTTGTCCCTCTGGAACAGACAAGTAAAAGAGTGTGAGATATATTTAGTACAAAGCTATGAGAAGAGATTCTCCTTTTGCTAATCCAACTGCCAAAACAACAGAATTATGGGAAATCTCTGTAGCTGCTGCTAGTTTTAAAATCAAATTAAAAATCATTGTAGACAAACAGGAAAAGGAATGCTTTTCATTCAGCTCAATGAGCTCATTTGCAAGTGTTTTCAATTTTAGACAAAGGATGTAAGGAAATCATTGGATAGGTTGCATGATGACTCTTGTAGTGTACCTGCTGCTGTGTGCGGTCTGCATGGATCACATCCACGTTGATTCCTTCATACACCAACTCATGGAAGAGCTCCCGTGCTCGCTCTATGGACTGAACGAAAACCAGCATGGGGGGCAGAAAACCCTGAAACACACGAAGGAAAATGTTGTTTCGTCTGGTCCTAAAATGCCTAAAAGCTTACAGACTAAAATCTTGGGTATGTGCATACTTTTTTGATGATGTCTCTCATGGCAACAAGCTTCCCGCTCTCTGTCCCAACAAAAAGCAGCTCCTGCTTCACCGTCTCCACCGCGGTATTTCTGAGCAAATACATTTCTTTTATTTAATAGAAGGAAAAATAACCTACATAAGCCAAAATGACTAGTGTTACCTCAATAAATCTAATTATTTCAACATCATGTCACATTAACACAAGTGTGAAAGGTAAGTGAAACGCCTAGGTGATCAAAGCTGAGTCCGTCAAACTCCCTCAAAAAAAAGAAGCATCTGTTAAAAATATACAAACTTAGTTTCATGATATTTATGTGCAGATAAACACAACTGTTGAGGGCACAAGATCGAAAATGACATAAGATATCTACCTGTGTCCAATGTTGACAGAAACCAGGTTGTCGAGGTTCAGACGGCACCACTGTTCTACCTCTGGTGTGCATGTGGCGCTAAAGAAAGCCCTGTGCACTCTCGGCCCAGAACATGCGAGAAATATTGTAGCCAGCTGCTCCCTGAAGCCAGTCTTACCATCTTCAAAAAGCTTGTCCGACTCATCGACAACCAGCCACTCCACACTAGGCGCCAGAGGGAAAGAAAAGCAACAAATGTTTTCTGAAAAATGGGAGATTGCAGACCATGAACGGGGTGACGGACCAAGACAGTGTGATGCTACCTGCTGAGGTCGATCGCTGGGGGATCCTGCTTGAGAAGGAAGATTAGTCTGTTTGGAGTACTGACGAGTATATCTGCACACAGAAATGCAGGATCAAAAAGGGAAGAGACGAAATAACACTTCACGCTTTCATTTTTCCTCGGCTGAAAACGTCTGCTCCGTCTTACCGTATTTTTTGTTTGACTTTGGTCCATATTTCTTGGCAGCCAGGGATGCTTTATCTATGATGTGTACTCTAAAGCCAACTCCCTCTGACAGCCGGACCAGCTCTCTGTGGGTCTGATCAAAACTGAGTATAAGCAAGCAGTAAGAGCTCGACTTATCAACCCTTCTGTGTAGATGTGTGTGTGGGTACATATTAATTTGGGATATTTAGTCAATATTTTCACTGAAGTGAGACAAAAGTTTGACAACTGTATCCCCGTTTGAGAAGTGGGTTTCTGAGTACCTGACTGGCCAGTTCTCTGGTGGGGGAGACGATCACAGCTCTGAAGCCCAGATTGGCTGGCTTCTGCAGGTGGGTGAGCAGTGGGAGGCAAAAGGCCAAAGTTTTTCCCGATCCTGTGGGAGCGCAGGCCAGGAGTTCTCGACTCTGAATGGGATACCGGACGATCAGATACCCTCTTGATCTGTACAACCAGCCAGCAAATGAGAGCACGTACTCACATGCATCATTAGTGGTATGGCCTGCATCTGTATCGGCGTTGGTGAGTTCTGCCCTGCCTCTTTGAGGTTCTGCAGGATGCGCGGGGTCATGTGATACTCCGACTGCAGCTCTTCAAATGTACTCACGGGGTCGGGTATGTCGCAGCCGTGCACATTTATTCGGTGTTGAGATCGGATGCGGTTAACCTTGATATAAAAAAGCAACACATTTTAATAATGCTTTACCTTTTAAAAAGCAGTTTATAAAAAGTGGGGTGAGTTGGCATGAGTACCTTTTCTTGATGAAGATGTTTCATCCTCTTCAGTGAGGATTTCAGTCCGTCAGTGCCTTAATCCGGACAAACAGGATCATTGTCAGTATGCACAACATGTACTGAAGTGAGATCCTTTAGAGGATACCCATTCAGTCTAAAAAAAAACCTTTTAAACAGAGTTTAAGCATTCTGAATAAGCCTGGTATTGTTTTTACCTTCCTCTTCCAACTTGTTCCTTTTTCTCTTTTTCCTCTTGCTTTTCACATCCGTCTCTTCTTCTTTCTCTTTGCCGTCTGCTTCATTTTCACTCCCCTCATCATGCTCTCCTCGATCCTCCTCCGTCTGGTTCCAGCTCTGAGCTCTGTTGGCTGCTCCTGTGCCAAAATAGTCGATCACAGAGAGC